GAAGACGTTTACAATTTAGCCAAGACGGATTTTTCGCAGATGAAGTTGGTGGTTGATGCGCGACAGCAACAGCTAAAGTCTTGAAAATCCAATTGTGATTGTTGCCGCCCCCCCCTTCTACACCTACGGTACCATTCCTACAACACGAGTTCCTTACCACCACACCCATCTACATTTCATGTAATCATTCCGGGCCAGGCCACTATGATGCCACAAAAGGTACTCGCGAGTTGCTCGGAGGTAAATAGCAAAAGATATTCGGAGTTTGAGTAGCTAATCAGAGCGCACCTTCAACGCTATCCACTACTTTAGTATATACTAATGACCCTTAACTTGTCGAAACCCTGTATATGTATGTAAGATTTTACGCCAGTAACTAACGGCGTAATTTCTTCCAGTCGGTTGTGTTTTTATGTAAGATTTTACGCCAGTAACTAACGGCGTAATTTCTTCCAGTCGGTGATATATATATATATGTAAGATTTTACGCCAGTAACTAACGGCGTAATTTCTTCCAGTCGGTAAATTACATACTGTAAGATTTTACGCCGTTAGTTAACGGCTTAAAATCTTACATATATATACACCGACGCACTTAGTGGCGTAAAATCTTACAGTCTATAGACTGTGTTAGTCACATATTACGCCGTTATCTAACTACCGGGGTAGACACGTCAGTTAGTAATGGACATGTCCGCTTTAGGAGCCCAAGGAGCTTGTTGTCTCAAGTGGTGATGGTGTATATATAAGAGTGCCAAGACAACGTACCCGTAACTGTAACTCCTAGATCTTTTTCCGCGGACTTTCGCACAAGTTGTGTGTTGTTTAAGGTGTATTCGTAAATCAAGGGAGTTTTCATCAGCGTCACAGTAAGCGTTGTGCATAGCTCTGTATAGCTGCGTATACCTCTGTGTAGCCCTGTATAGCTGTGTTTAGCCCTGTAGAGCTGTGTATAGCTGTATCTAGCCCTGTTTCGTGCTGTATGTGTGTGTTGGGTATTGTATATAAAGTACGTTACATGTATGTAAAGTATAGGACACAACATGTATCTAGGACATAATAATTACCCATACATGACGTACCTACCAAAACTATACTCATATTCACGTGGTTTGTTGGAACATCCTGTCTTGGTTTTATCTACGTGAATAGCCGAAAGTGCAAAAAGACACAATGAAACCAGCAGTTGTGGCCCAGGACGAAATGTTTCCCGATGGAGATGCTGGATGGATGGAAATGGACGAGGTGAGCTTCCACTCACTACAGTACAACCTTCAATTCTGAAATTGTTTCGACTTTAAGGAAAATAAAAGTTAACATGTCGGTTTTAGTTAACTTTTCGATACCCTTTCAGTACCCTTTTATTTCGTCCATTGTTATTTTCTCTTGTTTTTCTTTTGCTGCGTGCTATTTAGGCAGCATCAAGTGGTGGAATGCTGATAGAATTAGCAGCTAATGAAAGAGCAGTCCATGGTGATTTCTTCAATAGTAGGTTTTCCATCTTTCTTTCCTAGACATTTGTTTTGATTTTAATATATCTCATATTGATTCATGAATATAGTGTTGTTACAAATCTTTGTCTTTCTTCACGATAGATTTTGATGACCTCTTTGATGACGATGACCTTCGGTGAAAAAAATAAGTTACTGTGATAATGAAAAGCTAAACTGGAATTGTTCGTATGTTACTAAGCTAGAATATGTTTCCTTGGTGAAATTAGAACAGCAATTAACTGCTATAATGCCGTCGTTAAAATTAATTCTTACTCTTGTACATTGAAAGCAGATAAATGGTGCATGTGAACTGTTTAAACTTTTTTGTAACTTTGTAGTGGCCAGTATCTATGACGTTCAACAACTGGCCCAGGTAGAATTAAGATCAGCTAGTACGACTGAGATTCCTATGTATATTTACCATCTTTCTCGATTTAATTAATCACGCAATGCTTTTGATATTTCTAATTCTGGTGCCATGTAAGGTGCTTGTTACATAAAAAACTAGTTATGGCCTAGCTTAATTGCACTGTGTCAGTGGAAGAGCATAATCTGCAGGTTAAGGGTGACAACCAAACTGAATGTTTAGAACCTCTTCCCCACTGAGATTAGTACTTGTGAATACATGGCATGCTTAGAGAAAGTGGGAGTTGCACTAGGTTAGGCTTTGGGAAATGAGCTCATCTTTCTGCTTTGAAATGGGAAGAGAGAATGGGTAAACATACTTCACTCTGGTGCATTAGTTGAGATATTTTGTCCTGTCTTTTGGGCATTGTGCCCAATTTATTTAAGGGAATGGGATATGATGACAATATTACGACAAGGAGTTGTTTTCAAGGCCACTCAAACAATTTTGAGAGAACATTCTGACCCCACCCACCCTACTCAGACATCAAACTGTGCTTAGGAGTTCATATGAAGTATTACCTTGAGGAATTACAAACTTATCATCATTTTTATCTTCTTATTTTTTTTAACAAAAAGTTTGTGAAGGGTCTCAAGTTTGTAAATATCTCAGCAGTATGATCCTGGGTGACAGCACAGCTAAAGGAGATCCTGACATATTTTTGATTCCCTTCTTATTAATGGAGAGGAATAATTGATTTAAAATGAACTCTGGAATATAATAAAATACCTGTAAAAAAGTTGTCTGAATGAGTGAAGTGGATAAGCCTGTCCATGCCTCTATGAGAGATTGCACTCCATCCCAATGCACTTAAAGAACATTGTACCAGACAGAGTGCAGCTTTTCCATCTGTTGGTCTTGATTATGCTCAAATTTGTGCCAATTCAAGACAAAAGACAATTCATAAAATGTTTTACCAAAAAATCTCATGAGAAGATTGTTTTAGAACAGAAGGTGAGGTCTAAGTCCTTGCTCTAGATAGGGCCCTAGCGTAGAAGGCGCATTGCTATTTAGGGAGGGTATGAACGGTTCCCTTTTCTTAAAATAGGTCAGGGCTCTTACAAAGGCAACAGACAACCACTACTCCCCGCTAAGTATTTTTGTAAGTCACCCAATGTCACGTGATTAGTTTTTACGGGATTGTTATTCTCGTTCAGCGTGGATGATTATTAGGTTAGGGTTAGTTGTGCAGTGCTCAAGAAGTATCACCGTCAAAAGCATACTTTTCATTTTCTGGTATCCAATTTGGAGGACAATATTTCAGAAAAAGCTGCCTGCACCCTTTTACCACACAATTCACTTCAATGGCGCAGAGAACAGCTTGTTTGTTTCAGCTGTATCCTTGCGTTTTTGTCGGTGAGTGTTCTCATGTCTTGGTTCAGTGTCTTTACCTATGTACCCGCTGAACTTCAGTGTTTTTTAATTTTAAGTTTACTTGTGCATTTCTAAGTCGATTCTCCTAACGGAGAATCGACTCCTGGTCTGTTACGACTTGCACAATTCGGATATGGGACCTTTGCTGTATACGACACCATAGGTTACCAGTTGCACAACAACCCCACCAGACTTGCTGGGGCTGGTAAGGCTAAAAACATGGTAAGTGTGAAAGGGATAAATTCTGGAATTTTGTTCCGCAAGGGAGAGTAAGAACAAATTCCCATTTATTGTATTTCTCAAGATTTTCCAAGCTTCCATTTATGTGCTCAATTGTTTCGTAATTCTTCTGTAAATAATCAGCGAATAGAGATGTGTTCTTACCACAACGAAATGCTAATTTAGGGTAGGATGTGACTACTCTCTTCCAGCTCGTATATGACGAAAATAATGCAATAAATAATTCAATTTAAATAGGTTAGATGAAAAATCATTTTAGATGATCACTCTATATTAAAAAGGTGTTGTGCTGAACAAGTTGAAATCTAGAAATAATCTAAACACCACAACAGACAGAGGCTTGTTTTGAGACCAGACAGTTTATTAAATGTATATATCCTACGTAAATAACACACTAGACTACTACATAACAAAGATATTGGACAAATATACTAAACCATTGATCCAGTAATCAGGAATATATTGCAAACACGAGTGAGATTAAGATACAATCAAAACTGTCGGTGGTGTGGGTAGGAGGGAAACTAAAACTTTCCTAAAGCTAGAAATAAACTTGTTGCTTGCTTGCTTGCTAGATTACTAATAACACGTGCACAGATACCTAAGTGGTAATACTAAAGTAATTTTGCAATTAAAATGTGTTAGCGTGGTGAATAGCCATTGGCTCTACCCAGATCTTATGACTTACATGCTGAACAAATTGTTCAATCTTAAAGAAAAGGGAAAATACTAATTTGCATCCTACCTGTACCTAGTCCAGGCCTCTCAGTTAGCAATGTCTAGATTCATATTAATAGAGATTAATATTCACATTATCCCATAACCATTGTACTATCGTCTACTCAAAGTATTTTGACAGGCAGTGGATTTAATTCACTCACTTCACTTCCAGAAATGTGGTGTGTCATGAAATTGTGATCATACCTTTTAGTAAAAGCAATTATGTGTTATATACACAGATCTAGATAACATTCCCCTCAAAAATTCAACAATCATAGAAAATAGTGTACCTTTCACATAATTTTTCAAGATGAAAATGCCCTCACTTTTTAACTTTGCTTTTTCAGGTCTGGTAATTTTTTATTTGACTTCTGAGGTAACAGCAAACTCTACATCTACTATGGTGTCTTCATCAATTTCGCCTTCAAAGGCATCTACATCAACTATTGCATCCTCAACAGTGGATTTCTCTACAATGCCACCCAAGACACAAAGCCCAGCATCAGGATATGGTCATTTCAATATATCAGGGGCAGGAGGGAAACCTTGCCTCCTTTTAGATATCTCATGTGCAGTGACCTTACAACTGCAAAGTGAGGCAAGTGTTTTTCAGCTATGATGATCTTATGATGAGCATTCAAAATGGTGCAATAACCATGTTTTGCTGGTTATTTACTGTTAAAGAAAGGGGTATTGAAGAAAAAAAAAATTATGGCTGTAAGATATTGTTGTAGGGTTGATAAATCTGAAACATCTACTACCTGCTAGCCAGTTATTTACTACGTTTTTGACATTGAGGGATTTAAAAATATGATGCTTGTAAATGAAGGGCATTTTCATCACTAACCACAAGATCCTAGATTAGATTTAAAGATCAAAGGTTTTGGGTGTTAAAAAGAAAAGAGTCACTTTGAGTAGTAGTAGCTGAAGTTTCATGGTAGACCTCTGATAGAGCTGAAGCCACTAGAAAGTTTTGTTTGGATGTCAGCAATGACTTATTGACTATTTGGGAAGCTGAAATAAATGTTGTATAACTAAGTGATCAATACTTAATAAGGGCTTGATATCCTTAGGAGACTTTTGACCTTCCACTGAATGCCATTCCAAGTGGAACTTGTGGAGAGAAGACATCATTTTTGTCTCTTGCTTGGAAATCAGAATCAGCCAACATGACCATCTCCTTGACATTCTTGACCGTGAAGGACAAATGGATAACTACTAGCCTGGTTTTCACTTATATTAAAGACATCAGTGGGAGTGGTCAGTGACATTACTGCTTTAAGTCTCCCTATATTCTTTGAAATGTGAATTAACCTCTGGAACTCAAGAACAACTTACAATAATTGTGCATCTAGAGTTTAAGGATCAGTTTTATGAGCATAAATAATGCTTCATGTTGTTGATAGTTGAACTGTCGGTGAAAGCCATTACTACTATAGTATGATGGATTCTTTGTATGCTGTGTTACTGATTACAGACAATAACGGGGGCGGTGGGATAATCAGAAATTCACGAAAAGCCCAGAAACTGCTCAACACCTCAGAGCACTAATTACCTTTTGTGGCAAAATTTTTTTGTTAAAGTGAAAGTCATGAACTAACAATTTAAGTATATTTTTATATGAAGAGTGGAAAGTGAGTGCAGCCCAAAATAATTCTGAAAAGCTGATGATGACAGCAGCAAAAGAGAAAAGTTTTAAATGCAGTGAGAGCCTGGACATAACACTTGAAGGGAAGAGTAAAGTCACAGTTAGCATAAAAAAGATAAAAGTGCAGCCATTTGGAAGTGACTTTGGTGAAGGTAGGATCTGTGGCATTACAACAGAGAGTGTTTTTGTTCAGTATTCAGTTACTGCAATTGTTAACCTTTCACTCCCAAGAGTGGCCAAACATTAGTACACTTTCAAGCAGGACGGGAATGAGAATAAAGAGAATGAAGATAATCAAACTGGGGATATTATTTTTTTTAACTTGTGGTTTTTGGTTCTAAAATTGTTAGATATGTATAGAAGACAGTACAGAAAATTGATACTTGAGTGTTTGAAGTGGAAGGGCTAAGGTGTATATATATGTAAAGTCATGTATCAATTTTGTATTTAATGTCAAGGCTTAGGATCAATTTTTATCATATTCTTCAGTAAATTGCTTTTCTTAATGAGCAGAAGTAAGCAAGTAGGGAAAAAGGAGTCATCTTAACCTTTGACCCTTAGGAATAATCATGTTTTACCTTTACTCATGGAAACCTGTCGATTATTCAGGGTTGTAAAAAAAGTATTTGAGTTAGTGGATAGTGAACTAAAGTATAGGCACTAGAGGTGGAAGGCTCCCCCTCCTGCAGGCAAGGACTCAGAATATATGGCACACTTTCCAGATAAGAAGGTGGAATGTGCTGGTAACCAGCTTATCTGATGACTGATTATTTATTAACAATTCACCAGCCAGAAAGCTTTATCTTTCATTTGTTAAAAGAATTTCTCTCTCTACATCTTGGGAGTGAAAGGGTTATAACTGCTCTCTTAAACTGAGTAGGCAGATTGTTTTAATCCATTCAGATGGATTGCACTTGATAGAAAAATAATTTTGCAAGCGTTGAATCAAAAGAATTTTACCATTATTGGAGGAAATTATGTTACCACTGATTTATTGTATTCCTTTTTGTATTTAGCTGATGTTTGCTCTCCAACACCCGGTAAAAACCCAGCTGAGCCTGTGGACACTATTGTACCAACTGTTGTGGGCTGTGTGTTAGCTGGGTTGATTGTTATTCTTATCATTACATACTTTGTAGGCCGCTGCAAGAGAACTGGCTATGAAAAAATGTGATTACAATTTTGTGTAGTTGTCTACTATTATTGTGATTGAGAATAATGTGAGAGTGATAAGACTGTTCTTTATAATGGAGTATGATACTTGAATTGAGTGGTATCCTGAACAACAACATACCATGTTTTTTTTTTTTGATGAGTTTTTTAGTTATTTTAAATCAACAAAATTTCTGACACAAAGACTTGTTTTTACATTTTTATTAATATTTGATATCACTCTCAATCTCTGTTTTGATTTAAGCAATCTTGATTTGTTGATTATGGGAAAATCTTTAAAAAAACAATATCTGCTCTGATGACAGCTATTTGACAACTATTCACCAATGTGGAGGTTGCTTCTGATTGATATTAACCAAGCTGCCAAATGAATAGGGTAATGTAGTATTATCAACAAGTTGATGTTGTAGTTTCAAAGCTAATGTTTCCAGTGTTAGCCCCTCATCATTCACCCATCTTTCAATAGTGAGGGTAAGCAATGAGCGTATTTTAAAGCAAAATGCTGGAAAGCATCCTTTACTTATTACGAAGACTAAACAAAGGGAATGAAATGGGTGAATAAGAGCAGTTACTCAAGCCGATTTCACTAGCATGCAATGCATGCAAAAAGTTAATCCAAATAACTTGCTTTTGTGACTTGATTCCCTTGTTTTCAATATAAATTCAGATAAACACATTTTTATTAACAGTAACTAGCACATTATGGTAATTTTAAGGGCCACCTGCTTTCGTAAAAACTTTGAAATCATGTGTGTACATTCTCAATTGTTCATAATCTTTTTGAAGAGTACTCATTATTTTTTGATAGATGTGTCATAAAGTGACACAAGTTTTTAACAAGCACTTGTTGTAATTATTTTTAAATAAATCTTCCTGTAATCCTCTGTGGTAGAGAGTGTCAAAAGTCAATGAAAATGTTCAGAATTTTTACAGTTTGTACTCTAGCATCTCCCTTTCATTCTTTTTTCTCTGTACATCCATGGATTTCCGTGCCTAGTGCGTCACGTCACTGTCACGCTATAGTACGGAGTCGAAAGTTCAACGGCGTCGAAAGTTCAACGGCGTGTCAAATGGCATGATGTCGATTGCATGACTAGCCTGGAGATCTAATCTGGAGCAGAAAAGCACATAAACTAAGTTGGCCAGTAATGTAGAGTTGTCGAATATCCCATTGAAAAAGAGAATTTTGCAACGCCAATCATATTGCAAGTAATCCCACAACCCACCCTAAATACGCACATAAACCCTTTTTAAAACAGGGAACTTGAAAAATTTATGTGACTCCTATAGGCTCTGAAACGTAGCTTTCAAAGTTAATTAATTCTATCTTCTTTTACCACATCATTAAAGGCGTTCCTAAAATTTCACAATGACAGCGTCAAGCCTGGAACAAAGCAGGTTATGAAGCTCCTTCATTCGATATGATTCCCATGACGAATCATTGGAAATCATGCGACTAAAGTAACGGAAAAGTTTGCCCCGAACGTGGGTGGTGTATTAGTTACGTTCAGATTTTGGATTTACAGAATTAGAATATGTGAGCCAATAGCAGTTAAGAGTTAAAAAATCTTAAAATAATTGTGACCGCCCCACCTAGCGATTACACTGCATTCTGGGAGGTCTCATGTTCGTCATGTGACTTTCACTTTATCTCGTTTCTTTCCGGGGAAAGGGTTCTTTCGCAAGTAGCGGCGTGGTACGACCTGTTTAGAGCCGAAAAAAGTGAAAAAGGTGAAGATGTTGAGGCTTTTTGTAGCCCTTGTCTATTTGGGTGTTGTCTTTGGTAAGTAAAGCTTGTCTAACTTCTAAGAATACATTTAATATCCTTTCAATATTAGTCGGTCGAGTGTGGCGCTGCACAGAAGAGGCTTCGGTTGTTACTTTTGACAAATACGCATACGCGGGAAGGTGCCACCGAGTTAAGTTTATTTTGGAAACATAAGTCCCTAAGTAAGAGAAATCTAACTTGTAGTTTATTGTTTTTTTGTGATGAAATTATTTTTTTCGAGGTCTTTGTTGGCCGTGTTTCAGCGAGAGTCTTCCACTATCGGTTACGTGATCTGATCATGATAGTGCAATAGCTACTATTTCAACTCGGCTCGAATTAGATTCGTGATGTAGTTTATACTGCGAGAACACATGTTATTTTAGGTAGAGGAGTTTTCTTCGCGGTATTTCTTTTTCTCCCGCCTTCTTTGTGTTGCATCATCAACCCAAGTGCTGAAAGATGGTTCCGCTTTCAGTTATCACTCGATTGCCTTGTGACAATTGGGTGTCTCGAGTGTCTAGGAAAGTTCTTCATATCGAGATAATTTTTTGAAAGTCTCTAATTTTTACCAGAGCGGATACATGACTTACAATGTAGCCATGGAGTGCAAAATTTTGTATGCAAGGAAATTGCAATTATTTATATTGCACTTAGGGTTCTAGACGACTCTTTGTGAAGTATGCTACCAAATGGAGGAATACCAAAACATTTATCATATACGTTTGTCAGTTTTTTTTTTTTTTTTTTGGTCCAAAAAAAAAAAAATCCTGTTAATTTCACTATATTTGTTGTTTCAAAAATGGCTGTTTCATGTGCCCTATATTACAATGTTTGCATATGAAGTATTTTCCAAAATCTTGTAGTGCCCTTCCCTGTCTTGATGAACTTTTTTCTCATATTAGGGGAGTCATCAACCCAGGCATCAACAGCAAATGGAATGACACCAACAGCGCCAAGAAATAGAACAACACCAACAGCAACAACAAATGCAACAACAGCACCAGTGACAACAAATGCAACATCACCAACAAATGTAACAACACTACCAGTGACAACAAATGCAACAACACTACCAGTGACAACAAATGTAACAACACTACCAGTGACACCAAATACAACAACACTACCAGTGACAACAAATACAACAAATGCAACAACACCAATAGTGACAACAAATGCAACAACACCACCAATAGTGACAACAAATGCAACAACAACACCAACGCCAACCAAGCAAACAACCACTCGTCCCCCATATGGCACTTATTTTATAAAAAATGGCGATAAATATTGCTTGCTGGCTCAGTTTGAGGCAAAATTTACCATCAATTATACGCAATATGTTAAGGAAGGAAACAAATCAAATACAGCAACAAAGGCCAAGGTGTGTGTAGCAATCAATTGTTTTCCTTGGATTTTAATGGTGTGAGATTTTCCAGAACATTAACCAGTACAGTGTTATTCTTGTTGGAGTATTCTTGGATTTCTCCTGTTGATGCTAAAGCCAAAGAAACTTTTTTTGTGGTACTCAAGACTGAATAAAAGTTTTATCCCCACACAAGTTATTTCAGTAGAAAGGCTACAACTAAGCGGAAAATATCAAATTAATACTGAAATGGGAAGGCACCTTGCCTATAATCTCAACTAACTTTGAGTACCTTTTTAGTTATAACATCAAATCTGTATCATGGTTCAATGTATTTTTTCCTTTCTTCTCATTGGCTGAGAGCCCAGGCTTCAACAAATACTTTTGTACCTGTGCATGGTTATATCCTTAATCATCAATGGAAAATGAGTAGTTGCTTCCTGGAGATGTTGGAGTGTAATTCACTTGAGTGGTAAAACAATTATTGAAATGAGTTATTGCAATTATTGCAGTATTTCAATGTCCTGTGGATCAATACTATGATTCTTGGGTTTTAGCTTCAGGAAGGAAAATTAATGATCTGCTCAAAAACCCATAATACTCTGCCAACCTTGTGATTCATTATTTTTATCATTATTATCATCATCGCTATAATTATTATCAATACATGTACATTGGTTTTGTGTTCAAAGGTAGGAAATGACCACTAGCAGTTGTTCTGAAGCCTATACAACAATTATCTATTGTGTTGGTTTTTGTTTTTCAGCAAGGCACTGTTGTCCTTGACAGTAATGCAAAGGTGAATGTTGCCGGTAGCTGTGGGATGCTGATTCTAACATGGAACAAAACAAGACCACATTACACTTTGTCAATTGAATTTGGCCGTCCAAAAAAATTGCAAGCAAGTGGTGACAGTTCTTTCACCTGGTGGTTGAGCCGTGTGTCTCTCCTGGCCAACCTCACAGACAACCCAGAATTCCCAAATGCCACAGGTTGTAATATTGATTTTGATGATTTAATAGGGGACGTGATAATGGTAATCTTATTAATGATAATAAATATAATGGAGATATAGTAATAAAAACACCAAAAAGTTATGATGATAGTAATAACTATTCAAGTGCTAATAAAACCCAGCAGATACAGTGTTAAATGTTGAGTGACTGAAGAATTTTCCCCAGTTGAATATTTCCAATAAGTATATACCACTTAGGTGAATAGTGTTTTTGACACGTCATTTTATATACCACCTAGGTTAGTAGCATTTTTGACACATGCCATTTTATATACCACCTAGGTGAATAGTGTTTTTGACACGTGCCATTTTTGTTATTTAATTGCTAGATTAGCAAGTACCATCCATCAAAAAAGGTGGAGGGCCTACTATTTTTCTCTGAATTGTCAGAAATAACTAATTTAAGGTTTCTGCTTGGTATGTTCTGAAACAATTTATTCACCTTGGCATGAGTGTAAGTGGTGGATATGTACTTTTACTTCAGTGATTAATTATTACCTATCATGAATGTTATTATTATCAATGTTATCATTAAAATTCAACAAATGTTTGAATTGGAATCAAGATTGTTATTAAGACGGCAAGAGTTAATTATTGTTGATGGGCAATGAAAGCTAAATCTTTGTTATCAAAATAAGAATACAAAAGGTTAAAAACAGTGTAATGTACTGTTTTTGGTGAAATACAATACTGGCAATTAATGATTCTTCAACCTAGCATGTAAATGTCTGGATTCTCTCAAATACAGAGATAATTGTTAAGAAGAGTGAAGATGCCTTAACATGTGATATGATTACTTAATGATTTCATGAGTGATTTGGCTCATCCCCCTAAGTTTTTAGAGGAAACCCATCATAGAAGTAGTTAATAAGTTAGAATGCTGATAAGAAGGTATGATAAGAAAGAGAAAAAATAGGAAACACACTTGGAAGTTTTCCCTTGTGGAAGAATATGAATAATTTTGAGTGTTGAATATTATGTTCAACACTAAATCTCAACAGCATTTTGAGTAAATGGTTAAAATAATGAGGATAACTTAAGAAGCTCTTTTTCTTTTTGTTTTGTTTTCGTTTTTTTGTAAGTGTTTGATTAAATATTTGAGATTGCTTTCAGGGATGAGAAGGTATTTTCATTTTATGTGATTTTGTGACTAATGTCTCTCTTTTTTCTTTTTTGCAGTGAGTGTGGTTAATGCCTCATACACACTGTTCCAAAATAATAGTATTCATGGTACAAATGGTAGCTACTACTACTGCAAAAAAGACACAAAGTTCACTCTTAAGGCAAAGAGCAAAGACAACCAAGTCCAAGCAGATTTCACGGATTGGAAGGTTGAACCATTTGTTGAGAAAAGTGGGGAGACAGACTTTGGATCAGGTTTGTATTGAAGTTTTTACCCCTTCTAACCAATAAGCCACTGATAAATTTGGAAATGAAATTATAAATGATTGATTGGGGCTATTTGCCCAGTTCAAATTCAAATTTTAAATTACATAGCAATTTGAATTTTGACTACAAAGGGTGTGTTGTGTTGGGGATCCAATGGGGCTGAATTTCAGCACAGGTTGGGGTCATTTTGTTATTTTTTCGGTAAAGACACTGTTTTTCTGACCAAGAAGAGAAAATCTTCATCAAACCAATAATGGTAAGGAAAATTAGTTTCTTGTAGTCACAAACACTCACCAACCCACAGCAATAGGTATGAATATGGTGTTGTTCAGTATATGGTTTGAATCAAGGAGTGAAAGTCTGATTGTGGGGATGAAGGTGGTTGCTAGTCCTGAAAAAAATGTTATAACAGTGACTGATGTTTAGACAACTTGAGCAGAAGTCATCAGTATAGTAAAGGTGATTGTCATATTGCTGACAACTTGTTTCCAGATTGGAAAACTGTCAGTCAAAGTTGCCAACAACAGCCAACAGCCCTTAAGATCTACTCTCAAGGAGAGAACTATGCTCAAAGTTTTCAAAGTTGCCATTTGACACCTGAAAATTAAAAAATGGTCATCAGAAATTAAATTGTAGTATTCAGTGGCCAGAAATTGTTTTTAATGCTCGGAGGCCATCCTAGGACTTCAAAGCCCACAACTGAGAAATGAGAGACTGCAATAATTTTTTGTCTTATTTTTTAATGGTTATCTCTTTTCAACTTGATACATAAAAAACACTGTGCCCATTACAGCTTGCTCCTTTTACTCTTTAATTTGCCAATTTTTATCACTTATACTATGGCAACCAAAATGGTTGCATCGGAGACTTCTGGATGGTATGTTGTCATTATAATGTAGAGACTCATTTCAGTCATGAAGGAATGTTTTCTCTTGTGGGAATTTGTACATTTCCTTAACATGTAAACACAAAAAATTGGGAGATTCTGTGGTATTGATCTGGTGGGTCACAGGGGGTTGTATTTTCTTATTAGGTGGCAATTTCTGTTTGCAAGGTTCAGGGCATTTTGCATCAGAAAAAAGTTTTGTCTCAAACTTTGCCTATTGAACTACCTTTGGTAGGAAGTAAATAAAACCACCATTATTGAGAGTGCTCAAGAATCAAGCTCAACATACTAAATTGCATAATTCTGCTGTCACTACAGTGAAGGGAATTAATAAGTGCAAGACAATTTTACATTTCTATGCTTTCTAACAGCTTATTCGAGGAAATAAACTGGAGTTTCTAATGGTCCAGTCTGAACTTGAGAAATAGCACCCAAGAAAGAAAGTTTACTTTTGACCAATTTCAGAAAGCTGTCTAATGGGTTTTTTTTAAAATAAATTATAGCAAACCTCTGAATAAACACATCAAAATTGAAATATTTTCCAAACCCTGTAATATCACAAAATTTAGGAATACAAATGATTTCTTGCTGCATGCAGTTTGTTATGAGGGGTGAGCTTGTCAGCTTTTGAAGTTTTCAATGTCACTAGAGGTCATAAAAGGGCCTTTTGCAGCTTTGATCATTAAGAGCTCTCAATAATTGGGGTTTTCTTTACTTTCAAAGATAATTCAATGGGCAAAGTTTGAGGCAAACCTTTTTTACGATGCAAAATGCTCTGAACTGCTCTTACAGAGATGGCCACTTAATTTTCACACTGTAGTGCTGATTACAAATGTGTTAATTGTATAACTTTCTGGAATAGAAGTAGAGCCCAATTTTTCCTATTTAGGCAAAGATTGCTACCAGGACCATCCCACAACTCCATCTCCTACTGGGGGCAAAGACAGTGACAGTGACATTGTTCCAATAGCAGTGGGCTGTGCCTTGGCTGGTCTGGTGCTCATTGTACTGATTGCTTATGTCATCGGCCGCCGCAAGAGTCACCGTGGATATGAAAAGGTCTAGTGAAAGATCTAAGGGGAACAAGCTTGCACCAGACAATGATCACACTGATAAAATATACCTGTTGATAGCCATGTGTTAGTGTGGTCATTTTGTTGTGCTTCTTTCTGGACACTTTCTGTCTCATCTTTTGTGTGAACCTGATTTTAAATTCTTCTTGCTGTTAAGCTCTCTGGGACAAAAATCATCTTGCAGAGATTGACTTTTCATTCCTGTCAGTACAATTTCCTATTTTCGTAACATACTTTTGGGAACTTTTTCCTTTCTTTCTCTTTTTTTGTTTTTTGTTTTTTACCCTCTGTAACAGATACATGTATGTACTAGAGTTAAAGCTACAACTGGTCAGTACAAGGAATTAGTAGAAGGAGCACACAAAATAAAATGAATCAAATAAAAGATTGCTAGTTCACTAATTACATTTTTTTTTTAATTTCTGATTATAACAAGCTAAATCCAATTTATTGTGGTACAGTCCTTCTTTCTTAAAATCTTGATGTTTTATTTGACTCAACTTAGAAGTAAATGTGGCCAAAGATTTGAGTATTGCATGGAAAAGAGCAGCAACCATACTTCCTGATATTGTTGTGGATGGCCTTTTTGATACCCTCAATTTATGTTAGCGATGAGAGATTCCTTGCATCTGATATTTGTTGTTAAAGAGAAAATTGTATACCATAAAGACATTTTAATTGGAAATCCTTTTTTGACAATAATAGACATAGTTTAGAGTGTGTGTTATTTAGCCTTTTGTATCAGGCAGTGGAAGGATGATTTGGAGAAGGAGGGAGAGAAGGAAAGAGGGGATTAAGAGGAGAAAATGGAGTAGTTCCTTCCCTTTGCATATTTGATGCAAAAAACCAAAAATTGTGACCAGTAGGTAGACAATGTGATGCTGGTGCTCCTCACCCCTTTTTTTTTTCTTTTCCCTTGCCAAGCAAACTTGCATTGGCTGGTGCCCATCCATGTTTTTGATACATGCATTGTTTGTAGATGTTTTGAATAAAAATTTACTTAATTCTATTTGCATGTGCGGATTATTATAATAAGGATTTGTATTAACAAACATGTATAACAGCAGTTCTTGAAGCAAAAAAGTAGTTGGCATATTCATTTCCTCAGAGGTTGATAAGGCTGCTTTGTGGGTTGAACTAATGGCATGCACATGATTGCTCCATTTGTTTGAACCAAGCAAGAGGTTCACAAAGGCACTCTGCCAAATGGGAAGCTCCTAAGTCATTAGATAGAATTGACAGGGACCATTCACTTCCTTGTCTTATTTGTTTGCTCTACCTTTTTCCTTTTGACACTTTCTTTGATGCAGAGAAACAAATTCACTTTACATAGAGATTTCATGTTTGATTGAATCTCACTTGAAAGCTTTTGGTTACAACTTGGCGGCATGTTTAATTTCGGTAAGTCCATCATTCTTGGCTGCCCTCAAATAGTGCCCTGTGAAGTTAAATTTGACGGAATAGCTCGCCTTGGGAAAAGTTTTTTTTTAAATTTTAATTTTTTTTTTTTAAACAATCTGGGTGCACAGATTGCAAATTGGGCTAAGAAAATTGGACATACCTGACTCTAGAATTTAAAACAAATTGTCTAGCGTGGGTGGAGTGTGGAGTAACACAGATTAACTAGAAATCTACTTGATGACGTTAATTGCCTACAACTGATGCTAAATTTCGTTATACCATTTTGAGTCGAATTAATTTTCCCAGCTATAGCAGAAGAACCATTTATCTCTAAACTACATAAACCTTAGGAGTCTAGTAGTTCTGGCCAAATCAAGCTGTCGTGGCAAATTATATTTTGGGGGAATTGCACGTCCACGACAAAGTGAATTTTCAATCCTGGAAAAAGTCTCCGTAATCGCCGACTTTCCGGCTCGCGCTCGCATTCTATGGGCCGTGACACGTGATGTAAACGTCATACTCTGCGATTGCTAGAACTTTCGATGTCTGGAATTCTCCGCGGATAACTAGCTAGTGCGTATTTCGGTTATCATCATGGCTTACCTTTATTGTTTGTTTGCTACTTGTGTCCACTATTCAGGTAAAATTATCTCTGCCGATAAGTTTTCTTTTTTTTAAGGTGTTAGGATCGATGCTCGATAATTAGAGCTCTGCTGAGGCGAGGTTTCACAACCGACGCGGAACAGTGGAAGACGACTGATATTACAGCTGAAACGGGTAAAATTTCCGCACAGTCTCATACTATTGTAAAACAAATCTGTTTTGCCAATCGTAATGTATTGTTTTCGTTATTGTTTTCTCTGTCTAAAAACTGAATGCAAAATGTGATATGGGGCTGTGCGGAAATTTTACCCTGAAACGTCAACTTGCTGTCGCAGAAACGTGCTAGAACTAACTTTCTTTCACTTTTTAAAATAATGCCTGGTTGATCGATATTAATTTTGGACCCTGTAGCTTTACTTCTCTGGATTGCCATTGAGTTTGGAATCGAAAGCAGGCTTTGATATGTGAGCCCCATTGTGCTTACCTCGTTATTATTTTGTAGAATAAAGTACCATTGTATTTTGCGGTAAACCTTCAGTGAACTGCAATAATCTTAACACGAATCTAATTTTTATTTCATTTCGTAATTGTAAGTATATTATGCAAGGGATTTATGATGAGTTGTTAAGTTAGCTGATTGCAAAATTAACCATGCAACAACATGATACGAACTTTGAACTAATCACTATGCTTCAATACAAGAGTTTGAAGGTGTCAAAGTGGTGATTAATGACCAATGATGAGATATTGTTTTAGTCTTTATGACCATCACTTTTTCTTTGAGGGAGGTGCATATACTTCCAAATGAAAATGAGGTTTACTTGCACATGGGGAAAACTGATTTTCAGTGAAAAGGTTTTTGAATCCATACATATTGCAAAAGAGAGACTTGCGGCATGTTGATTGAAAGAAGCATAATTTTTGTATAATCTAAGAGTTCCCAATCAGTCCAAGAAGGAGAAGTGGAAGTTTGAGAGTTAGGGAACTGACATGCCCAGAGACAATAATACAGCCTATTGCAAAGGTTCTGAGACTCCTTCATCAGATCAGTGAGTTCTCATTAAAATGCACTTTAATGAATAACAAAATCTTCGTCAGGTTTGAAGTACGCAGGACTTTAATGATATCTTCATCCTTATAATCAGGTGGGTTTGATACTGAAAGACATACCCCATATTATATAATGAGTTGTAACTGGTCTAGAAATAGGATACCATTAATTTCCAATAAAATTGGTTTGAATTTTTTTTTTCTCTCTGTCTTTCTTCCTGTATTTGTTTTTGATGTATTTTTTTAAATTTTCAGTCTTTTGTCATTGGATGTTTGTTGGAGCTACAGGTAGTCTAACCTCAGCATCCAATCTTGTCCAGAGCTCAGTTGTCACACACTCATTTGGAAAAAATACCTCCATTCCCTCTCCAAGGAAGACTGTGACTTCTACCAAGGTGACTGTTACATCATCATCTTCCTCTGTTGTACCTTCTCCTCGCAAGACTGTCAAACCTGGTAATTTGACTGTCACAGCTTCATTTAATGGAACTGTTACACCTCAGAACATGACTATCACACCTTCACACATGACAACAGCAGTACTTAACAGCAGTGTAATGCCACCAAGTACTGGAACAATCAGACCAACTCCTGTGCCCACTGTGTTACCATCATCTACTGTGCATCCCACACCTACCTCACTCCCACCAGCACCAGGCAACTTTACAGTGAAAAACAATGGTACAGTCTGTTTGTTTGCTTATATGGCAGCAAAATTTGATGTCACAACCAGTTCAAAGGTAAGTACCATTCTCAATGATTGTGCAGAAGCCAAAAGAAGGTGTAAAGTAAAGTGAATTGTCAAGTTTCCTTTGGATCCTTAGGTATATGCCCTAAGAATTTGTGAGAAGACAACAAATCAGCTAATTTACAGACCTTAAAAATTTCCACGTAGCCTAAAGCTATGTACTCACCCCAAAACAAAGAGAGCCTAAATTTAAATCATAATGGAAAATTGACAAAATACAGAGAGGCAACCTTCTCAGGAGTAGCATCTCATAAAGGGTAAGCAATCGTAGTTGTTGTTTTTATGCTATGGAAACCAAGAAACAGCCACATAGCTGGCGTGTGAAGTTTTTTTAAGATTCATATACTTAAAACTGTCTTTGGATTTCTCTTTACTCTTCCAGAAATTAACCTTCGAGCTTCCGAAAAATGCCAAGTCAAGTGGTGAATGTGACACCAGAAGCAAAGATCACCCTTTCATCAAATTAAGCTGGAGCACTCACAGTCACGATTGTAGCTTCACCATGCACTTTGAGAAATTTTCTAAAGACACAACAACAAATACAGTGACTCAGTACTGGATGGCTGCTAATTTAACATTCTCAGTGAAATTCAACAGTAAGTCAGAACATTTTTTGAGTTATTTTTTTTAATTAAAAAGGAAAAACTCTATGTTAGCTTGTAGAGTGGTATGTTGCTTGTACCTATCAGATTGTCACATTAGGGTTTGTATCTTGCACCAATCATTTTGTCACATTTGGGTTTGTATCTTGCGCTAATCAGATTGTCGCATTATGGTTTGTATCTCACACCAATCAGATCGCCACATCAGGGTTTGTATCTTGCACCAATCAGATTACTGCACAAGGGTTTGTATCTCGCACCAATCAGATTTCTGCATTAGTGTATTATCTCGCGCCAATCATATTACAGCATTTGGATATCACAGACCAATCACAGCATTTGGGTATTGTTTTCTCATAAATGATGTCATGGAATCATGGGGCTCAATGCACAAAGAATGACTTTAACCAGAAATTTTGGGCTCATTTGATAAGTGTTATGATTGTGGCCTTTGCAAGAGCCTCATCAAGTAAGGTCAAGATTTATTGGGATATGAAAGATTCACATTTATTTTCATTGTATTAATTTTAAGTTAAAATGTGTTTTTTCTGCTCCTTTTCTCACAATGTACAGGCCCAAAAACTAACATTCCATCACATACCATGAAAAAAAAACATTCAAAGTTCAATCACGGCATTGCATTACGGAAATCAGCTTTTGTTATTGTTATGTTTTAATTTTTAAATAGTTTTAGGTAATTTTCAATGCTTAAATAAAGATTATACTATACTATACTATACTATTCTACATTAGACTTTGCTCCATCACATGACATTTCCCTGTAAACAACCCACATTTTATCAAGTATTCTAACCACATTATCCAACATCACTGAAAAAAATTCACATGAAACTTAATGCTACTGATAGGAAATTTTCCTTGCATTCTCCTGCGTTTTGACTTTTTCTACAAATAAAGTTTGCTTTTAGCTACCTTGGAATTAACCCAATCACCTGTTAATTCCTTGTAAACAACCTGCACTTTATCACATATTTCACACACACAGGGCAAAGTCTAGATAGACAACAACCAATCAAGGAGCCCTCTTTGAAATATTATCCTTTTCTCTTGCTCAGTGTATCTTCCCCTGTGCAAGATCACAGTTTATCTTTGGCTAGGGTCTATTGGAGATACAACAGTTTCAGTCTGTCTTTCAGAGTAACATTACGTGGAATTATATTTTTGAGGCAACGAACTGTACACAGATAATTTTGATTTTCCTTTTGTCACAGGAATGGCTGTAAGTGTAGTCTCTTTTGCAACTGTTATTTGGTCTTGTCACACTGGCTCTCTCCCCAACAGGGAATAGAGGGCATTGTGTGATGAGACCAAAAACAGGGTGAAGGAGACTACAGTAAGCATGGCACCAATGAATTTTACATTTGCTTAGAAGTAGTGAGACAATAGAGACAATAGACCACAAAATGCTTGTGTGAGTTTAGATAAATTATGTTTCCTCTCTCTCTCTCTCTCTCTCTTGATGCAAAGTAATCCAATATTTTTGTTCTTTTGAAAATTATGAAAACATTAGGAACACAAAATGTCCCATTTTGCCCTAAAAAAAGTAACTCAGGCATGCTATGCATGCCTATGTTTTTGTTTTGTTTTGTAAATGTGTCTTTCCCTTCCATGAAAAGTTCTACATCAGATGCTCTGTAGCTTTGCCTTTTTTTGACCAAACAGAAGTTCACTGTCCAAAAATTGTTTGTTTTGTGATCTTTTTTTTTTTTTTTTTTTTTTTTTTTTACAACAGACTCTACCACTGTGTTCCATTCTGTCAAAGAGACATTCCATGCACTGTCTGCCGGCATCGGTGATGCTTATGCCTGTCCATCTGCTCCTGCCATCAATCTTACAGCTAAGAAATCCATTGCTGAAGTTACTTTGACTAGATTTAAGTTTCAACCCTTTGGTGTAAAAAGTGGGCATTTTGGCAATGGTAGGAATTATTTTTTTCTGTGTTTTGTTCTAACTGGCAACTATGTAGTAAGCATTAGTTAATGGATCCCACAGGAAGCTTCCTTGTAATTTGTAAAGGAGAATGAAATGCTTGATGACTGGTCACAAGGAGCTCTGGATCAAACCAAAAAGTAACTTAAGCATCAAAATCATCTTGTAGCTGCTCAAAAATTCAAATTGATGGTTATTGTAGAGTTTGTATAACTAATTATAAAGACTCACTGCCCAGCAACATGTTTCTTAATGGTGGGCATGATTTGCTATTCCTTTATGTACATTTTAATTGGCCTACTTGGCCTTGCTTTTCAGTGAAAATTCTGTAATGTTTTTAAACATGTTGTGGAGGCCAAAAAAGGCTAATTTACTTGAATATGAAATAATAGCAATTCAGCCCACCCTTAGTGTAAGAGTCGACAAGTTACTAATAATGAACTATTATCAACTAAGTTGACAACGTAAATTGGCCACCATAAAAAAGATTTTTAAAAGCCAGTTAATACTAACTTACCCTGTTATACTCTCCTGCTGCTGCAACACCATGGTGTCTCTACCAACTTACCCCTTCTATCAAGAGTACAATATGTTTCTCATTTAAGAATCTGATTTGATTCTACTATTATTCTTCTCCTCTACAGTGACAAATTGTGTTCTCCCTACGACTCCAACTGCATCTCCGTCTACAAGTCCACCGAAAACAAAGCAGCCGAATAGGCAACATGAAAGTCACAGGTTAGCCATTGCAGTTGGGTGTTCATTGGCTGGGCTTGCTCTTGTTGCTGTCATTGGCTACTTGATTTGGCGACACCGTAGCCGCAACAATCAAGGTGGATACCGCAAGTTGTAATGCACTGCAAGAATGATAGCCCGCAAGCATTTATTAAGGTGCATCATTAGTTATTTTTGATAGATATGGTGAGGAAAATTAGAGTAATTGTAGTACATATAATGGTACTCAAATTCAGGAGATAAAGTAACTTTGGGGAAAAGAGATTGTAGTTGTAGTTGAATAAACTTGTTGTAAAGTATAACTGTATATCAAGTTGTAATCACTTCCAATGTGGAAGGAGAATAAGAAGTTTTTAGGAATAACAAACCTTTAAAAGGTGTATGTTAGGTTAGTGGGTTTGAATAAGTATTTTGATGAAATCATTGAGTTATAGGTTTTAGAACTAAATACTTCACATTAATTAAAAGTGACAATACTGTTTTTTTGTTTTGTTTTGTTTTTTTTTAGTTTGATCCTAAAAATGTGCCAATGTAGGTTACAGTAAGGTATAGGGTTCAATATTTTCCTTGTCATTTTTAATCTTAATCAGTAAATAAGTTACTGAAGACCGTGCCTGTTACATGATGGTTTGGTAGTTTTATGACAGGAAGAATCAATAATTAGACCTTGGAAGTTTAAGGGCCTTGTCCTTGGGGACCCTGAGTAGGATAGCCATTGGGTGCAAAGGGGTCGATGATTTGCATATTCTGGAGTAATGAAATCGCATAGGAGTTACAAGGAATGATACGTTTTTAATACTCCGAAACTCTGTATTGATTTAGGCTTGACAACTAGCCGCTGTACGGGAAATGAGCCTATGGCGCTATTTCTTCTCTCCGTAGAAGCAGACTCTGGTAAATTAAGTATCGCTACAGTCTTCAAACTACCTCTTACGCATTAGGTAATTAGTTATCAACGGAGCCAGACGTTCCTAAACAAAAGATAAATGTTTGACGAAGGGGAGGATCTTCCAATATGTCACGCCTTAGAAAGTATCATTTCGGTGGGTCACGTTTTGTTTAGGTACGTCACAGGTCACTTCCGGAGCTTAACAATAGTCTAGTATTTCCCGCTATCATTATTGTCTTATCTCCCTTAGAGAGCAGTGAAGATGTGATTAAAATGGTTTCGCACAAAACAGTGAAAGTTGTCGATCAACAACACAGTAGCTCTCAAGTGGTCGTGTTCTTAACCTCCTTTTCCGATCAGCTTCTCTCAAAAAACTTTTTTGGGGGAGCCATTGAACGCTCTAGAGAAGAGAAGGATTTTTAAATACGTTAATGATTACTTTGATAAGTTTTCTTTGTTCCAAATGCTTTCGGTTCCATGGGCTAAAATTAGTTTGAAACTGTTTCGGTTCAAATATATATATTCTTTATGTTCTCGAATGGAAATTCAATTTTAAGTATTCTTCGAGTCAGGGTTGAAATTTTTTCTTTTACTTTTCACGAACGAATTACTTGTGCTGGATTTTGATACAATTCATAGGTGTGGGTCGGGTATTATCATTAAACCTCACTTGACGCAACCCGCTAAAATACGTGAGGTAAGCATCAGCTGATACTTCTCACGTCTGTTTGAATGAGGTTTCATGTTCAGTTTTTCTCGTCATGTACTCTTCGAAGCTTTTAATTACCGCAAAGAGGATAGCACAGGTGAAGTTTTTTTAAAAATGATTTAAAAACCCTTACTTTCGAATAAAATTGTGTTCCGTGGCTTGGATTTCGACACGCGCCCATGTGGACGATATTCTTCGTCAACATTGTAGCAAACAATAGCGATTACGTCGTGCAAAACACGTGTGTTTTCGACAGTCTTGCGTCAGATACACACCCTGGTTACCACGGTAACAACACCATTTATTGTTCAGACTCGCCAGTGATTGGTGCGGTGTGACGAGAGTATCTATTTTTGGCATGAAAATTTCCCCGGCGAAGTGTATTCAAACGCGAATGTTCCTCAACAGCTTTCAATATAAATAGACCAATTCTCAGTGTAGGGAATTATTATTCGCAAACTTTTTAGTCCTTGGTGACCAGAGGTAAAACAGTGCTTTGCCTCAACGAATAGAATTATCTTTGTAATAATACCGCTTACTCTGGGAAGGAAAAACGTATTGGGGCGACGCTACTTAAAAGAAACGTTGCCAAGAAATTCACCGAGTCAACAAATATGAAAGAAGAAGTTTGCTCGGCCATCAAGTTCCTCTCGGAGGTTCTTTCAAGGAACTCAAAAGTAAACCGAGAACAGATTCAAAAATTTAAGGACACATTAGAACAATTAATCACCGCGAGATTCGAGAACCACTGGCATCCGAAGAAGCCGTTGAAGGGAAATGCATTTAGATGCATCAACATCGATGAGCTAACAGGCATCGACCCAGTGTTACTGACAGCGACGAAGGCGAGTGGAATATCACCTTTAGTTCTGTTAGAGCTCTTCCCAGGCGGACTAGCATTGTGGATTGACCCAGGAGATGTGTCTTGTAGAATAGGAAAAGGTTCGATTTGTCCGATTTATTGTAAAATCCCTCAACAACAACACCATCAGCCGCACCAGCAATTTACTAATCACTCTCAAAGGCATCTTCAACCCTTTTACTTCAACACGGATTATCGTCAATGCTCGCAGTTCAACAATAAGCAGATACTTTCCACAAGAAGCGTTAATAACAAGGAAAACTTCGATAGGTATCATTGGATCAGCAAGGACTATTTTAAAAGACCCACGGAGGTATTTTAAAGCCATAGAGATAACTCTCTGAACACATGATCCACCAACCCATTGGACAGGACTTGCATCGCGTTTGCCACACACACGAACTTTTAAATTACGTTTAGAGTAGAATGTTTTTAATGTTTCTTGTACATAGCTAAACATTTTCTATGTACAGAATTATCTTCGAATTTATTAGGGCTGGTAAATGGAAGAATTTTTACGTCTATTTTACGCCACTTACTGGGAATGGTTTTAATTAAATTTGTAAATTTGTACATGTACAATTGTGAAATAGATTACGGAGCTTCGCAAGGAGCAGAATTGGAAAGAAATTAGCCCAGAGTTTCATATTTTGTACTGATACAAGAGTTCCGTGTCGCATAGTTTAATAAAAATATTCATTTGTTGAAATATTATATCAAGTTTAGCGTGTTTTTTTGTATGTAATTCATCGACAGTGTGACATCATACACTTGAAATCGCGTATTTCTAGTTTGAGCCAGTGACTCCAAATCCAAATTATGCTTAAAATATTTGTGCGGAGGGGAAGTATTCCAACCGCGTGGCAAGAAGAAAACAATATTCCAATAATTTTTAAGATATTATTTTCTATGTGTGTGAACCAATGAAAGGGTATTTATGGCTCAAACGGTACATCAGGGAAATGTCAGGATTAATGAGCAAATTTTGAGATTATCTTTTCTTTCCCAAAACAGAGTCAAATATTGGAGATCAAAAAAAAAACAGTAAGATACTAGAACTTCTCTTGTGACACATCTTCAAAGTTGTTTCTGAATTAATCTTTGTTGAAGAAATACTAGTATATATCTTAAGAATAGTTTGAGAATTAGATTAAAAATAAATCCATGAAGATGAAAATAACTGGTAACAATGACACAGAAAATATTTTTTGAAGCAACTGTCAAACATTGCAGACTTGCTGATGGACAATGATTAAGGTGTGTTTGGTGGAGGCTCCTGACTGTCCTTATCAAGCAGACCTGATCCCTAGTTCACCTGCTGGTATGAATGACAGAGTTTTGCTAATAAATATAATACGGGTAGCCACTTGGGTAATATGTCTTCAAATGTAAGGTTGAAGACTCCTCATAAGGAAATTATGATGAAACACTTATGTCTTAAACATTCTCATACATTCAAGAGCTACAAAGTGCTTTTCAAAAGATTGCACTCACTTCTTTCATGTACAAACAAAAACTGGGAAATATGAATTTTTGCATGTCTTGTAAATGACCTGGTGAAATACAACATGATTTTTCTTTTATGTTAATATAAAGAGCATTAATTTCTATAATCACTCAAATGATAAACAGTTGAAATGATTATCATTTTATCACCTGGTTTTAATAATGTACACAAACAAGTTTGTTACATGAATATTAATTTTTCAAATTTTGAAGATAAATAACACCCATTTTGGGTAATGTTGTTTTGGTACCAACATGAAATATTATTTTAAAACTTTATCATCTTTTCAGAAGTTGCCATAAAAAGTGTCACTTAAAGTTTGGGTTTATCTATAAAACACAATCTTTCTCTTGTCATTCGTTCCATGACTATTGCTTTACACGTTTGGTTTCTCTACCAAGGGTCAGGTGAATAAAAACATCAGGGGATCTAATGTAGCAACATCAGACTGTATCTGTACCACTTACTTAAACAGAGGTAAAACTTTGATTGTGTACTTTGTAAAAGGTATAAAAAGACTTCTGTCCTTGGCATTGACTCATCCTTCAACAAAACGAAAGGAAATCCTCACCAGAATCAAGGGAGGATTTTTGTCGTAAGTCTGGTTTGTAACTGATTTAGTCTATGGGCGATTTGTAACTGATTTAGTCTATTTAGTCTATCTCTTTCCTCTCCCTCTGAACCTAGTTAATTGTGACCAGCCCTTAGAACAGGTGTTATTCATATATTTTTCATTTCTATTACTTATTTTTTATTTGTATACTTATTCATCATTTATTTATCTATTCGCTTTTACTGCAAAGTTCAAACGAGCAGAGGTGAACGCGTTCTGACGGCTCTTACACGTAACCCTCACGGTTCGCCACCGCTTAGCCGCGCCCTTGACTTCACTCGTCCAAAATTGGAAAATTGATAAAAATGGCGACTGTTCTGTAGGCCTTATGTGTTAGATTCAAAGAAAATGATAAAAAAAATTTACCCCGTGTAATCATTAACAATCCATTCAACTAGAAACTATATGACCCTCGAGCTCTTCTCTTCAATCTCCACGAGAACGTCAAACGTCTCTCCCATACAATACACCTCGCGTAGCCGTCGCGCCTACTAGAGGACATGTGAGGAAGTATGGAGGGAGATTGTCACTATATCTGGTTTTGTGGTAGCACGTGGCGCTTGAACAACTTTCATCTATTTTTCTATCACTCACTCGAGGAATGTTCTCAATCTAAGCCCTGTATATTCTGCGGTCTTACATGATATGGTCTTCCCTCCCAAGCTTTAAATTAGAGGAAAAATGAACTTGTCTCAATTTTTCTTTGAGGTAGAGCACTAAAACCTAAATTGTTTTGTTTTGTTTCACTTTTTTTCGGGATATCCAGTTTTTAATTTATTATAGGTGTCCATTATTGGAAGAAGTATATGAGTTATCTCTTCAATTGCTGGGAGGTACAAGTCTTGGCGATTTTATAAAATCATGTTTGTATTTACAAATGCAAAGTAAGAAATCTTGGGTCCTTGCCACCTTGAAAGAGAGGAGCAGCCACGGTAACTGTTGCTCTTTGAATTATTTGCCATCTGAGCGCGTGGTATGTTTGAACATGTTTCCGAACTGCAGCGGACAAATCACGAAGCTAGGAAACAAATCCATACACTACAGCAGGCCAATCATAGGTAAAATTATTTTTTAAGCAGATTTTTAGCTAAAAATTGAATGGGGAACTTATCCCACGATTGTGACAAGACGAAAAATATCTGTCTTTCTTAGAAATATCTGTCAAATATCTAACACAAGTTAGGGATACTAACTGAGTAGAATTTTCGAGTTTTTTGGTTAATGCAGGGGACCGGGCACTAGCACCTTGCGCCGAATTACACGAAGTACTAGGTATATGAATTGCTACTTACACGAAGAGGTGATCCAATTGTTACATCAAAGATGGTGGACGAGGCAACAAAGAAAACAGTAGCATCTATTCCTACCTTAAAAACCAAAGCTGGTCCTCGTGATGGCGATCCATGGGTTCAGAGGTTAAAAGAGGAATATATGAGCTTAATTAAGGTATATTATGTTGAATTGTGACCTCAATTGTAGCCAATGGAATACTGGGCCTTCTAAGAAGAGTCATGGGTGACTGCTCTACAGATGTGAAATCGGAAGCCTTTGTTACCCTTGTCCACCCGCCGTCAGAATATGCCCGTTCTGCATAGAACTTTTATACTAAACGTAATACTAACACGATTGAAATGGTTCAACATAGGGCAGCTAGATTTGTCTAACATGGTTATTCTAGATTAAGTCATGTTACTCCTATGATTAATCAACTCGGGGGGGGGGGACCCTAGAACAACGTAGATAACTGTCTCGATTAACCATGTTCTACAAGATCTAGCAAGATCTAAGGGGCATCCCACTTCCTCCTCGGGTTTTTAATCTAGACAGGGCATCTCGGCTCCCAAATTGTACCCGTGTATAAAGTATTGTATCCATGCAACTGTAATGTCTACAAATTTTCTTTTTATCCAAGGTCTACTTTAGTGTGAAACCAACTATTCCTATGTACTTTATCACTGCAGAGTATCTCTGTTTTTAGATCAGAAAATTTTCCCACCATTAGATATTTGGCATAATGTTACTTAAAGTATGTGCTCTTTATTTCCTTGGTTATTTCTATTTTTTCATTCATCATTTACTTATTTATTTACTTTTTGTTACTCAATCATTTACTATTTAAGGTTTTGCTAACCAGATGGTTAATTTAATTATATACATGTAAACTAATTTTTGATTTAAATTTAGTATTAACATAAGAATTTCGTCCTATTACAAATTAGGTTAGATTGTTCTTAAATTCAATTGGATTTTATTATCGTAAATATAGATTTTAGATTAAACTTATACCTCCTACTTTAGTTTTTACTGTTTTAGGAGCACCTCTATTAAAGATAAAATATTAAAATTATTTGTAGCAAGTTTGAAAAAAGTTGTCTGGGAAAAACTCAAACTGAAAATATTTTTCATTCTATGTTCACATACATGTAATTCTGAGAAAAAAGGCAGAAGTAAACTTTAATTATCATTTTATTTTTTGTCATTGTTTCAGTATGTAAGTAACAACAAAGAAGCAGACAATGACTGGTTCAGGCTGGAATCAAATAAAGAGGGGACAAGGTATTTGTTTGTGGTTTGGTGGCCATAATCATTCTTCCGTTGATTAAATTTGATTTTTCCCATGTACCCACAACTGCATATTTTTGTTAGTTTTTTGGAAAAATCATGGTTTGTAATTTGTACAGCCTTTTTAGTTTCTTTCAGTCAAAGAGCTCATGACTTGACTTTGATTTATGTTCACTTGATAGATGGTTTGGTAAATGCTGGTATGTCCACAACCTTTTGAAGTATGAATTTGACATAGAATTTGATGTAAGTTAAAGCCAATAAATTATAGCTCCAGTTCTTTCTTCATCAAAAAAGCATCTCCACTGCTAATTAACCTCTCTTATTGAGATAATGATACAACATACTCTAATGCTTTTTCTTTAACAAAAATGAATGAATTTCTGCTATTCTGCCACACACTCTTATTCCTCCCCTTCATCCAAAACTGGCATAATTATAAAACTTGGAGATATTGCTGCTAAAATCACCTCCTCGCTGAGGAAGCAGACATGAGGCCCCTCATTTAGTGGGTCCATCTGATTGGAAAGTTTCATGTGATTCAAGTATATTCCTTGCCTGAATTTGACCAACACATTTCTTGATAAGGTTTGCCTTTGAAAGCTGGTAGGTGTTCAGGCCATTATTTTGATATTTTTCATCTGAAGAAACCTTTTATTTTTTAAATCTGAGGCTTATTTTAGTCATTCTCTTATCATAGTTTTCTGATTTTATGGAACAAGGAAAAAGCTATGACTCTGTACATGAAGTACCATGCAAAAACTATCAACTGTTGTTAACAGCAAACCTGAAAGATAGAATATAATTAATTTGAGCTGATTTTAAAATCAATATGATATGAATAAAAATTTCAGGCATTTATGTGCCAGAATACTGGAAATCACATCTCAGAGAGTTTCAAATTTCAATTTTTTTGTGAGGGAGCATGCTCTCAGACCTCCCAAGGAGGACTTGGTACTGTATATGCAGGCATAGTTCAGTTCAGATCCAACACCTTTTACATTTTCTAATTTCTAACAACAGCCTTGTTGATGACTTTTAATAGTGTGATAAAGCCTGTTTGATAAATGATATTGCTGGTTCCTTTACCAGATACCAATCACTTATCCTACAACTGCACCAGAGATTGCTCTTCCTGAACTTGATGGCAAAACTGCTAAAATGTACAGGTAAAATGTAGATTTTCTCATTTCTATACTTCCTAAAGATAAATTAAACCACTCTTATCTCAATAACACTTGTCTATACATAATGAATTTTATGTTACAGGGGAGGAAAAATTTGTATGACAGATCACTTTAAACCTCTCTGGGGAAGAAATGTTCCTAAATTTGGAATAGCACATGCCATGGCTCTTGGGGTATGTACCTTAGACTAAAGCAAAGGCATCCAATTATATACATAAAGGTTTAGCATTAAAACCAACCTCTTACTACCCCACCAGCTTAATTATGGTGTTTCACCATGTAGCCTTCTTCAGGTAAAACTTATGGTAGTACTGGAAACTAAAGAAGTTAAAACCGTAGTGCAGTTTTTACTTTTATTTCCTCCTGAAGAAAGCTAGGGGCTGAAACCTGGTAATTCATCAGCTGGAATTGTTGTTAGAAGTTTTTTTCTATGCTACATGTTCATACACTCATCAATTAATCCACATAGAGACACTGTATCTAGTCTAGATCCTTCTACTAGGAGTCATTTGTTTGGTCCACCATCATTGTACTTCCTATACACGCCTGTTCTCTAAAATGTTGTGAATCCAGAAGTATAAATGATAGATATATGCATTTTGTTTTTTCATGAAAAGGTGATGCAGGAGGTACATGCATTTCTTTCTCAGATAACAACATCACTTAAGCCTCTAAAAGTAACAAACCAGTGTGAACTTCAGACATGGTTTGATGCTACTCTGGTTTACAGATTTAATGAAAGTAACCAAAGAAGTTACAATTCATAGACCCAATGTTTCAACTCTCCTGTCTAGTGCCTTCATCAGGGGTGATCTAAACGCTGCAACAAGAGGTCCTTTTATATGATCACTAATTATGTATTAGTGTATTTCCAGTACTACCATAAGTTTTACCTGAAGAAGGCAACATGGTGAAACATAATTAAGCTGGTGGGGTAGTAAGAGGTTGGTTTTAATTAGTGTGAACTTTATACAAACAATCTACAAAACTACACAAAAAAATAAATTTTAAAGCAGCTATTGTTATTTCCTTTGGTCAAAGTTTCCCTATAATTTTTTCTCTCAACACCTTCTTCTATAGACTGCAGGTATATATTAATATATCACATTTATTTTCAAATTCCAACATTTTTAGAGCAAGTGTTTGCAGAGGATTGATGCTGTGTTTTTAGGCCAACAAGGAAGACTGCTTGTATAACTTTACTTGTTTTTTATTTTTCCAGCTTGGACCATGGCTTGCTGTAGAAATCCCAGATCTGATAGAGAAAGGATTGATTGAATACAAAGAAAAGTCTGCTAGTAAATAGACAGAAAATAAAAATAGTAAGGGAACCAAATAAATGCTATAACTTCAGGGAGTTTTATTTTTAATGTGAACGATGTTACTGAATGTTTCCAGCTTTCTTTTTATTTTTTTTCAACACATCATCGCATTGCTTACTTTGTGGAAAGTTTTTGTAAATGCCCATCCCGCTTTCCCTTCGCCCTTACTTATTCTGGAACTAAACTTGTTTTATTACGCTAAGCGCCAGTGTCCTAACGATCAGCAAGACTCGTTACCAGTTCTCTTGACAAGGGTTTGAGAAGGACGTATAGTATTTAAGGATTTTCTGTTTTGTTTTACCCGGCATACCTTCAAACCCTCACCATGACGTTATCTTTCCCCAGTCTTTTATTGACTTTGAATACCAACCAACGATAAACTGTTGAATTCCCTTTTCTGTTTTTCATAATTTTAGCCGAGACAGAAACGGACTTTGTTACATGTAATTTCGCGCAATTTTATGCCAGTTGAGTGGAATTAATTTTAGTCTCGGAAGTAAAGCTCTTCGGGTCATTCGAGCGCGTGCAGCCTGTATAGGAGAACATGCTGACAATCGATGCAAACCCGTAGTGTTCATTTCTTCGGTTGATAAACATTCAAACCCCAAATTTGGAACGTTTAATAGTCATAAACACACTGAAACTTGCGAAATTTCTACCGACCTCATTAGCAAGCATAGCATATCCGTTTATAGCTACAGTGTGTTTTGTTCAGTCCTTATGTCAATTAACTTTCATTCACTCTGACATCTAAGTAAAACGTTCACTAACTCAGTTTGTACAAGCATGTTGTTCTGTCAGGAAAAGCAAACAAAACATGAGAACAGAAGGAAAGAGCATTGAAAATCATGCGACTTTAGGAAAAGATAGAAAGATATTCCAGTGTAAAAATAATTTTCGCTCGACTCGTCAGCTTTCAAACTCTTTACGGTGGCCAATTTCCGTTATCAACTCAATCGATAATACTAAATTACCCTGTTATACTCTCCCACCGACGCAGCATCACAGTTTCTTCAGAAATTTATCCCCTTTATTAAGAAATCTTTGGCTGTAAGGGATTAAGTGTGGCATTTAGAAGGCTTAGCTTTCAAAAAATTTTTGACCTGAACTAAAAATGTATTTCGTAATCTTTAATTCTGTAGCAAATCTTCCAAAGTCTTTCTGATTTTGTTTTTGTCTTGATATTTCAGATGAGTCCCAAGTTAAAACGAAACGAAATAAAAAAAAGAGGTACGGCATGAATCCTCTTAGAATATAAACACTGTCTTAGGATGTTCCCGAAGGTTGTCTTTGTGTTTTTGTTGAGCCGGCGCTTGAAACAGAGAAATACATTGCTGGTTACCCTATGAACTTTTGCTTATCAGTGCACTTGGCTTTCACGAGGTTTAGTAAGTGTTAAAATATTCCCTAAACCCTATATAAGTCCTCTTGTCCATTGTGCTATCTTTTAAGTGTCCTGAGTACTAAATTTTCCCATTTTGTTAACACAGAACCCTTAACCTGGGAATTCAACTTGTTTTTAACAGCTAGGCAATGGTCGTACTCTTTGACCAGAGCGTGCATTGAATGACTTCGTTAGAATGATCTGTCCGCTTCATGTGGAAGTAAATAAATATTACATAAAAGTGCACTTTAACCCGTTTTAAGAGAGATAAAATTATTTCATGTTACACAGAAACTCCGGTTTAGAAAGGTAAATTCAATAGAAACATGACACACGTAAGTTTGTTTCAAAAAATGAAATGTTAATTGGTAAATCTTTTCATGTAGGGATTACAGGGTCAGTGTCAAACGAAATGTGCTCGCGAAAACTCACTTGAATACCTTTTCTAAAAGCTTTCATATTCTTTAATCTAGGTAATAGCCAAAAAATACCTTCTGATTAGCGAAATGTTAATTATTCGGCAAGTTGCAACATTAATTTTTCGCCTAGGGTCTATATATACATATTGATTTGTAAGAACAAATTCTGTTCACTAGGAAGGTACGTGATATTTCTTTAACTCTCTTTAGATCAAAGCACTGAGAGTGCGGCATTTAATGAAGTGCTTTTCTGTTTTAAATATTAATAAAGAAAGGATGATGTTTTCAAGTGGTTCGCATCCGACACGAAACATCAAAATAGTTGGCTCTTGTGTACAATTATCACGGCTAGATCTGTATTTGTACGTATATATCAATTTTCTGATAATCTTCTTATTTTCCCCGTAAGCTTTTGAATAGTTTTTGTGTGTTTCTGGATGTACCTGGCAGGTGGACATTGAAATATTTTGACAACTGACATTTTGCTGCTCAATTCAAGGAAACATTTAAAGATCTTTTCTTTTGATTGAATTGAGCATTAAACGTGACCCTAACACAGAGCATACGGTTCATTCATGATTGGAAAGGCGGGAAAGGGGAGAGACAAAATTGAAAACTTCATACAACTGGATCTCGTAACGACGCGTGACTTAAATTGCGAACGATTGGATTCTAGCTGACCGGATTTGGTAATTTTCAAAGTGAAGACCGCCGGCATCGATAAGGAAAATAGAACAACCCAGAGAATTATCAGCGGGTTTGCCGGCAAGAGATAACTTATTTCGTGCAGTAAGAACGAAAAACCATTTTTAAAGTGTTGAATGATAAGATTTGTGCGCTGCCGTCAGATATAATAGATTAAAAGTCATTGCGGTGGACAAGGTAGGCTGTGAGGATTTAACTTTAATCGCAAGAACTCGTTGGCAGCGTATTTCACACTCGTCTTCATAAGTCAAGTCCGACAAAGTAATTACATAACAGGAACGTGGTCACAGTACAAAGGAACTGCTCCAGGTTTCCATTTATTTGTTACTTGAAATTGCACTGCTTTTACCCTGTTCTTGACAAAATTACTCTCTCGAGTTAGTAGGCATCTGTTTTTGTGTTTATTTGCAACAGACAAATTCAAAACTACTAAAAACTTTGAGCTTTGACTACGACAGGCGGACAACAGCTAGTGTGGACAGCGTATATTGGCCTAGATCCGCCTCTCTGTGCACGAAAGGAAACAAGTCAGAAGAACCTTTTAGCGGCAAGTCTACTCGTCGTTTAAAATTGTTTGCACAGCTGAGGCATAATAGATAACATCAATAACGAAATTCGACTGAACGGTACATAAGAGAGCTTCTCTGCGAGAGATTTCGAGGTTCTTTAAAGCTACAAAAAGAGGCCGACGAGCTGGCTAAAGTAATAATTCCTCATTCTAGAGGCATAGCAATATATTAAACACTCCTTGAACAGAAGCTCAACAGCAAGAGGAACAGAAGATGCAAGGAGCTAACAACTCAGCTGTAATCCTCGATCCAAAATCGGAATCGTCTGGAGCCGAACCCGAAAACATCACGCTCGCATCAATACCGTTGGCTTTCCTAATTGTCTTTACAATTTTTGGAAACATTCTGGTTTGTGCCGCGTTTTATCATTGCCGAGATCTTCGCAATGTAACAAATTACTTCGTTGTTTCACTGGCTGTTGCTGACCTGTTAGTAGGGTTCGTGTGTATGCCATTCTGGTTCGTTTACCTCATCAAACAATGGCCAGACCCTCTTAAGGACAAAGAACTGTACACGTTATGGATTTGTTTGGACATTGTGAGCGGGACATCTTCAATTATGAACTTAGTGGCTATCAGCGTGGATCGCTTCTTCGCCATAACATCTCCATTCACCTACCATTCGAAACTGACTAAGAACCGCGCTCGTTTGTGCATTGTGTTTCTGTGGGCCTACTCCATCACTGTAGCCAGTTTACGGCTCATTTCAACGCATGGCAAATGGTATGCATATTTTGTTGCTTCTGCGAGTTATTTTCTACCATTACCAGTTCTTCTCTTTTCCTATGCTCGAATTTTTCGTGTGGCTCATCAACAAGCCTTAAAAATGCAAATAGAAACCTATGGCCAAGAAATGTCAGATGTTGAACATAAGAACGGGGAATCCGCTGACTCAGAGACTTTTGTGAAGCCTCGCGTCTCTTACAGCGTGGGACGGAATTCTTCCACTGCAAGTCGCCTCCTTTTCCATAAAGTGCGCCCGCGCTTAACTAGTCAGAGCTCCGTGCGCCAAATGCGTCGTGTATATCACACTGATCTGAAAGCCGCTAAGACGCTAGCGATTGTAATGGGTGCCTTTCTCGCTTGCTGGTCACCGTATATCATCACTTTATTGATAACGGTTTCCTGTGGGAGGTGCATGTCTCAGGACACGACCTTACGACTCGCTAAAGCTATGAAGTGGCTGCATTACTCTAATTCAGCGGTAAACCCGATCATCTACACGCTCCTCAATCGGCACTTCCGAGCGGCTTTCCGTAGGATTCTCTGTCGGTTCGTGTCCGATCAAAGTTTCTCTTATGTCAGTCGATGGCTGTCGCACAGTACGCCGAGAACCAGCCGAAGTAGTGGAAATATTGCCGTTGATTTAGTTAAAGCCAATTCTAAGACTGAGATGGACGCTCTCGTTTGCACTGAAATCGTGACCGTTGTTTAGAGTTACTGAAGAAGACAAGAGAAAATTATTAACTACTGGTTATTACAATTTACGACTAAATCATCAAAGCCAACGATAAAGAATGAAGGACAGGTGACAATGATTTACATTCTATGCTCAGCATCAAAAACTCGATTCTATTGAGAAAAAAGTGGATTACCGCTGAAAACCGTGACAAAACTTGGTTGGCTTTACAGTCGAGTTTAAGTTTAAAACTTACCGCTATGGTTTGTGACCTGAAGTTGCCACACACTAACGTGTTTTTCCTGATTGTGACTTAAACTTGCCACACATTAAACGTGCTTTCTCTGACTTTCCGGCCGCAACGTAAAGCCAGTTTCTTACTTGAGTCTCGATTAGTGTGTTAAGAAACTCCGTTAAAAAACGTGTCTTTTCCTTTCGCCCGGAAATTTATGTTCCATAGGTGCAACGACAGTAAATCATAAGAATAGCAAGAGTGGAAAAGAGCTGTATCAAGTTGGATAATTCTGACAGAAAATCACAAAGACCAAGTATACTCACGTCTACTTACTCGTGTTTAAGTGAAAATGTGTCGATTCAAGCAGAAGCAAGATTGAACGTGGGAATTACCAAAATCTGAGAGACGACATGGCCATTCAAATGAACTTGTAGATAAACTGAATCACGTCCTCCGCTCAAAGACGTCTTCAAATAAAAGTAATACGCAGTAATTTTCAGATTTAAAATCAGTTTCTTTGTTCAAGATTACCATCATTTGAAGGCAAATGAAAGTTCCACACAAAGTTGAAATAATTTTGGGAAGACAATGAACACCTCTTTTTATCGTGGCGCTCAATTAGAAACATCATGGATACTATAAGTCTGCGTACACGAAGATTAGCTCTGTTGCTGTTCTCTTAACGGTGCTAGATCTTAATTAACTGTTTAATAATTCCTTCTCTCCAAGACATGCAACTTACATTAGTTCTTCCTTAACATTATTATTATCGCGGAATAAAACTCTAAACTGTAACCCGAATAAGTTTTGACAGAAGTTACAGAAACCAAAGGAAACCCTGTTGAATGAGTTCTTCATTGTAAAAAAGTCAGGGTAAACTTCCAAGTTCCTCGTTTGTAGCCTGTGTCAATCTTGTTCATCCAGAAACTTGCTATTCATTTTTTATTCACTCAAACGTCTATGGTGTTTTTATCACCCAGACATTAATTATTTTAAGGCTGTAATCCATTTAGAAGCTATTCATCCTGACGCTAAAATGGTTTCAAAATACTATGGTAACTCAACTAAATTAATCATTTTACGCTGAAATGTTGTCTAAATACTCAAGATTACTTTATTAAAACCTTTCGCTACCATGAGTGACCAGTGAGTGATTTATCCTTACAAAATCAATGCATCATCAACAGGAGTGGTGATGAAAAGGAAGAATATATTAACAAGTGGATATTGTTTGATGTAAATCTAGATTCTCAGACCTGCATTAGCTTAAGAGTTAGGGTTTATAGAGTAATATCAACGTTTAAATTTTTTTCGCATATTTTGCATGACGGCGGCTTGACCTACGTTTTCCTTTTGAAATTTTGCGCGAGAAAATGGCGCGCTTCCGGCCAGACAAAATCGATCCCCGTGCGCATGCCTGACACTTGACGCTGTGTTAATGTAGTAAAGGAAGGGTGAATGTTTCTGTCGTCCTCTTCGCTATCTTCTTTACTGTCTATCAAACACGCTCATCACTAGAAGTTTTCTGTTTTATCGCACATTGAGTGAATATGTTATCGGGAGCCTTCGCTACTCTGCAGGCTAGTAAACTTCATCAGTTAACGCCATGAAGCTGTTCACTTGGTAAAGAAAGCCTGTAATGCATATCTTGTCCGCTGTTGGTAGTAGTTGTCACATTCCTTTTGGTAAAGCTATCAGTCTGCATCATTCTTCTATTCAGACTGATTCTCCTTAACACATCTTTGAAGGCCGCCCTGAAGTTTGCGTTCAAACAGCTGTATATAAGCGGGTTTAGAGCCGAATTACCGTAGTGTAACCACTTAATCATGGAATAAACTTCATTGGGAACTTCGCATAACTTACAGTACCTGGAGATCAAATTAGCCACGAAAAACGGGCACCAGCATACAATAAAAACACCAATTACAATGCTGAGTGTTCGCGCAGCCTTGATGTCACGATGGAATGTTTCCGCTGTTGGCCGTCGAAGTATCGATTGGTTCGGGTGCACACGACGAATGCTACGAATGTGTATTAAGGCGACTTGGAATATACGAGAATAAGCGAGTACCATGCCCAACAGAGGAACGAAGAAAGAAGCCAGAGAAACGAATAACGGGTAGCTAGGCCATTTGATTGGTTGTATAGCTGCAATTGTTACAGAATAAATCCATATGAAAGTTATTCCGATTGTGATTCGGAGTCGTGTGACAATGGTTGGATAACGAAGAGGATGATTGACAGCTAGAAAGCGGTCGATACTTATAAAGACAAGATTCATGATAGATGCCGTTCCGCAGATGATGTCAAAACACAGCCAAACCGTGTAGAATGTAGGGAACTTTACGGCGTCTGGTTTGCCAGTCAGGTTAACAGAAAGCCAAACGGGCATAGATATAGCGCCAACTAAAATATCAGTGACCGCCAAACTGATTATGAAGGCACTAGTGAAACTTTGAAGCCGTTTAGACAAGATACAAGCCAGACAAACAAGAATGTTACCAAATACGGCGAAAATTATTATTATAACCAAGAACACATTCGCCACAATCAAGGAAACTTTGCGATGGTCAGTAGTAACTTCATGGCTTGAGTTTGAAGCTTGTGTTTCATTCATGGCCTGATATCGCAGTTTGAATTGCAAGAAAACACTTTTTACGAGCTGTTCCCTGTAATGTGGATAGTTGAATGATTAGAATATACGTAGGTGCATGTTATATTGTCAATTAACATATAGCTGGCAGTACCGTAAGCAATATGAGGCGAATCCTGTTTTCTGATTGGCTACCCGAGCGTGCAAGATGGGCTTATTTAGCCTTCTCGAGATTGTCCTCTTTAATCCCACGCAAGAAAAAGAAAGGCGTGGAGCAGACTTGCAAAGTTCTTAGTTTTTGGACAATTACGGCAATGGAGACGTAAAGAAAAGACAGAAGATAACCAAAACAAAGAAAAAATAAACAATTTTCGAGAGTTTATTATAGTTTAAAATAGACAAGTCATTTTCGGTTCTTATGAAGTGAAATCTTCGTCTCGGTCCATAAAAACATAAAAAAAGAACTCGTCCAATATCCAGCCATCTTGACCTCACACTTGGACTTAACAGCAAACAGAGTTTATGGGGCTTGAAGTTGAAAGTTACCTTTATCATCCCAACTGGCATTGCTTTGTGGGTAAAGAGCTATCAGAATTATAGGTTCATTAAGATTCACGAAGGTTACGTCATTCCTTTTTCGCCGATACTTTCTCATAGATAAGCTAAGGAAAGAAAAACGTTTTCCTAAAAACGAGATTTAAAGTAAACAGGAAGATAAAAAGTTATTGTTTATTTGAGAGATTATAAAAATTGAAATGGAGTTAGTCTCATTTGTCTTTGTAAGTGCAAGTTGTACGAACACTGGCTGGCGCTAAGGGTCTCCTGGGTGGATCTTTATGAAATGTTGCACTGTGTAGAATACTTCAAGTTTTAGAAAGCGACGAAAATGCTCTGTTCAGGAAACCTTGGTAGCACTGAAATGATAATCCTTGTCCAGTTTAACCCCAATTTAGAGAATGCCATTCACCAAGACTGATGTAAACTAATCAGTTTCCCTCCTGCATATCGACCTACATTGAACCAAACAAGTTGTTGAAACTCTTATAGATTCATTATATGTTCGCCCGCTTTTACAACCATACAGGTGGATCTCGCCTTCATACTCACCCTAAAAGTTTCATTCGGCTGATCTCAATCATCTCTTAGGAAGTCTCACCGAAAAAAACGTTAACGTTCAACTGTTATATTGAACTGTCGACATCAAGATCCCAACAATATTAACAAAAATTAAACAATTTGTGTAGTTTTCCTTTCCTAAAGACCAAGCTAAGCAAATTCCATGCGTTAGGAATTTTACAAAATCTCTTCAGCGATTTTCTGCCTTACTCGTTGTATTGGCCTCGATATACGTTTATATTTGGTGTATCAAAACTACTAGGAGTTTGAGACCTTATTACAATAACATTTTCAACTGAAAATTAAACTTACCTTCTAAGTGTGAAGGACAGAACTTTGCATTAAAACTCTGTCAGATTTTGTTTTCTGAAAATTCCGGCTTTTACGTTAGTGGCCAAATAATCGTGACTGCACTGGGGAAGAGTTATTACATGTTCCTTTAGGTGTCATCAATGTCTTTGTCGCCGTTGAAGGTATCTACAAGCTAGTGGGAAATTGACCGATTCTCGGAGACGAGTTTGTGTGAGTGCTTTGTTCACTGCAAACGTCAGATCGCAAAGGCGCCAAACGTATTAAAATGATTAATTCTGAAATCTGATCTTGGGAAATCAAATACTTGACGCACCTGTACGAAATGTTTTAGTTCGAAGTACATCAAAATACTTCAATTTGTCTTTATCGTCGATCTTTCGAAAAGTGCTTACATTATGCAGTTAAAACTTTTCAATCTTTATTTCGTTTTACACCAGAATATTGCTCTCTGACGCAGTGATCTGATAACATTATGATGAGGTGCTTTGTAATCCATTTGATGTGACAATTCCAATGTTATCTCCCACCGCCCGGGTGATAGCATCAATAGGTAAGAGCCACCTAAGGGTTCTCCGAGAGTGAAATAAAATCTGATCTATCTTTGATGTTGTTCATGTGTGAATTCATTTTAAAACTTATTTACAGCACATGGACCTAAAAGACGAATTACCCTAAAAGACTTCCATAAATCAGCGACCTCCTCTAAGAACTATTTAAGTAACAAAATTTACTTCAGTCACAAAATATCTAACGTGTTGGAATTGTCAGGTGAATAATAGCCATTTAGGAGATGAGATTTGGAAAATGTATATCTATTTTGAAACTTCTTTATAAGAAGGACAGTTTCCTTTTTGTCCTGGTACATCCTCTGAAATTAAAAGTAAAAAAGCCATTTCCGGAATTAAGATCTAAAAAGCTAATATAAATAGTAATGGGGAAATTAAAAGAACCGGATTACTGAGAAAAGTCAATATGCAATCCCTTTTACAATTAATATAATATTGCGAGACATGAACAAGTCGCTATTGGATTAGGCGTACGACTGATTCTTTATTTTGGTAGAATTTTACCTAATTTTAGCAAAAACAGTCTGCCATTTGTGTTACTTGTTGTAGAACTTCCCTAATATTCCCGGTCTTTCAGGCTAATTCAATTTGTTACCATCAATTTGTTTGACAGTTCAGCCGATTAATAACGATGATTTCCATTTCTCTCCAAATGTTTGAGCAAATAACATTAACAGTCTTGATTGCCAATACAAAAGGGTTCGGTTTGGAGATGTCTAAGAATGTTATAATCTCTTAGTAAAAATAGGAGAAGCAAAAATAATAAAAATAGAAGAAGCAAAAAAAAAAACGATTCGTTGTCCTTACATACATGGGTTGCAAATAACTTCCTTTCTGTGGTTATTACTGATAACAATTAATCTTTTGATATACGATTGCAAAGTGCAAGCAAAATGATATTGATAATAATCAAACGAAACGATCCTTTTATACCTTATGGTGTTCGAAATTAAAGGCCTCTACCTTTGATCGCATCCGATCGTCTTTGAGTTTTCAAAGTTTCTAGTAATCAATGGTCATACAACTGTTTACCTCAGTCATCTTCTCAGATAAAAGCCAAAAAATTGATATAGTACTCCAAGTTAAACGTTGGAATATTAATTTCCCTTTGTCAGATTTTGTTTGCATTCGTATCATACTTCACACCATAATGGCGCCCGCGGAAAGATAAATGACTACCGTGACGATAACTTCACCTTCGCTTTCTTAAATGCCTACATCGAGTAAATAAAAAAATCAAAGATGCTGCTTTTCTAGTGAAGGAATAAAGGATTTGCTAATTTTTAAAGCGTTAAATCGGAAATTCTTATGTTATTTAAGCCCTGTCAGAAACCGGGAACGAGGTAATCTAACAAGCCGACGGAAGATGCTTGAGCGGTGTCGCGCTGGTCGGTGCAGCTGACTCAAGGAAACAGAAAGTGCATCTAAAGTAACAAAGTTATACCAAACGTATTCTCAATTTTGAAAGGATGCAAAACATGTGGATCCAGCATCAGCATAGCTAAACTAGTATAAAAATAAAGCTAAATACATAAACGACACCGCAACAACGATTGAAAACAACGACTTGAATGACGACAACAACAACTGCAATGTAATAACAATAATAAGCCGACACATGCAATTGTAAGTTATAACACTGAGGCACTTTTTTAAACACTAAAGAATGACCGAAAATGAGTCTCCCTTGTGGTTTCCCCTCAAAACCAGGAAGCAGAGTCAACCGAATGAGAAACCTATTATCACGTTGGGTAGAAACTATTGAGCTTGTTTATGAGTACTGTTTGGCAAATAGGCGAATTGTGTCCCGAGTCCAACAGGATCTCATCGATCATTAAAGGAACGAAGAGGAGAAATACAGCTCTGGTAGAATTTAGAACCGAGAGCAACTACAAGTAGGTATGCCAGTGTTGTAAGCATGAAACATACACATCTCAATTTGAACTGAATCAATCCCATCGTTTATTGCCTGAGTCACAAGACACAAGGAACCAACAACAGTCGTGAGCGGGAGAAAAATCCTTTATCTACTCTCGATATGGATAAAAGACTTTTTCGTAGAATCGCAAGAGGTATTTTCTGACACCTGTTGAAAAACACGCGGAATCGCATTTTTATTTCCAGAGTATGCCTTCAGCGCAGATGAGTGAAAACACTTATCTCTCATCAATATTGTTGTGTGGCTGTCCTCGAACATAGCAGTGTATAATGAAACACTGGAAATTTTGGTCATGTAATTGAAAAGCGGAAAGAGGAGACATATAAATCCACAGTGAGCTAAACTCAACCAGAAAATGATAAACTGGGTCTTTATTTTTCGAGTTTTAGATACTGGACCTATGAGATAACTCACTTATACTGCTTAGGAACCATTTAACGGTAGCAGTTAATAAATTAAATTCATACTTGAGGGTTACCAGGTATATCTCCTCCACAGAATATCACGCTTATTTGACAAGAATAGTGCAAAATACGTTGAGGATGACGAACTCCTAAAACTCGACGTCCGAAGAATTCTGGGAACTAGCTAGGATGAGTTAGGAAATCGAATGTTTATTGCAGGTATTTTGGATTCACCAAAATTACCGAAAGAAGAGACCACAATGAAAGATGACCTGAGCGGATTAAATTAGGTTGAAAAACAGACTAACAAATAATAATGATAATAAAAAAAAAATTAAAAAAAAAAAACAGCTACGCGTCGATAACCAACGAAAGTTTGGAATTACTCTCTACCACTCATATCACTTCGTTGCCATCTGAAGCCGTTGATGCTGTTTGCTTGCTGTCTGACACAGGAAAAATCCAATGAATCAAGTGTTATTTTTTAAAACCTGTGACTTCTGAATAATTGTCGGCGCAAAAATACGCATGAACTCATGGAATGAAAAAGTAAGCTAGATATATTTTCTGTTCAATTTTGTAACGTCTGAGTTCTACTAATTAAGGTTGTTTGCCTTCCGTTTAACGTAAAATTCAAGACCGATGCAGCATATTACATATCTGAGGTAAAAAATAGCGCGTAAACTTCAGGCGTCTTTTACTGAGTAATAATTCATAATTCTCATAACCTTCTGTTTGACTAACTGGCTTATAATACAGATGCTATTGACAAACTATGGCGAGTGTTATTTTATGATGGGAATTTTGCGGTGTTACTCAAAAGGGGAAAACATTTATTGACAAGGTTGAGACTCTGAAGCTCCTCACTAAAACATGTTCGAGGTAGGTAGAAAATACATGTGAATTCTTTTCACCTGAATGAGAATCCAGCCAGCTTTGTCGCTTACATAGTCAGAAAATCACTAAGTCAAGGAAACGAAGTTCAAAATTTATGGCGCGCCGGAGACATGTAAAAACCTGCGCGTACATATTGTAAGAATTATATTCCATACTTGAGGCAGATGGCTTCAGTTAAAATCGTTCCTACGGAGATCGTTAATTTTATTTGAAAGGTTCGAAACTTTGCATTTTAAAAAAGCCAACAACTGACTAGCCGCACTATTCAACATCTTAAATTTTCTGTTTTTGCAATTTTTAAATTTGAAATGAAACGAAGTGATGCAAAAGATGTACATGGTCGATAGTTCACTACGACAATTTTTTTTCAGTAAGCGAAATTGACAAATAGTGACGAAAATTCAACCGGTGAGCTTTATTTTCAAAACATCGCGAATGTCAAATTCACTTTTATACATTTTCAAGACAGGTCTCTAAAGAATTGATAGTAGTTTCGGCGATATTCTTGCTGGAACATTATTTTCATTATGCGGCAAGAATGATTGTGTTATCATCAAACCACAATCTCTCCTGCCGATAATTTTCGTCAGGATTTCATGGAATATTCAAGACAAGCTTAAGGCCCGTATGCATATTTAACAAAATGCACGATTTTGGAGTATTTTACTTGAAAACTTGACGAAGATATCTTTTTACAATCAGTTGTAAGAAAGAAAAATTAATTGTCTATCATTCATCGTTTAAAAAAGACATTTTAAATGTTTGTAGATTGAAAATGGGCTTCTTAATTCATGAGATCATATTTTTTTGTAAACAATTTTTTTTGTTTTTCTAAGCTTCCTTCGCCAAGCTATAAATAATTCATAGTTTCTCGCTCTGATTTTGATGTCTGCAAGGGAGATAAGGCTCACAGGGATGTAAATCACTTGCTTAGGGCATTACCTAGGTAACGATGACGTATTATGACGCGCACTGCTTTTGAGTGGCGAAAGCAAACCTTGATTCACGGCCAACAACGGCTATAGGGGTCGACACAATATCAAACAAATGATAGGGTATGGAAAAGAAAAGAAAAATCTTCATAACCTAATGCAGCCGTGGTCGAGAGGTATATTTCTTGTAAATTAACTGTTAGTTCTATTCCCATTGCTGTGGGATTATTTCAAAACAACCTCACGCTTCTTTTCTGTTCACTTGACGTCTAGAGATATAATATTGAAATGAGGCATTGTCCTCCAGTCGCTTTTAACAAATGAAAATTGGGACTTGAAATGTTCATTTATTCAAACCGTCAATTACAATCATCGGAGGGAATTTCAATTAGTTTTCACCTCGATGTTTTCCAGTTTCTAGACCCTGTAAGCGCCGTCGAGGACGAAAATTTCCTACGTGAGAGTGAATTTTCACCCGACGTATGCAACTTGCAGAGACTTCAAAATATTTTTGAAAACCATATTGATTTTTCTGACAGATTAATTCTCTGCAGGGATTTCACAAGAATTGCATTTCCGTAAACAGCGTAAACATGCATAGATGTTTGGGTTTTAACTGATTCTCGTTTTTTGCACTTCACAAAAACTCCTCGCTAAGTGCTAAGCACCGCCTCTGAAAAACATCTAGGTTTGTACGGCCTGTGAGTTTTTCCGTCGTGTTTAACGAACGTAGATAAACTTCAACTCAACAGTTTAATTTCTGAAGCAATATAGATAAAATTGTTCATAAAGAAACGAGGAAATAGGGGAAATAAAAATTAAATGTAAGATAAAAACTTGACCCTTTTTCGCTTGCGTAATCACAAATAATTTCGCTCAAATTCTTAGATATTGTTACGATTTCATGTTTTTCTTTCCACGGGTCAAACTACTTTTAACAATATTTTTTGTTAATATTTCATGACTAAGATGAATCGTGTTTAGCTAACACATGTCCGTTTGTCTTATCCAATTTTCAGTTGCCAAGCATGAGTTGGCGTAGAGGAAGAACGACGTTTTCATCGAGACCACCGCTTCAAAAATGTCTGATCTTGTGCCGTCGTGTTTTGGTGATACCACTGTTGGTTGGTTGCGGTTTAATTTTGAGAGCAGCGGCTGACGGCTTGGAATTGACAGACGGTAAGGATTAGGGCTCTTTTTGTCGTCGTTCTAACAATAAAATCATTGGATTTTAATCTCGTTCGTTGTCTGTCGATTTTAAGGTTTGTGGTACACATCTAGAAAAGAGTAAGTAATGTTGAGATGCGGGAATCATAGCGGCACATCTCAGTTCTCTCGTTTGTCTTCAGCCAGTTTTCATGAAATATTAAGTTTTTAGCTGAGAAATGTTTTTGCGATCTTCAGCATTCTCTTACAACCTTGGCTTTAAAGTATAGAGATTCGATAATGCGAATTTTTTAAGATTGCTGTTTGTTAAAATCAATGTTTTATCATAGTTTGTACTGCTTGGACCGGAACTTTGCCAATTTTCAGTAAACAAACCAAAAGTATTCCACACCATCGGGCTTATTAGTTTATATTTCGAGGAAAAGTTATCCGGTGTGGCTAAAAAAAGAAGGGAAAAAAAAGGAAAGTCTAACTTCGCTTCTTCAATAAATATTCTCTCCGAATCTGGTTAAAAACAAATTTTATCGAGGCCTGAAGATCTTATCAAAACTCGCTAATTCCATCGCCATCGCTGCAGAAAAAAAATACATCAAAGTGTAATCTGTAGCGAGTGGCAATTCTAGGAATGAAGAACATCGTGACAGTCATAAGGAGAGTTTTTCGACAAAGAAGCTGGTAATTGTGTTTGGCAATTGTGTTTCTCGCTGGCAGAAAGTGGTTATTATTTTCGTAATACAAAGATCCTCGAAATGGCTTGTAAGTGAGAACAAGGAATTTATTTGCGTTTTGTTAATAGCTGCACAATGCAGACTAGTGTCAAAGATTGTTTTATTTCGGTAATTGCACTGACAGACTCCTTCATTTCATGGCGGTTTTGCTGTGTTTGTTTTATGTACAACATTGTAGTAAAAGATGAGATGAAAATTAATCAGCAAAGCCGACCAGCATGCAGCATGATGAACACAGTATGAACGGAACGGTCTTTTGAAATGCAAACTGCATTGTAAACTTTAAATGTGGCTAAAAAAATTCTACTTGTGTTTTGTCTCCTCTGTAAACCTAAAAATACGTTGTTATGCTTGTTTATCTAATTGAGTTGTTGGTTTTTCAGCTTCAAATTGTCAACACCATTAAAAACATGTTGTGCCTTCTACTTCTTTGTGCGTAACATGTATAAAATGTAAGTGAGGAAATGAAGCGCACCTGCTGATGTAGATCGCTAGAAACAAACAAGATAATTAGCTGATTTATTTTTAAAAATACGTTTTAAAACGTTTTGCAGCGATGTTGACTCAACGTAGGATGAAAAAAAAATTCAGCTAAAAAGTGCAGGCTCCATTCAGGAAAAAAACAATTTGCGGTTTTGATATAAGACCTCTTGCCGCGGGATAATCTCGTTATTGTCTCAATCCCTAACAACTGTGGACGAATTTTCATATTCTATTCTCCATTTCTCGTTTAGGACAACAGTCACTGGCGAGGTGTTAAGTATTGCCTTTGAAAAAGACCTCTCACTTATTACTAAAATGCAAATTTTTTGCTCTTGCCATCAAAGACGGAAAAGGGCTTTCCTGAACGAAAATACTAAGAAGTGCTTTGCTTTTCGCCAAATAGGATTTTCTGTCCCAAACAACAAAGAAAAATAAAATGTTCTAGCTACAGTTATACAAAGTGGAAGAGTCTGTCAATTATCCTTCACAAGAGCGTTTATCGATTTGTATCACTTGAGATTCAGAGCTCTTATTTTGTGATAGCGACTTGTAAAAATACCGCTAATTAAAATTTTCAACTGCATCACCTGAACAAAAGACGTAATGTTAAGTGATACTAATTGGTTTGATCCCGACTGAAGACAGATTAATTGACTATCTGACACAATGCAACAATCTGCCTTAACCGTCCAGGTTCACTTTAGAGTAAACATCACATTTTGATGGTGTCAAAAAAAACACAGACACACATAGAAAGACAATTTGGTACCGTATAATTTTTTGCTTTTTCCACATCATCGAGTGATTTTATTCTTACTTGAATAAACGGGAATAATGACATTATAGAACTAACTCCTACTCAAATCCACGCAAGAAAAACACTTCAATTGATTTTCACAAACACCCAGTTTTCTTTTTTTTCAGTGCCTTTACTTCTGTTCCTTACTTTGTTTTCTAATTACTCTTCTTCAGTGAAGAAAAAGCAAGTTAAGTGTCGCATTATATAAAAAAGTGTGCGAGAGGGGATGGATATTTGATGGTCCTTCTTGCGATTAACACATAACCATTTTATCATGAGACTCGCACGGCCCGGAATTCTATTGAAAATACGTACTAGACAAAAAATTTCCCAATGAGACTCGTAGGCGATGGCGTGATTAGGGCCGGGAAAAGGTCGTGCAGCGCTGCAAGAAGCAAGAAGAAAGGAAGAAAGATAAAGGGCGGCAGTCAAATGATGAAATGCTTGATGACCAAGCCAGGTCGGGCCGCACGGGAAAATATTTGGCTCTCGTTAGGACTTCGCTGAGCTCGGAGCCAAATGTTCACCACTTCGGTCCTTCCCCTTAGTCAATAAGTACATAGTATTCTTTTGTGCTCATTTCACAGGATCAGTTTTTCAATCAAGACATCTGTTATCAAGTGTCGAGTGGGAAACTTGCAACTTTGAAATCGGTCATTCGAGAAACTATTCAACGCGGGAAACATGGTGGGCTCCCAAAGAAGCATATGGCTGGCTAGCGTTGCATATATTTTGTGTTCTCGTCATTTTTGTAGGTAAAGTATGAAAGTGTTTATTGAGGTCCGTCCTCGCATTTTAGATACAGCCTTCACTTCGGTTGATTATTGGAGCAAGTGTTTTCAGTGATAGTAAAGTGTCACAGAAATTTTTTTTCAGAAATGTGAAAGTTTTGAAATCAGACAACAGTTTCTTTACCACCTACCTTTGCTCTGAATCCATTGCACTTCTAGCTCAGGGTTTTATGAGTTATGTAATTTGCACAAAATAGTTATAATAGAAAATAAGCGTTATTTAATTTTACTTTTTATAGCGCTTGCTATCGTTTGCGATGACTTCTTTGTGCCATCCCTTGAAGCAATATCTGAGAAACTGGATCTTTCTGAGGATGTGGCAGGTGCAACCTTTATGGCTGCAGGTTCTTCTGCTCCGGAGCTATTTACTTCTGTCGCAGGAGTAACAGTAGAAAGCGATGTCGGAATTGGAACAATAGTAGGGTTAGAGGAATCTTTCGTACTTTTCTGCCATAAATATGCTTAATCGCTTATATAAAATACTGTTTAATACCCGATGATATCACTGCTGAACTCTCTGTTATGTCTAGGAGTGCTGTATTCAACCTTCTCGTCATCATTGCTTTGACTGCGGCATTGGCAGGACAGGTGTGCTTGGGTTATTGATCCATATTTGTAATATTTTTAAAATTTGTTTGTCATTTTAAGTTTTCACAACTAGTATCCGTTCGAGTGTGCGATTATATCTGTGTGGAACTCTCCCATAAATGGCGGGCCCAATTACAAACTTTTTTCTTCATGTAAATTAGCCCTTCTTGTCATGTATGAAAACAATTCTATTTTTCCTGGAAAATCGAAGCTCATTCGCATACACATGAAAGAATAATAATCTTGGGTACCATTATGAAAGAAGTCTATTCGCAAAGGTTTTTGATTCTACTTGCAAAACTTTTTTAAGAAGACTGACAGAGACAGAGTCGAAATTTTCTGAAAAAAATGTTCAAAATTACTCTTTAGGCAATTCTACATTTTGGGTGAGCTTCAGTCACATAGACGTCCGGCAATAGTAGTTGCCAAGTCATTTTTATTTAAAGCCTTGGACAACTCTACCTGTTAGAAACCAATTACAAATGAAGTTGACCATTTTTTCCAATTCCTAGGTTCTTCAGCTGGACTGGAAACCGCTTATAAGGGACTCCATCTGCTACGCCCTGTCAATCGGATTTTTTTCTTGGTTTGCATGGGATGGCAAGTTCGAGCTCCATGAGTCAATCATTCTGTTAGCCCTTTACTTCCTTTACATAGTGTTGATGAAGTTTAACAGAAAGCTTATGGATCTCATGAGTGGGGCAAAGTACGTGACACTGTTTGAGTATGGAACCTAATGAATAAATATTTAGATTATTTATGTTTAAAATGATTCTTATAGGCAACTGGCATATTGGTGCTTGTAAAGGTTATCTAAATAACTATAAATATAGACCTAACCGGTTACTACAGCGACGCATACTCGTGGTACTTATTTTTCGTCAACTGTAAACAATGAAACAAACTGAATGAGGAAAATTATCCTCTTCTTAGTTATAGAAAAGTAAAAAATGCACCGAAAATTAGAAAAGCACGAATACCATACTGTCTAAAATCTATAAAATCAACAATTTTTGAAAAATAGAAACTAAAGGAGAAAAAATTTCATAGATATAAACACTTTCTAACGAGGTCAGCTTTATTTCTTGTTGCCGGTCACCATCAGAATGTTCCCAAGGGACGAAGAACTTCCATTGGCTTCCTATACACTGTTAGTACAACTTACTTCTAGTTTTACTGTTTGAGTGATTTCTTAATTTACTCTTCACAAGATAAACAATGATTCCATACTTTAAAACAAACAATATTCAACTAATAAACTTGAATTCTCGACACCAACTCTGTACACATTTTAAACGGTTTTATTCGTAACTTTCTATCCTATTAATGCTATGGTGAAATCGATATATTCGAAAAAACAAGTATAATATAAGTTATTGACCTAGACAAGTAATGAAGACGCGAATTTCACAAAAAAATTGCAACATGATTGTTGTTGAAATATACTTCTAAATTTTACTGGTCTTAAGCATATAAAATAACTGAAGTAAAACGTTTCTTAAGAGCTCAAGTCCAGACTGCTCACCTAAATGCATGGTTTCAACAGTGCTTGTTGATATCCTAAACTCTTTAATTTTGGAAGGCCAAAAAATATTTTGTGTTTCTATTTCAAGACACAAGGGAGGACAAGTCAGTCCACAAAATACAGAAGTAACACAGTTTGTGAGTAGTGATATCGATGTGCAGTCAGACCACAACACACTGAGCTCGTCCGTTGCTGTTCTTCAAGGTCGGCAAGGAGTACCTGCAGGAAAGCTTCCTCCCATTAGACCTGTGGTAAGAAGCATTTTTTTTTTGGATATATACGGACCCCCTTGCAGACAACTGAAGAAATAGTAATTCATCTAAGCCTCAGTGAGACTCATTTTACTACCTAGCAATGTTTTTAAACATTATGAATTTCTGAAACGTTGAGTTTCTCTTTCAGGAAAGTAACGCAGATGAAGGTGCTAACTCAAAAGTGCTTTTAACGACTAATCTTAGTGATCAAAAGAGATTTTCACATGCTAACAAAGGACAACTCTCCAGATCATTTGTAAGTAAACGGGAGCCTGGATATCAGTTTAAATAAACACATATTTCACAGCCAGTTAGTATATGTTCTCGCATCTCTGAATCTTACATCTAAATGGACAAGACATTTCTAAGTCAAGTTTAAAGAATCTGTTCGAGAAAAAGAAGGCTAAGTTGGAAAGAGTGTGTTCATAGGACGACTGGGCTTTCGTTTAACGACAATAAGGACAAGCAATAAATTTGTTCCATTGTACATTTGTCCTCGTCATTAACAGTAACTTTATCCACGTTATGCAATAGTAAAATAAACGAGTAATTAGTTACAGTTAGAAAGCTGAAATTCGTAAATATCATAGTCTCGGAAATCATGAATGTTTGGAAAAGTCTTCCTCAAAAAAGGCGTTCAGAAGTTGATACTCGGCGAAGTTCATTTGTTTCCATGTAGATAGTTGAGGCAGACAGGACGAGAGGTGGTTGCGCTTCAGGGATGAAACAGTTGAATGGAAGCTGAAAGAAGCTTAGCGGTAAAGACAGGAAACTTAGACAGATGTGCTAAAGTGTAGCCTATGAACAGTCACTCCAAATCCTAAAAATAATCACTTTGAAGGTTGGGGGTGATTGTACACAGCCTGGCTAGAGGGGTGTTTCTTTTTGGTACAAGTGTTGTAGCTAGACAAAAGACATCAGCCAGTCATTCAAGCTTACACAAGTTGGTTACTACTCTTAAAGCAAATTTATTAGGGCTTCACTAAAGGGAACCTATAACTGACACAAAACTTTAAAAACAGTCGATCAACCAAACATTCCTGTCTATTTTTGCGATGGATCTTCGTTTACAAACAGATTAATCTATCCCTGGGACGCAGCCATCACTCGACATCTCCAGTCAAGCCGCGGCTTTCAGTATCGTTTCCGGGACTAAGAGAACTTTATGACAATCCTAAGGCACATCGACGGAGTTCTACTGGATTGGCTGCTCCAGGAGAAAAAATCAGGCTTAAATCAGTAGCACAGAAACAAGTGATGAAAGAGTACAGACGCCGTTCCGAAATGGTTGTGAGCCAGCAGCCTACACTCTCTGTTGTTCACGTGGACGCCAACGGAAACGCCCGTACGGTACCTATGGATGATGACTCGGAGACAAAATCTGTCGTGGACCCCAGGAATGATGTCCGAATGGATAGGGAAGAAGAGGCAAAAATGAAACTTTGCCCATGTCTACCTGCAGTATCCGCAGAGTTCCCTGGGTACCCTGAGGAAGGAGGCGTTTTGGCCCCATTTAAGTACTCGCTAGGATGGGTGTTATTTGTTGTGAGCTTTCCTTTCATCTGTATGTTTACATGGACCATTCCCGACTGTAGTAAGCCACACAACCGCAAATACTTCCCAGCTTCTTTCACGATGTCTATCATTTGGATAGCCATTTTGAGCTTTGGCATGGTGACGTTGGTTGGACGATCTGGGTGCATCTTGAGCGTGGACAAGTTTACCATGGGATTGGTAGTCATAGCCATTGGCACTAGTGTTCCGGTAAGTTATTGAATCCCGTGGTCACGTTTTAACTTTTTGCAGTCTTTACACTGGAAATGGAAAATTTTCCTTTTAAGGCGTCTTCCTATCAATTATTTCTCAGTTTTCTTCATTCACAGCATATTAAATAACGTTTTAAAAAACATCGATCGACATTCGAAAAAAAGACGTGCATTTTTGTTAACGCTTTGTTTGGTTAAGCACTGGTGATCAAACCCATTAGCGTACCATATCCCAAACCTCGCGCTGGACTAGCATCCCATGGGGGAGGGGGGGGGAGAGGAAGAAAGTAGTAATACTCCTACTTGCTTCACGGTAAGGGATAAGCTCCGATTGGGTGAGCCACTGGGCTCAAGTGCAGACTTACTTTTTTCGACTTAGTAAGGAAAGCTACCTCTAAACAGAGAAGTAATCAAACGAAACCACATTGCACATTCAAATAAAAAAAAAACTCTACAGATAAACGAACCTGTTACCTTTTCTGATTAGGTCAAACACTCAAACGTTGTGCTAATTACAGATCAATTTCATAACTGAATTATTTTGCTTTTTTTTTCAGGATGCTTTAAGCTCCATCATTGTCGCACGGGATGGTTTTGGAGATATGGCCGTTTCAAACGCCATTGGATCGAATGTATTTGACATCAACCTTGGTATTGGCTTACCATTTGTTATCAGGATCATAATTGATAACTTTCAACCTATCCGACTTCTAACACCAAAGGAAGAGGTAAAATCAATAGAGTTTTCACATCAACTCGTACTTTTCGCATCTTTGCCATCAAAAGATGGTAAACAAAAGCAATGTTTTTTAGGGTAACTTTGGTGAAGAATACACTTAACTCTTCTCTTTTAGGAGCGTCTTCCGTGAAAAATATTTAGCATAAGATTTCTTCCCGAGTCTGTTAATTTCTCACCATTGTTCTGTTTTAAAAATTTCCACATATCGGTATTATTTCTTTATTTTTAACTCTCAATTAATTTTCAATTTATATGTTCTTGCAGGAAATGTTATCGTCAGGAAGTCTTGTAGTGGTGCCACACGTCAAATTTGGTTTCATTTTGCTTCTCATTTTGATCGTAGCCCTTGGGATTTTCGCCAGCGTGCGCTTTAAATTGAACAGAAAAATTGGTATTTCATTTTTTACCATGTATGTCGCATTCGTCATCTATGCTTACGTTCAAGATATGCTGTGTGATTACGACTGCTGATGTAAAAACAAAGTACCAACTGACCATTTTAAATGAAATTGTTACATGAGTGACTCTTTTACAGACCAGTTAGCGTTTTCCGTCTGAATAGTTCGATTACAGATTGATAGAATCCACCACTATCAATCAAAACTGGACAACAGCTAAGGTTAATTGAAATTTTATTTTTTTACAAAGTTCACATTTTAGAAACGATGAGAATATCTCTAGATGAAGTTTATACTAGGTTTCCATCGAGGCTATAATGTCTGTAACATGTTTTAGTGTTCTCTGCAAGTATTCTACTGACAAAGGTAACACACATCTGTGATATAAATATAAGGAACTTATCTATATATGATATGGAACATGTTTCGAAAAACCTATCACTATTCAGGTCATCTTTATGGCTTACAATTGTATTGCAGAAGATTTGAGAAATGACTTAGACTGACACAAGGTCTCATAGGAAAATTTATCTAGGATAAGTTCTAAAGTTGTAAAAATATTGCTTAAGTTCTCTACAATACTACTAAGTTAAGTTATAACAACATTGTGATGACCCAGACGTTTTTGTACTCTAGATATAGGTTGTTATGAAGAGAAAGAGTCAGAGTCCTTTTGTTACCATAAGCTAAATGGTTGAAAAGTTTGAAAACAGTCTTACATGAGTTTATATCTGCCAAAAAAACTTTTTGTGTTGAACACAAGGGGAATGGCTTATTAAAGATGTTACACTGTTTTAGGAAAACAAGCTAAAAAATAGATTGTTTTTATATTCAATACAACATACTGATACAAAAATTACTTGAATGTATTTTTATCAGAAAAAAAAGGATATAGCCACAAACATTGTAGCTAGGTGGCTGCCAAGAGTTCTTGTCGCATCTTTTTTAATTTAGTTATCCAGCGAGATGTCTTGGTTTCTTCATCTTCATGAAGCTGAAATGAAAAGCAAAATACCCATGAAAAAATGTTGTCCAAGTTCATGGTTTTATTAGTCTAATCCATAATCAAAGAGTGCATCTATAAACTTGTAAAATATATGTAATAAAGATCTTGGTTGCACTTAGAGAAACAAAACTGAGTTTGCAGTTGTTCAGATTTATTTGCCTTTTACCACACCATGGGTTATTGTGATGTAAAGTGCTTGGAAAGCTGTAAACATTCATAAATGTCAGTCAGTTTACAGTCACTTCATGAATTCTACAACAACAGCAAGTTGGCACAGTAAGTCATACATACACCGTACAAGCTCTTTTAAAATAGATTGTGTTGCACAATCATACAGTTACAGACATTGATGACGAAGACAAAATTTTCTCAATAACATCCCAAACACGAGTATCAACATATCTTAATAGATGCTTCATTATCTCACCCATGAAGCAAACAGTCCATCCTTATCAGAAGTTTGTGATATAACTAATTGAGGAGCAGTCTTCAACTCTGCTGTAGCTACAGTTGGGGATGAAATTTCTGACACTGCTCCACCAACACCAAACATAGCTTCTTCATGGCTACCATCAATATTTTTCCCACCTATCTGTCAGAATGAAAAAAACCATGAATGTTACAAACTGTTAAGATACTCAGCAAGATTTCAGGCTGTCAAGAAATTTTATTATATACCTAGACTTTCACTCAACAAAATGAGCATTGCAATTGGTTGATTCTTAGTCATGTGCCCCTGATCAAATTCAAATGTATCCTGACCAGGATACAATTGTGCAATTGTTGTTTGTGTGCCGAATACAACAGCATGTTTTTGCCACATGATTGTTTAAGGGAAAGTCTTAATATGTAACAAAGGACTTAATGTATGGTCCCTTGGGAAACTAGTTCTGTTTTTCCTCGAGTCATGATGTTTCCCTCGTCTTTGTCTCAGGAAACATCAGGACTCCTGGGAAAACAAAACTAACTGTTTCCCTTGGGACCATACATTAAGTGTATAACGTTACCTGATGACCTTTGGAGCCAGAAGATGAGCTGAAGGACTGAGGCACAAATTCACTGCTTTCTATTTGCAATATTGTGTCTTTATTAGGTGCGAACTCTCCTGTTAAATAAAGCAGTCAATAAACATTATTGTCAAAGAGAAAGCAATTATTGTTGAATGAGACTTATAATAAAAAAATGGTAATAGAACTCACTTAATTCCTTGGCAGCTTTATCCCTTTTGAGTATTTCATCTTTAGATTCTGTTAAAGTACAATTAATTGTCAAAGAAAAGAGTACTAACAGTTTTATACTAAAATGTGCAGGTGAAAAATATATGTATTTGCGCTATCACAGCTTACCTGCTTTTGCCAAAGCTTTCTTCATTTTTGCTTTAGTCTTTTCTTTTGTGAGCTTTAAGAAAGTAACAATGAATTGAAGTAAGACAACAATTTTTTTATGTAAAGGTGCAAAGGGCAATTTTAGAAGCAGTAGTGATATGGAAAGAATGGAGGATTACTCTAAAAAAGAACTTGCTTTGATTGTTCTGTATTATAAAAAAAGGTTTGAATATCAAGTATCCCAAGTATTTTGGATTTGCTTTGGTGTCGCTGCCCTAAACTACCTCATATAAAAATTACTAAAAAATTTTCTGCTTACTTTTCAGCAAATAAAGAGGAGATATGAAAATTGCATTTTTGGACTGCATAGTTAAGATGTTAAAGAAAGGACAATCATCACAGTTAATAATATAATGACAGAATATAAGCCTTTACTTTCAGTTCTTTCCTTGTGTTGGGATATGTTTATAGCAAAAAACATTTGATAATTTAAAATGTGTTTTAAAAACTCACTCACCTGTGAACTTGAATCCCTATATATTCAGAGAAAAAAACTATCATGAGTAGCTATCCACTCTGTCTACCTTTGGTTCATGTATTACAGATACATGTCACAAGATACAGTTTTGGAGTCTTGGCCAATTCAACAAAAAAGCAGAGAATACAAATTCTGTTACTTTATTCATCACCTTTTTCATTAAAAAATGTACTATGTCAGCCTTGCTTAGAGGTCATTTAGGATCAAAAAATTAACCAACATCACATGATTTAATGCAACCATCCCTCACCTTTTATCTTTCCTACTTTTTCTCCAACCACCACCACTGGAACTACTGCTAGTGCTTCTACTGCTGCTTGATCGACTAAATCTGTGACCTGTAGTAGAATAATATCATTCATAGATTGCAAAGGTCAAGGTTATGAGGTCTACCATGTTAGATGTACATTACAAAGATTGCAGAGTTAAGGTGAAGGGGGTGGTGGAGAGCTAGGGTGGGGGTGGGTGGTGGAAAGCTAAGGTGAGAGGGGGAGGGTGGTGGCTAAGAAGGGGAAACAAGCAGCATGTTCCCCATGTCCCTCTTTGAACTGATTGAGGAACCCAATGATACTCCTACTCCTCAACAAACACAACAACCAGCGCTCATAAGTATTTCAAAACTGTGATTTCAGACACTGCATAATTTATGTTTACAATTTAGCCTGGTTTTACAAAATGTTGAGGAAGTGATTGCACTTCAAAGGTTAAAAATAAGTGCGAAAAATAATAAAACATCATTTTCACTTCCACCTCTATAAACAGCAAGTATATGACGGTAAGCAGCCTTTTTACTCATCGTTTTAAATAAGATCATATATTTAAGCTTAAAAATTGGTAAATTAGGATGGAGCTTCAGAAATAGTTCCCTCACCTTTTCGACTTGATCTGTTAAGAAACACGGGAGAAAATAAGAAAATTTAGAGAATTAACAGGGTATTTATTCGTAATTTGACTTGATCTATAAAAGGAAGAGATAACTAGTAAATATATTACTCTTCGAACCTGCTACGCCTGTAATCCTCATAACTACTGCTTCTAGATCGACTTCGTTTTCTCTCTCGAGACCGCGACCGTTTCCTCCGTTCTCGACTCCTACTTCTTCTGTGACGTTTCCTCGAAGATCTGTGTTTCCTTCGTCTATCCTCCTCGGAATCTGAGCTGTGTCTACCCATTTCAACTGCTTTGCACTGTCAAGTAGTTTTGATGCGTGGCCAGTTGAGGCCATGCTACAACTGCGGTATCTAATTACTTTGCCAGATGCTTCATGTATTCTATATACTAATGTTTAACCATGGTCAAATTCTCAACCTCAATCCCCTTCCCTCTGCATCGCATTCGCCTCTAGCAATTCTTTTTTAAGTCGCAAAGTCTTACCATGGAACACACTCTTTCGCCAAACATGTTTGGTGATGAGACAAATAATTGTAAAAGAGACTGATTGCATTGTGGAAAACATAGCTTTGGGTAAAGGGTGATCTGATATATTGTAAAATTCCACTTCTGGATACCATATTTCCACCAACTAGACCCTGTGAGCAGGGTAACTGGGATACCTGTATGGTACTGGATCCTTGGAATCAAGTGTAGTGATACTATGGGTTCGGACTAGTATACTGAAATAGTGAGCTCAAGTCTGGCTAAGGCATAGACCTATTTCAAAACACAGGCATGCTCTGCATGCAAGAGTTATTTTTTGTAGGGTGGGTGGATTACTTGAAACATTGTTAGTGGTCTACATTCTTACAAAAGGAAAGAACAGTATTAACGCGGAAAAGAACGAAAATGTCGAATTACCTCACACACAGGTATTTTGTGGTAAATTATGTGTGTTGCGCGAATAAATGTCACCAAAAATAAACTGTATTGGTGCCACGGATACCTGTTACTACAAAATGCAGACAGCAGACTGCAGACCGGATACAAAATATAGACTGCAGACTGCAGAGTGGGTACAAAATGCAGACGGAGAATCTGAAGAGTTTTTACGTCTGGTATATAATAATATGTCATCTTACAGCTTACCGAGCGTCACGCAATCGCTTTTCCGCGATCAGCCTTCACCATTATTTGCACTATTGTGGAAAATTCCTGGCCCATTTCTTGATGAAAATCGATCGTAATATAATTTCAAGCCTTTAATATAGTCTTCTTACTTTGCGCACGAGTTGGTTGGTGTGATGTCTGTACAGATTTTACCAAGAACGTAATAAAAGTAGATGACGTGAATAACAGTAATGGTAAAGCAAGCTTAAAACGGCAGAAATCGCCAGAAACTACAACGGATACACAGGGTATGAGTAATTTTTATTGATTTTATGAGAAAAATGTTTATATTTCGAAATATTTATCGTTGTAAATCGACCACATTTCATTCCCTGTACACTGTTATCGTAGCTACGTTCCCTGGCATCAAGTGAATCCAACATGCCGTCTTTCTTCACTATCAGTTTGCATCCGTTAGAGTTTTGTTCTTTAGTCTCACGGTAAGAGTGTTGTTCAACAGATTGCATAGAGTATATGCAGTTTGGTTTCAGATTTTGCTTTTTACAACAAGTGTACGTTTTTCAACTAAGACATTGGCATACTTGGCATACAAGGCATTCAAGGCTTTCATGGCTTTCAAGCGTTGGCGACTCAATCCGTTCGAAAATTACCGCTCAATAACATCTTTTAGCGTGGATTGGCCGCGAACAATACAACTTGTGTATGCGTCTGTAAGTATTTTGAGCGTTCGCGCCGTGACACTCCGGGTGATCGTAATCTAAATACGTTGAAATATAAAACGACTGATAAAAGAGTTTTATATGTCAAATACGTATACTTTTTATACGTCCCGTGGTTCGTCATGTGACCCGGTCCTGTCTCTGCATGACAACGTCAATCATCATCAAGATAACACGCGTGATCAGCATGTGAACACTTCATTGGATCACAGTTGGTTGTCATGGTGTTGAGAGCCCAATGACCACTGGGTACTATTGCGCAATTTTTCCATTTTGGAAAAAAAAAAAAAAAAAAAAAAAAAAAAAAAAAGACGACAAAAAAACAAAGGCATTTTATGACTGGGCTACCACAGGTATCCCAGTAATAAGCGCCCACGCTCTAGTAAGCACCTACCCTCTAGGTCAGAATACCAAACACGCACCCCTCTTGAATGAGCGCTGTAACGCCTTCTTAGTCGTATTGCGTAAAGCATCCTGTCATGCCTTAGTTTTTTTGTATACAGAACTTTTCGTGAGAACTCCTCGTGGTTAAAATAACTCTTGATTACGCCAGTGTTTTTGAAGCTTCACCTAGAGTCTTTCTGTTTGCTCAGTGTTTGCTTCACCCGAAGTTTCTATTTTCACTGTGGTTTATCACAGTCTTTGACAGCAGTTACTGGAGCATCAGCAGACATTTTAAGGCTCTTACTTGGTGTAGAAGACACAGAGTACATCACAGTAGAATTTCATCACAACCAGAAATAAGAAAACAATGAAAACAATAGTGTGACATATAATGTGTCTTCTACACCAAGTAAGAGCTATTTTAAGATTGTAATTCCCCATACACCGTGGATGGATTAAACAGTTTCAGTTGGATTGTCAGACTGATGAGTTGTGGTTCTATGTTCTCCTGTCCCCTTTCACACTGAAAGGTGGTCACTACAAGTACCCCACTCTCACCTCACTCTCTTTAATAGTTGGGATAAAAGGAAAACCTGTTTCTATTGTCACTTTATTAAAAACTTTTTAAGCTTCAACTACAATAGAGTCAATTTAGGTTAATAATCTCTTAATAGGCTCCCTCCCTCAAGTAACCACCCTCCTTCTAATGAGTGCTCCCCCCATATTTTAGATATGTACCAGGATGCAAATTCAAGGAAATACAGTGTTATGGAGAGTGTGTTGTGTTATGGAATTACTAAATATAGAATTGAGGAAGTTTCTAGAAGGCTTAGTCATGCTGACTCATTGAGAACCCTTAATGGAACTTTCTAGAACCCTTAGTCAGCATAATTTCTTATTATGTAATAGCAATGTAATGTTACTAAAAATAGTTGTATTACAGATCTCTGGAATGTTCTAGAACATTTTGTAAAACATATATAAGGAGTTGCGATTAGTTAAAGTTGGCCTTTTCTTGATTGAGCCTTTCTTTGAGAGCCAAGCTAGCGTTAGTACAGAGCTGGAGAGCATGAATCGTTGGGATTCTTTATTGTTATTGGAATTGTCAGCTGTGTGGAAGGCTATGTTGGAGAAGAGTTGTGTGGATATCAATAAGTTTCAAGGATATTTGAAGAGAACTGTGAGTTGTGCAGTAGTGCACTGAGACTATAGTCTATAGAGGGCTCTAGATAAGTGAATAGTTATTGTGCTAGTTATTGGTACCGCTCTGTAATTCATTAGCATAATTACTTTGAAGAGTTAACATAAGTACTCATAAAACAGTAAAACAACAACAATTTGTTACAGCTCACATTTTTATTTCCTTTCACTCTGGATTTAAGGTAGAAAATCCTCTTAAACTACAACTTAATTGGTGTCAGAGAAATTTACATGTGACAAATTACATAAGCCAAGAGATTAACTTCAATCCCAAGTTACTCCTGAACCAAAGGTAACAACTGGATCGGTTCCAACTGGTTTGTATGACACACTCCACATGCTGTTAGGGACAGTCACTGAAAAATGGAACACTTAAATAATTGGTTGTAGGTCTTCACAGTGATATGTTTTATTCAAGAATGGCACATGATTCATTGAACCTTTGCATTTTAAATATGACTCTGATAAAACAGAGGCTGAACTTGAATACATATATGTAAAACTCTTAAACTCACAAACTTCTCCTGGTTCCACCTTCACCAAAACTTTACGGCAAATACTTTTACAAACTTCATTTGGTTTCAAAATGAATTTTGCAGTTTGTTTGACCTTAAAAAAGGAGAAAGGCAGTTATGAGGATTGAGTTATGCAGTACTCATTCAATTTCTTGACCAGTGGGTCATAATAATATTTTTATCAATGACTGTAAAACAGTTTGCATTGCTATGTGAATATAAAGTCCTAATATATTCTCTTATTCTTTACGTTTGTTTGTGTCACAAACTGAACAGATTTTCACCTCATACCTGAGCCATCCAAGTGGCTGAGCAATCCCAGTTTACCTGGAAAAAAGGAAAAAGATTTGAAAAACAAAAATGAAAATATTTCAAATAAAAAGACTTCTTTGAGATAGTACAGTATTACAAAGTGGCACACTGAGTTTTGCTCCACATTACAAACAGCTCAAAAGTCTTCATTAAATTAATGCATAATTAGATAAGCAAATGAAAACTCACACTTAAAGTTTTGTTTTCTCCCAAGGAGACTATGAACCAGTTTCCTTCTGTTCCCTCTGTCATAGGTGGCATGAAGTAGGGACGTCGGTAATACTTTCTAAACAATTTGGCAGCTTCTTTCTCACAATTCTCCCTGATATTGGAATAAATGTGCAAGTCCAGTAATTAAAGAAGGAATTTAATTCTTGCATGGGTAACAGATTTGATTTTTATTTTTTAATGTAGTTTTTTGATCCTTCAAAGGGACTTGGGAGAGGATTGTGGACTTAACTTTTGCAAACCATAGAATTGTATAGAGCCTGGGTTAGCAAAACTTTTCTACAATTTATAGCACAACAGTAAAATCCAGTTAATACTTTCCTACCAGAAGGCCTGAAATTTTTGTTCTTCCCCACTTTTAACAGCCGAAAGCAGTTGCTGAGGAGTCTGGTACTGTGGTAAGGTTGTTTCAAACTGGCATTCTGTGCCGGAGTATTTTAAAATTTCATTGTTTTCATAGATCTGAAGACAAGATTCAAAGTTTTTTCTTCATTAATATTGCCCATGTATCTTCACGCAAAAAGAATCAGTGATTTTGGTTGGTAAAATAACTTCCATTAATAAAATAGTAAGAAACAGAATGCTGATATCAGCAAGTCCTAGGGTTAAGTAATATCCTTGACAAAATAAAAACAAAGAAAAGGCATAAACAAGAAAGATAACTAAACTAAAGTAAAACTCCTGTACATTTGCTAAATAAAATATCAATTTGATTACCTCAGTCAAGAAATTGAGATGAAACATTTTAAGAGCTTCCCAATCATCCATAGCATCAGTGACAATCACAGGAATGTTGGAAAAAAGAAAATCATCAGCTACTCTGCTGGTACTAATATTAGCTACCCTCATTACTGTTTGGAAATCTTTGCATGCATTACAATCCTCTTCAGTTAGCTGATCTTGAACATAGTAAGGGTTGTCAATGACACATTCATAGTTGTAAATTTCTGTCCAGTCCCAATATGGTAGAACCTAAAAGAAACAAAAGGTTGGTAAAATTAGGATAAGAAGTTTTTGTTTGCAAAGAAATGTTTGGTTGATAAACTTTAGCTGAGTAAATTTTGGCTTTGCCCTAGGAAGATATGAAATGGTCTTCTACACAAAAAGAAAATGAGAATCAAGACAGAAATATTCCTGCGTAACCCCATACTTTTCTAAATCAAAATCAGTCTCAAAGGTAATCTTGACCATTGTTTTCTTTATTGCAAGTACTGTATACATAATAAAGTAAAGGATTGCACAGAAGTCTTCCCAATAAGACCTTAAGATATCCATTACCAACCAAGTAAATAGTCATTTACCTTGGTGAGTGAAAAACACTCGGCAAAATTTATTTGTATAATTTACTGTAACAGCACTTCATTATCCATACAATTGTTGGTTAAAAAGGAAACAATTACATACATACACAATTCAGGGAAAAAGATTGCCTTTAAAGCTTCCCTGTTCTAGAAGTTAATATTTTCGACTACGTTCAAACGTTACGGAAAATATTGGTAAGCCAAAAGCAGTAAATTTCAAACCTTTAAGGCGTATACAAAACCTACATGGAAATACTGAAAAAAAAAGTGCTTTACCTTCATAGCTACGAACTTGCCATAAATACAGATTTTACGGTAGGTGGGATCATAATAAAACAAGAAGACGATCAATGCCGCCAGCAAAGCAAATGAAAACAACAATCTAAGCCAGTGAATGTGTTTTTCCTTGCTCTGGACAGCAAGTAAAGGTTGTGCACATTGCTCTATTTGTGGCTGAGTGTAACCGGCTTTGACACAAAACTCATATAGCTTACGAATCTCACTGTCGACTAAGTTGATCTTCTCTTTTAAAGATAGATTTTGTTCTTCTTCAGTAACGTCCGAAGACACAGTCGGAAAAGCTTGGATACTCTCGTCCGCCATCTTCGATCATTAGTAAATTGTTAATCCAATTACCAATAAAGTATACATAAGTATCACAAACGTTTCAAGAAGAAGTCGCCTTCTGATTGGTCAATTAATTAAAATAACCAATCAGGGAGGGTCTTTTATTCTCGCATGGCGACAAAAAGTCAGCTGTGGCAACGGAGAGAAGGAACAAACATGGCGGAGAATATTGACTTTTGACTGAATAAAGGTCATTCTATTACTTTGGAAATCCGTATTTGTTCTTCATAGGGTATCATGCGTCGAGTAGTTCAACCCAGAAGATCACCAAGTCCAGTGTCAACTCATTCACCTCTCAGTGCGAGAGATGTTCGAGAGAGGAAAACCTCTTTCTCGAAGGCTTCTTCTGGTGCTGATCTGCAAGTTATTGAGTGGAATATTGCTGATCAGCTTCGTCAAGTCAAGTATCACCCGGAGCACAGCCGGCAAGAGTTGTTCATGGTTTTTAAATATGCATTTAATCAACTAATTGAAAGCAAAGCTGTGGTTTACAAGTCGATTTTGTCACAGATTAAAGCAGAGTATGAGGAGTTCATTGATACTCTGGAGAGAGGTCAGAGCCAGACAATCTATCTTCAGAGAATGCTCAAGGCTCTGTTGTCGGAGAAAGAAAATATAAGGCATTTTGTCCAGAGGGGCGATGAACTTGAAGAGAAAATGGCAAAACTTAAAAAGCATAATGCCCAATTAAGGGAGAAACTCCACATCATTAGAGCAGAGAGAGCTCGGAGGCTGGCTTCTGCAGAAAGTAAATCGATGCATTCTGTTGTTAAAGAGACAAGGCTTCTGATTCCTGGCTTGTCTCTGAAAGATCTCACCGACTTACCCACTTTGAAGAAGACACTGTCTAGTTTAGAAGCGCAAGTATGGGAGCTGAAGGAAGCTACAAAATCTAAGTTTGCTGAGAGAAACCAGAAACTGATTTTGAAACAACAGCTCACAAAGAAGGAAAATGTGAGAGATCATGTGTTTGCCAATCATGAGAAATCAAAAGAAAAATGTGAGACCCTAAAGGTTGCTGTTGAGGTAAGATCCCCACCTCTATTTGGTTGTGTGTTCAAGTTCTCTCAGGAGTTGATATTTATCAGCAGTATTTGCCCAGTTCAAGTCACTGTTCAACAACACAGACAGCATGGTTTGCTGTAGTACCAAAATTTCAGTATGTTGTATCTTACAATGTCAACTCTGTTTTTGCTTTAAAAAAATGCATTACAATCTTGGGTAATCAGGTCAGCCTATTACAGGCTGATTCAGATCATGTAAGACAGAGATAATTAGTTAATCTTAGCAAGTCCCTAAAAAGAGAGACAATCTCTGAGAGAGATTAAAAGTGCAATAACTTGTACTTACTTTAATTTCATGAACAGGCAGCAAGAACAGTGGTAGATAATCCAGACCAGGATGTTCATGTTATTGATGTTATATTTCGAGAGCTAGCAAACTATGGTAACAGCAAGTATGGGAAGAAGAGTGATTCCTTACAGTTCTTTGCAAGCTTTGATGAGGATGATCCCTTAAAGAAGAAAGAGGCAGAACTTTTGATTGAGTATGTTGATCACTTCAACAATTTATTTGATTTTGGACAGTTTGAATTGGCTGCAATGCATGCTGCCAACTCACCAATGGGAATTCTGAGATCTTATGAAACCATGATCAAATTCAAACAAGCTGAATGTAAGGAAGGTGAGGTGTCACCTCTTTTGATGTTCTGTGATGCTTTGATGGCCACAGCATCAGCAGCACAACCTCTCACAGGAGCTATGTCTTCTGAATGTATCCGCTGTGCGCTCAGTGATGGACGTCTGGACCTTGCTACCCATTGGCTTGCTCAGGAGAAGTTAACATTTTCTATTCCTCTTGGTGATGCTTTTTGCAACTTCTGCAAATGCCTTAAAAAATGTTCATGCACCTGTATTCCTTTGGCACAAACTGTTTACATGAAAGTTGGTGCGCATCATCAAGTTGTTGCTTGTCTTTGCAGGCAAGGAAAATTCTCAATCATGTTGAATTATGCACAGAAGCATGCAAAGTTCACAACAGAGGATTTTAGATCAATCCTGCTGAGGAATCCTTCTCCAGAACTAGCAAAGCTTATGCTCAGTCGTCCTGGTACTAATGGCAGGGTTGGGTTGTTAAGTTTTGCATCTGTTGTTGGAGCATTTTTAGATGACAACAAACCTGAGATGTTAGTGAATTTATTAAAGCATCTCTCTCAGAGCAGCTCTGATGACTTATCTACTGTGATGACAGATGCATTGTTTAATGAGACTAGGAGTGACAATATGGATTCAAACAGATGGCTGTTGGTTGTTGATATGTGCCAGGAATCTGGTTTGCTGGGAATTGGTGTTGAAATATTGTCCATTCTAACCATAAGGGAGGCACTAAACAAAGCATCCATTGCTTTTAGTATGGATTACATTTCTTAAGCAAAAATTTAAGATTTTAGCGGACAGAAGTGCATATTCAGTTTGTAAGAGGTCTCATATTATTAAAACTTAGTAACAGAGACACTAGAACCAAGATTTAACTATTTCAGCACATACCCAATACCTATTTCAGAGACTTCATCAAATGGTTCGATTCAAAAGCCACAACGTCTAATAATTAGGAATCAACAAGGTGTCCTGCTCAAATAGAATAATTTTACGAAAAGTACCTGTGTAGAGGGGATACACAGGAACCTGAGGTGAGGGAAAAAGTAGGAGATTAGATTAAGTGCCCTATATCATTTTCGTAAGGACTCTTCTTTATAGACAAAGACAAACTTCAGTCTTAGTGTTGTGTAAGGAGACAACTGGAATATCAATGGAACTTTCATAAATGAGATTTATTTTCATTGATTATACAGACTGTTAGTAAATCTGTATGTCTTTTGCATTTCTGATCAAGACTTGCAAACTCTTTCCTTCATGTTTCACAACACTACTTACAAAGTTATGAGTATCTTCTAAATCTTAAGAATTCACATTTTTAACTCTGAATGATATAATAAATACATTGTAGAAAACAAAATAGGCAAACAGAATTCACAACAAAAAGATAAATCTGTCTTAAAATTAAGTAAAAATTTGAATGACTTGGAACAAGTCACTTAGTGTTGGCAATATACATGGCATGAAACTGTTTAGCCTGAAAAAATAAGGGAACAATCAGTCATTGACAAGATTCACTTTCATGTTCCACTTAAGAAGAGAAAGTGTAAGATGGCTCTTTCTGTACTATGATATTCTATTTAGCTTACTAAATAATTTTTAAAGTTCTGCAGTAGAGGAACCTGATCCACCTTGAAATTTTCAAACAATTCTGATAGAACAAAAAGCCATGAATTGACAATCTCCTGTTTCCTGCCAAAAATTTTTTATCCAACCCATACTCAGTGTTGCAGAATTTCACAAACTATTGATTCATACCAAGCCCTTTCTAGTTTCTTCTATGATCAGGTGTACTGATTGTCCAAACTACTTACATTATTGAGAGCGAATTTGTCCTATATCTCATATCTTCTAAACTTGCTGATATGTCTCCCTTGCTTGGAACCCCATCTATGTCTCTTGTGCAACTTTGTGACTTTGAAAATGTCATCACTAGGTGACACTAAGTGTTTTGCCTTAAGGTTCCCATCAAAGAATTCATCAAGAGGATTTTCTTCAACTAAAGTAAAAAATATAAAAAAAAAAACTTCAGAAAGTCAGAGTGTACTCTTAATGACTATGACAGAGCTAAGTAAAGCTACAAGAAGATTCTCAAGCACTCTTGCAATTTCCCAAGATTACTTAATTTATTTGTAGTTGAACAGAACGTAGGAACAGAATTTTTGACATAGGGATTAAATACTTTTTCAGCTAGGATGCTTTCAAAACCCCATGAAAAGGTTATCTGTTGCCCATGCCAGAGGAGACCCTTGAGTTGTAACTCACCTTTTCCGTAGTCAAGCATGAGTTCTTTTCTTGGTTTGGCAGCCCAGTGTAATGATGAATGTGCTGCTCCACTCAGCTCTATCCATTGATCATAAGGTACAGCTATTCCTGATTTGCGCCAAAAGTCATACTTTTTCCTGCTTTCCTCGTCGCACAGAATATTACGGGCATTTTGCAATCTGCAATAGAATTTTTTTTGTAAACTGAGAATAAAAGGTAGATATTGAATATTTGCGCCATTCTCCCGGGAGTACTTGTTAAAATCGGCAGTGCCAAAAGGTAGATATTGAATATTTGCGCCATTTCCCCGGGAGTACTTGTTAAAATTGGCAGTGCCTTAGTATCATTTCTTAGCCTGCCTCAGATGCTCTCTTGTGAGAGTGCACACAACTTGAGAATGTTGGCGTATCTCCCTTTTGTGACGCACAAGGATTGCATCACTGACACGCCCCCTAACGCCTCCAACGCATAATGTAAAGTGGCCTATTGTGAAACAAATACGAAATATTATGCAAAATACTGAACGATATTCTTTCTTCTTTTAGTTTAAAGATATGTACATGTTGTTTCGGACTAAAACACATCATGAGGTATTAACTATTAAGTAAAAAACTACCAAGAGAAGATACACCTGCCACAAGTACAATCTTCGTAAATTTGTAACGGCGACTACCAGGGTAACCCGCATTGAAAATCACCTAGTAGTAGAATTTGCCAAATTACATCTGTTTCCTCTGCAAAAATTTGATTAAAAATCTCCTGAAAGTATCTAAAGGCTGGTTTATTTTGTTAAAATCAACAGCCTTGACTATTCTAAGTAATGAAGAGACTATTCATGGGAATCATGTTTTAATTAAACCCCTTAATTATACAAACCTTTGGAACAACTTCGCTGTGTTTTCATCGCCAGGGTTCTTGTCTGGATGAAGTAGCTTCACCTTTTGTCGAAACTCAGTTTTAATTTGCTCTGCAGTTGCCAGCTCGTCACATCCTATCAGAGTGTAGAAATCGTCCTCTTTGATTTTCTTCATCAACACATCAAAGAAATCTTCCATCTTAAAGCGAATCGTCACTTTATACGACGTAACAAACAAAACAAAACAATAACAATATATCGGAAGGGAGGGGGTTGTCAGTGGCTGGTACAGCAAAACTATTCGACTAATAACCGAGTGTCCTCCGTTGTCTATACCTATAATTACCTACGTTCAGTGAAGTAGTGGTCCTAACATAATAAGGAAGCATTTGGAAATAAGAAAGAATCGATTGTATGAAAAAGTATACAACTGAACAAAATAGGGTTTATTACGTTCCATACCCTACCCTACCCTACCCTACTATTCATACCAAGACTGTCACATTGCTTGGTCGCAAAGCTAGGTATTTCGATGTATTTGTAAGTGAGCGAGTCTTACCGTCGAAGGAAACATGGCAGAATGTCCCGAAAGTAGTAGTGGTAGTACTGTCACAGTTATTGAGGAAACGAGTGAGAGTCCATTGGTATGTACTGCATACTTCATCGTCTCAAGCAAATTATTCTTCTTGAAATCGGTCAGGTTTACCATAATTTTTAAACCACTGGCACAGCGGATTGATTCTTCTGTATCTTGCAATCTGAATGAAATCTTAGGTTTAGATGGTTTCAAAGTAGCTTTAAAAAAATTAAAATTAGCATCTTGCTAAAGGAATAAAAATAATAGATGAAATACTGGTTTCAAATATTATTAAGCACTCACTGTTTGCTGACAAGTTCCTGTCGCTACTAATTGAAATATTATGTAAGGTACATTTGGGTGTAATTGCTCATTTCGAAGGTTGATAAGATCATGTTTCCAAGTTCTGACACAAAAGAGTAATTTCAAACTGCTGTCAAGCCATCTGTTATTGTGCTGTAGGCTTTCAAGTATCCCTTAGCATGGTGTAAACAACACCTATTACTCATTGCCTGCCCCTGTTGAATGTCCTCTTTGAGCTATTACTGACTGCTTCCTGGTCAAAATTTGTGCCAAAACACGTTTTGATTTTCACTTAATTTAATTCCATGACACTGGTATTAATGTACTCTTTCATTTTTAATTAAAGTAAAGTTGTAAAGGTTAAATTCAATGGGAAAATATTAATGCAAGGCTAAATTTTACTCACAGCAACAGAGGCTTGTACTGAAACTAAAGAAACCCAAATCAGAGAAGAAGGTGCAATGGGATGAAAGTGCAGTAGATAACGAGTTTATGGGAAAGAAAACATCAAAATGTAAGAAGTAAACAAGGTTATATATTTAAATGTAATATGAGTGAACATGGGTCTCAATAAGCAGTTCTTTCCTCTTTCTCGTTGTTCTTCATTTTTACCTATCATTATTTGTTCTACACCTTAATTGGACAATCCATCATCTCCTTATATATTTACATAAAATTTCCCTATACTTTGCTGATCCTAGTAGTAAACAAGATGTCTAACACACATTGAATCAGGATATGGCTTGTCTTACTAGTGAGTTCTAGGCAGCTTTGTTGGTAGAGCACTGGTTTGTGAAATCAGAAGTTCAAAGGTTTGAATCCTCAACTGAGACTCAGGTTTGTTCTCTCCCACCCTTGTGTAGGTTGTTGTATTTATTCAAAGCCCAAGATGTTTGGAGACTCCTCATCAGAAAGTGATAGTGAGGATGATGGATGTAAGCACAACTCTTACTGCACAGGCCACAAAAAGAAAGGCCACAGACATAGTCATGATCATAGTGACAAAGGAGATGACCCTGCTACATTCAATTCCAACCCAAGTGTAAATAGCTGATTATTTTGACCAATACAAAACATTTATCTGATATTATTTTATTAACATAGGTTATACAATATGTATAAATGTACAGAGATTAGTACAGTAGCCAACATTGATGTCTCTGTTAACAGTCAGACATGGTTCCTTCCTTCATGTTGTCAAACAGTGCAATTAATTGTCACTGTAAAAGAAAATTTAACTTGGGATAGAATGGGATCATTAAATAATTCAAATTGGGACCAGAATTGTTGAACAAATGAAAGTTAATGTTAAGGAGACAGTTACTGTTGATATGTTGATGTTGTTTATTTCCCTAGCCCCTGAGCAATGTTAGAATTTTAATAATAGCCTATTAAGAATCACCCTGAGTAAATGAAATAGGTGAATTGCTGCTGATTTCCCTAAATGGGATATTTGTAATCCAAACTCTTTTTGGAGCGAAATGCCTGCAGTGTTAGTTTTCCTTTTTTTTGACAGTGTGCCTTAAGGCATGATTTGTGGTGTAAACCAAAAAATACTTTACTAATTGTTATTTGGCTGGAATTTGACTGAAACTGTTTATCATAATTGTGTTATCTCTGTGATGGTTTAAGGAATTCCCAATCGCAAAGCTCAGATGTCTTAAGTAACTTTTGTAAATAGCCTCCTTGAGGTATTTTTAATAACACCCTTTGAATTAAAGTTACCTTCAATTTTGTAATGTTACACAAGGGCTGGAAATGTATTTACTTGACAACAAAAGCTAAGTTTTTTCGTTTGTCTCATGATGTAGTCACATGTAATGTAGATCATGATGTTTTGACTGCATACTGCTTGTCTTCTTCAGGCTTCTTCAGGCTTCTTCATTGCCTGAAGAAGACTAGCTGTATGCAGTTGAAATGTTGTGATCTACATCACACGTGACTACATCATGAGACAAACGAAAAAACTTTGCTTTTATTGTTATTCACCACAATGAATAACCACAACCTTTTTTATGATATTTACTTGACTTGCCTTATTAAACCTAATTAATTATCTTGTCATTTACAAGTCTGTAAACAAGAATAATACATAGAGAACAATATGAGGATATTGGTAAACACAAGGCAAAAAAAAAAAAAAATTCAAGTGAAATAAATCAAGTTTCCATTTACCAGTCCACAAAACAGTTTATTATTATTTCTTTTACAAAAGAAAGCAAAATTATATTTACAAGTCCTACCAGCTGAGAAATACCGGTAAATAGAAATAAAAGCAATGTGGCAATGCGTTCAGTATGGCTTGAACAGCATAATATGGTTAACTTGGCTGGCTGGGGGGGGGGGGGGGAAAAAAGAGAGACAGAGAGAGGGAGGGGGTTCATTGTTATTTGACCATTCTTATTTTTACTACACTTACATTGTAGTATGTACCTTCTGGTGATTTTTAAATAAGAATGATATAATTGCAAACTGCAAAATTTGACATTTCTTTCTAAGCTACTGGTTTCTCAAACATCTCACTATATTTTAAATTATAACATTAAAAATAACATTAAATTTCTAACCTGGCCCCTAACCTGAGTAGGTTGGAACTTTTTCAACTCAAATTTTTCTTTGGCTCAAACTTAAAGCTATTTTCCTATCAGTTATTTTGGACAAACTTCAATTTTAAACTGATGTGGTTTGTTGAAAATTGTGCCTTTCTATATAGCACTTCTAATAAAATGGCCTCATTATTAAAAAGTCCCCACAAATAAGGGTTAGGATATTTCCTTGAAAAACACAGTCATATTAGGTTGAGATGGTTCCTTTTGGAAGAAATTTGTCTTTCTAGCCTCAAATGTATGTGCCTCAAATGTATGTGTTGGTTGACTTCAAATTCCTTACTCACAAAAACCAAAGTTCTTTGCCTGCAAATAAACAAACACCTTCTTGGTATTTAAACTACATATTAAACAAAAGGATTAGAATTATAACTGAACATGTTTATTCTTACTAGATATTTTTGAAAGGAGAAGTGCAGTTAAAGAAAGCCTATACACTTTTTAATGAATTTTGACCCTTCAAAAATATGTGTTGAGTGACATGTGTAACTTCTATATTTAGTAAGAAGACACATTATTTTACAACATGCTACTTATATCTAAAAGTGCTGTTGTTTTAAGACCTCTCTAACTTAATATGTCTCTTTTAGATACACAACAATTTTTCCAGAGAATTCTTCTTCAAAACAGGATGTATTAAGTTTTTGAAGCTTGCCATTTCATTTATTTCAGTTACTTTTGGCACTGTTGGCACTTATTACAAATGGTGTGCATTGTAACTCAATACTGAGCTAATGGCTATGCCATCCAGTTTGAGAGTGATTTCAGTATCTGTTTGTCCAGATGATTGCACGCTTGTTACGATCACAGCTGATTAGACTTGATCCATCAGGATGCCAGGCACACACAACCACTGAGGAACTGTCATTAGAAAATTACAAATTTTGAGTGGTAAGTTTGATTTTCTGTGAAAAATACAAAATAAACTGCAGTGATCTATTCAAACTGCATGTTTGGATCTCTACATCACACAACAAAACAAAAGGAGTGAAATCAGTCAAACAGTCAGTCAGGTGAGTCATTGAGTCTGCAAGCTAGTGACTCAGTGAATGAGTCAATCAGTGAGTTAGTGAATCAGTAAGTCAGTCAGTCTATCAGATGTTTAGCTGTGCAATTTACAGAAGTATTTTTAAAACAAACCTAATACATGTAAATAAATATACTTCCATGAAATACTAACCTGTGTTCTTTAAGAACCTTTTCTAGTTTGGCAGAGGCTACATTCCATACAAAAATACTACCATCACTTGAGCCACATATGACATACTGGCCATCAGGACTGATAAAAAATAATATGAATAGAACTACAAATTAATAGTAAGTTCAATCATGTTGTCACCATAACATCTTGATGCTAACAAACATGTTTAAGGGATTTTCAAAAATATTTGGTTGAAAAAATGGAAAACAGATCAAATTTTAAGTCAAGAGCAGTTCTTAGTTGTTTAAGTACATTATCTGGACTATTTGGTTTCACTTTTAAAACCTACACATGACAAAATCTTAGAGTAAGACAATTTATGCCCTGTACATGAACTTAAAGTACCTGAATGATGCCCTTGTGTAATCCACTGCAACTTTAAAACCGTCCGCACTGGAAATAAAATTTAAAAAGAATTATTGCTTTGGAAATACTGCACTCAAGATTTAACACCCTGTGAGTTTTTAATAGTCATCATATATAATTTTTCTCCAAATTAATAATTTGTTAATTTGTAGAATTCTGTGAATTAATCATGTTCACTCACCTACATGTTGACATAACCTGGTTCATTCTCAAGTCGAGCAATTTAACTGTGTCATCCCTTGCACTTGCCAACATGTAGTTCATGTCTGTCAAGAAATACCAGAAAAGGAAGCTTACTCTAACTGCATTGCTGTTTCTAACTCACCAACTTGGAGATGTTGTTTTGATGGCCCCATGAACTGAAACTCAAACATTTCATTGATTCCCTAAATGTTTTATTGTGAAACTATCCCTTTTGATAAAGGACTTGTTTGTTCTGTTGCTTTTCTACAATGTTGGGGCTCACTAAGAAGGAATTATTATTAAGTAATGCTGTAGGGAGAGACTGTCTACTTTAGTTGGCAGGAAAAAAAATGTCGTAACATGGCAAATCTCAACAACCTGGGGATAAATCTAATGATGTTATTTTCCCTTGTAGTGTGATTTCTCCAACACTTGATTGATTGTCAGATCTGAAAAAAAAAATTAAAGTAAATCAATACCAAAGAGAGTTAATGCCTGCATGTAGACTGAAAGTAAGTTATGCATGTCAGATTCTGTCAGTAAGACAGAATATGTTGTTCATTTCCATGAAATGATCACAGATAAGCAAATTGTAAACAAACATGAACCCAAATCAACATCTTGACTCTTGCTATTACTTAGTGATCAGCTTTGATGGTTCAGTCCTATAATATCTAATTTATATACTACTGTAAGTTGGCCAACTGTTTCAGTGTAAACTTCAAGGGTTGGTTATTTAAACAAAGTTAAGCCATTGTTCAATACAGCTGCATTCTAAACCATTTTTAATTTGGCTGAATCTTTTGTCTGAACAATTATTTTTGTGAACAGTGTCAAGAGGGCCAAAAGCTGGAGGTGGAATAACCTTCAATTGATCAAAAAGACCCTCTTATAGAGGATATGTAACGTCCACTGCTTTCATAAAACTGTAGTTTGGGTTAGACTGGTGTAAAGAACCAGCTCCTCAACTCTTAGAGAAAGAAGCACCATATCTACTCTGGATCAAAATCATATTAATATAGCAGCTTGAATTGTGTTTTGATAAGTTCCACACTTAACACAATCATCACAATGCAAAAAGGAAAGAAGAGCAAAATAAAGTTATGCCACAAATGTATTCATCTAAACTTATCTATAAAACTTTGAATCACATTCCAATAACCTCTGTATATGTAGTTTACAAATGTTACAAAGAGTGTTACATATTAAGATAATGGAAAAGGCTGTCATTACTCCACAAAAATCTTCTTAAATTATCTTCATACAAAGCAAATACTGCAAATTGGAGACGAAATATTTAGTGGGTCCCATAATAAATCATGAATAAATACAATAATCTTTAAAAAAAAGATAATGTAAAATAACATGGCTGTATTTATTTAATATAACTTATTCAACTTTCATTTTTCATTATTTTATACCATAAAATACAAAAACCCAACATCAAATCTTAAGAATGGTAAGAAACTCTCCAAATCACTTCCAGTTATGAGCACATAATGTACAATCAACAAAGAATTTTATGGCTTGTAATTTTACTTGTCTAATCTATTTTCTACATACCATGTCATTTTTATTTCAATTTTGTAGATCACTATTATTAGTTAGCTCACCTGACATCCCAAAACCTGACAGTCTTGTCCAAGTGACCACTTACCACTTGTGAACTAAATAGAATAAAAACAATACTCAGTGGGAATAATGTTTTCATTCACTTCAGCTGCTAATTAAAGTTTAAAAATGTAATGCAAATTGCTGTAACTACCTAGCTCAATGATGGCAAAATTATTTTCAATGATTAGTAAATTTTTGACAAAATGATTAAACAACCAATACTTAATGAAATGGAACATGTATGAATTTTGAAGAACTGGAGTCAGTTGTAACCAACAACTATTTTTAACTTGTTTCTTACCCAAATCCCTCATTGATTACTATGTCATTACAGCTCGAACCAGCAAAAATTGTTCGTGTGCCTGAGAAAAAGAAGAAAATTAATGGTATAGTTTACAATAATTATTTTGTAAATATGCCCTCAGCATCCAAGTGAAATACTGATATTTCATTCAGAGATGCCCCAAGAGGAGGTAATTAAAGAAGATGGTATGTTTTGTTTTCAAATTTATTGCAATTTATGCTCCCTGAAATTAAAGGCATGAGATAATGCTCTAAAGACATGTAAATAGAACTTGAAGATTTCCTTCTTTTGAGCATAGTGAATGAAACCTTTTGTATTGCATGAAGTTGTTACATCACAGTATTTCTGGTTTTTTTTAACAGCTAGGATGAGGGCTATTCACAGCAGAGAGAATCTGGCCTTTAGTTCAAAAAAGAAAAAGTTGAGTTCAAAACAACTTACATGCTTTACTTCTAAGATCCCAGATTTTTAATGTTCTGTCATGGCCTCCAGAAACAACTTTAGTTGCTGCTCCAAAAAATTTGGCTGCCATGACCTTTTGCGAATGTCCTGTGAGGGTGTGCTATATAAACACAAACATTAAAAATAATTACAGTTAAACCTCAAATCTAGCTCAGAAACATCCTTCCAAAAGGTACTTTTTTATATTACTGAGCATTTGTAAATCTTTACTGATTTTCTAAGGGGAAGCAATGGTATTGAACCTTCCTAGCAGAAATTACTTGTCCACTTGCAAAATGAAACTGTACAAAATTTTACATTCTTACAGGTGCTGAGTCAAAATTTTTTTCTTAGGACAAGTGCACCATCTTAAATTGAAGTAATGTTTTAAGTGGCACATCTAATCACCATCATGAGAGTGTTGTTTGTTTTGTTAACATTCAATATGTTCTACAGCTTAAGAAGTGAAGCATTCGTTGTCATAGTATTTGTAATTCTAGACCTCTTTTATGAAATGAAGTTCTTAGTGCATGCAAATTAGCCTTTCTAGCCTCATCAGCCTGTAAAAAACAAGAAATCATTTGGCTCAAAATTAAAGACTGAAAAGGCTTATTCACATGCACATAAAACAATCAAAATAATCATGGCCTCCATTGGTGTGTTAATGTCTTTGAAAAAATAGCAATTACTGGATGAGAAAAACCCCACATGGTATTAAAAAATCTCACTCGAAGTCTCTGATCTGCAAGAGTCCATACTCTACAAGTTCCTTCATGAGAACCCGCCAGGACAAGTTTTTCCTATAAAATATAACAGTTGATAAAAATATTAATAGCGATGCTATCTATGGAAATACAAGCCCTGTATATTTGGTATCAAGCCAATAGTTATATAACCCTACCTGAGGGTCAGTTTGTACTGACATGACACCAGCATTACAACCATGCATAACTCCTTTTATTGTATAGTTTCCTGAAATAAAAAAAAGGAGCAAGTATCACAAATTAGATAAACTAATAAAAGTGCTTCAAGTTATCATATCTTAATCACTATATATAGAGAATTAATGATTAGATAAAATACTGTGTATTTTATTGACTCAGTGGCAAGATTGGGCCAGAAAATATTGGGCTCAAGGTCATAATGTACAGACCAAGTTCTTCAAGATCCCTGTGTCATGACCAATAGCAAAACAATTTCCCCTTCTGCCAAACTTGATTGAATTGCTCTTTTTAAATCTTCCTTTCTACTTTCAGCTCAAATCTTGCACGGTAATATAGTTTTTTCCAGCCTTGCCCAAACCATCAAGTATGGCCTTCAAATAAGGACATGTTTCTGTTTATTTTTTTCAATAAAAGTAAGTGTGGAGGCTGCATGGGTCGTATGATAATAATCGATATTCAATATAAATGAGAAATAATTTGAAAGTAAGATATCATGGTTCCTACCATTTACTTGTTCCCAGACCTTAACTTTTCTGTCTGCACCACCTGTTACAAATAATCTTCCTGAAATACTGAATCTGGCAGAATTTACTTCACCCTCATGTGCATCCTGTTACAAACACACACAGAAATAGCTGATCTGAGTAAAGGAGAGTGATATGCATTCACAAGAGTAACCTTAAATTGTAACTTGATGAGAAAGGAGAAAAAGGGAAAAACTTACTGACAAAAAACTATTTTACCTAACAAAGGTGTATTAAAGAAAAAAAGACCTTAAGAAAAGCATGTTTTCTAGGTTATTTGTTAATCTTTTGTACCCCTATGTATTCATGTGCATATTGGTATTATGACCCTTGTTTATTAATTCTTGTGTTTGATATATAAAAAATGATCTTCAATAACTTAATATTAATAATTATCAACAACTTGAATTCATACTCACAAATTTTTTATCAGGAAATGAAGGGATAGATACTATTGCACAGAAAGGTATGCCTGGCTGATCAGAACTGCAATTCAGACAAATTGAAAATGAACTATAGAGCCTCTCCTTATTTGTCTTTCTTTGATAATTTCACCTTGCGAGGCTGTTAGTGATTAATGAGATAAAGTTCTACAATCTCTCTATATCCAAGCAATATGGATTACAGAGTTCCCTTTATTCACTCAGGTATATCATCATCTTATGTCTGTTAATCACCTTTAATGTAACAATAAATCTAAAAGTGTCCTGCTCTGGTATTCCATCTATTTCCTGTTACTTTATAAATTATGTTTACTTACTACATGTAACAGTCTCCTTATTATTATAGTAGATAAACACAGGCACATCATAATATTCACTTAATTAATGTCTAGTATACATTACAAAGAGTAACCTGCCTTGGTATATTTACAACTACTGGTTCTTTTGCTGCATCTATTAGTAGATTTTTTTGCTTTTCATGTCGTATTCTAAAAGGAAAGTAAAAATAATATGTAAAAATATGTTTCATCATTTCACAAATCACATCACAGAATATTTTATAAATTCTGCAACTGAAAGTTCTTAATCGCGCCCTGTAAGGCTGACACAGAGTCTACAATGTTAGTGAAAAGGAGAAAATGTATTTTGTTTGACGAAAAGGTATTTTCTTCACCTCAACTGTAATTCATTTTCAGCATTTACTTTATCTGCATCTTTTGCTTTTTGTGTCATCCACCTTGCTACCTGAAATCGATGTTGAATTAAACCAAATGTTTGATAGTAATGAAATATTAACTAACTGAATTAATTAATTAAAGGAGGACTGCTTGAAAATGTGTGGGTCAAAGGAATAAAAATTTAATAATAATTCTGACCGTGAGGAACTCACAAGATCTTCATTCTCTGCTTGTACTTTCCTATATTTTTCATCCAATGTTATGTAGGCAAGATGTAATGCTTGGTGTTCATCTTTTACCATCTACAATTTAAGGAAAACATCAATCCAGAGAAAACACAGAGTGAGAATCAATCACAAGGCTTACTCAAGAAAATAATTTAAACCACAGTTTACTACAAGCTTTTTAAATATTTTGTTCTGAAAATACACTTTGATGGATAACTTGTGGATAAAATGCCTTTACTGTAAGTTACTTAAAATGTGGCCCAGTTATGGTACTATGGGAAAACTGGGAAATTATTTAAAAAGGTTGAGTTTGTACCTCATTGCTTAGAATTGCATCACCATAGCATGCTGTAGCATACAAAACAAAGACTACTAATATCTCTGCATTGCAAACCAAACAAAACCTTTATTAAATGTGTACCTGTTTTGCTGCCTCCAATTCTGTAACTGTTTGCTCCAGTCTCTGCCTTGCCCTGTCAACTTCTTCTAAATTGTTTGATAAGTCATGCAATCTGATTGGAAAACAACAAACAATATATATGTTCATATAGAATTTCTGGGAATCATTAAGAAACTCACAACTGAGGAATGAGAAACTTTGCCCTTTTGCTCTCATTTTCTCTCCATTCTTAGTCTGGCATTATGATGATGTAAATTTTAAAAGTCAAAAATGTGAATTCTTGGCACAATATACAAATTTTTTCCTGCTATACATGTATACTCACTCTCCCTCCTTAGCTAATAGTTCTTGCTCCTTTTGTCGCAATGTATTGTTGAGCTCCATTAGTTTCTGTGCATTCTGATAATAAGAAATATTTTGACTTGTCAAAACATGAAGTTAAAAAAAAAATGTTGTAAGGTATGAATCTGCTGTTTGGCCTGGTTTATTTGCAAATTATCTGTATCTTAGTTAACTCTTTACACCCTTACATCAGTTTGCATATTCTCCCTACTGTTCTTTAAACATTTCCTGAGGTGCCGACAAGGAAAATTTGTTTAACAATCAAGAGCTCCTTTGGTCTGTGGTCATTATCTTTAATCTCATGACCTCAATGTGTGATTCAAGGGTGATATTGTGAGGAGAAATTAGATGCTAGTCACCCATAGGAGTTAAAGAGTTAATGAACCTTCCAACCATGAAGTTGGAAGGTTAAACAATTGAATCCCTTCTCTTTTTTCCTAATTATGATTAGTCTTTTGCCCTCAGGAAGATGTTCTATTGAAATGCCATATTTCCAGTTGAAAAAATAATGCTTTGTAAATTAATAATCTGGTGAGTTCCTTTAATCCATATGTTAGACACTGGTTAGGTGATATTAATATTAGACAAACCTCTCCTTTCTGACGGTGGAGCTCTGTCAGTTCCTCTTGTAATTTGAACAACTTCTGCTCCAAGGAAGCTACTTTTTCTGATCCTCCAACAACAACCCCAGCCCCTCCTCTAACTGAACTAAAATAATGAACAACAAGTGAACAAAGGTTAATCAATACAAATATTTCAACTGAACCTACCTCCTATTATGATAATTTACCTTGATTCTTGAGCACATCTATGAAGCTCAAGTTTTTCCTGTAAAATAATAAAGGAATTTAAGTTCCACTCACACTGTTCTGATACTCAATAAGATAAAAGGCCACCCATTCGTTAAAAATAAAATCAAAATAAATTAGTCTTTTTGCATTAGGTAATGTAAAACTTCCAATCAGTTTAAAAAACAGAAATGCATCAGGAGTTGTAACCTGTTGAATTTGAGCAACTTGTATTTCCAACTGAACAACTCTTGATTTTGCAGTATCAGCATTTTCAAATAACTTGTTGTCTGTTAAAATAAAATAAAATAGACAAAATACAAAACAAGCAGAGTATTTAATACACCTTAGTTGTGGGTAAAGAAGACCACTAACCATCAGTAAAAGAATATGATACCCAAGATAAATATTACTACCACAACACCATAAAAAATTATCATTCATCCTTTCCCTTGTATGATGAACATAAAGAGAATAACACAAATGTAAAAGTTTTCATGCAATGCAACTTTCAACGTTATCTCATTAATTAGTGCTGAAACATCTATTAACTGTGAAAACGACCCAAATGTAATTTAAAAATCTGCTCAATATCTCGCTCTCCGGAAAAAAATCATATTATTTCCTATGTCAATTCACCAATTAGAGGTTCGCTCTTTTCAGCCTTTCACTTTTCACTATATTTGCAGTAAGACCCTTGTCCTTCCTTCGATTCTGTTTTTCAGTCACGACGATTTGACACTGCAGAGAAATCTTAAAGATGGAAATGGTCAAAGATCTATGGATTTTATTTGTTTGAACATGATTTATCACGAACTTGAATCTGATTAGTCAATAATTCAATATGCACTCATGATGGTACATGAACTTAGATGATGTGAACTGTCATATTACAGGCTCAAATATTTCCTATCTTGGTATATCTTACAAGAAATAATAGTTCGCATCAACGAAGAATTTCTTTTGATTCGTTTTGGATCGTTGTCAGTGACAAGATAAATTTATGTTGACTTGTCCGAAAAAAACAGGAGAAAATTTGGATTAAAGTTCCTATGTTTTTATTGATTCGTCAAAGTCAGCAATACAATATGTATGCTTGATGATTAAATCCTAACCAAACGTACAATTTCCTATCAACAACGATGAAGTCTTCACTTACGTTCCCTGATGATATCTCTAAAGCAATGCCACTCCACTTGATCCCTCGCTTCAAGTTTCCTTGATATTATTTTTCTCCAACTTTGCCGTTCCCCACGCGCCATCTTGAATGACTGGGAAGGAACGTCGAACTGCAACCGAGCGGAACTTGGTAATGATGGATAGAGTGAGCTACCAGCGGCCATCCTCCAAAAAGACAAAATGGCAGAGATGACTTGCAAAAGTTGCCAACTTCTGGAGGGAACCGGTGCCAGAAATTTTATCGCCTCGATGGACGCTTTTATCTTTGATTGTGATGGTTAGTGACATACCAAGCTAGAATGGTGTTTAGGTATATCATTGTACCGAAATCATGTTCAATCTCATTATATCCAAGGGGTCCTTTGGAATGAAGCTGGTCCCCTAGATGGTGTGGTGGAAGTTTTGCAAGAGCTTCGAAGATTGGTGAGAAGAAGTATTTCGATCGATGACTTTATTTTGTTTCTAAACAAGGATTATTTCCTCAATCCGTCATTTAGTCTTTTTCTAACGTTAGGTTCTTTCATAAATTCAGCCAAGCAATCACTGCAATGTGATCAACTGCACATTAGTCCCACCAGTATATTAGTTAAGGACTAATATGCAGCTGAATCCATATAGATATTAAATATGACGTTATGGTACTGGAATTGTTTTAAGCTTAAAGAGTAACCCATTGTTTCCAACATTGTCTTACAAATGCTGTTATTTAAAAAGTTGCTAAGCATCATGGCCTCTTACCCTTTATATAACAACTTTTCTATCGTCTTTCCATCCATTACTAACCTGTCAGCACACCAAGAAGCAATGCAGGAAGGCCTTTTGAACTTAATTAGTTATTTTTGCAATATTTGGAGAAACAGATTGTGTGGTAGCTGTGCACTAGGGCAGTCCCTCTAGTTCAGATGTGTGGCTTAGTTGTGGAATTGGGTGAATGGGGTGAATAATACTTTTTTACATGTAACTTTTGTGATCAGACTCAATGGTAAATGATTTCTCCAGCATACTTCTCCATGAAATGACCCCCGCCCATGGTAAAATGTTTGATCAAGCTAGTAATGTTTACATGCACTTAAGTTTTCTTTTGTTTTGACTGAAATTAACCATTCAATTTTTGTTTTAGGGTAAAAGGGTTTTTTTTGCTACTAATAATAGCTCCAAGTCAAGAATGGCATATCTCAAGAAATTTGAGAAATTTGGAATTGTAGCTTATGAGGTAAAATGGAAAAATTTTCTTATTATCCTGAACTTCATAAAGCAAATTTATCCTTTTTAGTTAATGTTTGTTCTCTCTATTGCTGAACAAACAAGTTCTAAACACAGACATATTCATAATTACTGCATCAATACACATTATTAGTACATACTTCCTTTTTCTCTCTTTTCCCTCCTATTTTTCATCATTGTTTACTTCTCTTTTACCCTCTTCCACCTCACTTAATAATCTGAGTACCAGCTGAAATTTATCCTCTTAACTTCTTCACTGCTTTTTCAGTTGAGGAATGAGCCATGTCTGTGTTATTTTAGGTGTTTTCAGCTTTTTGTTTTATTTCAGGAAGAAATCTATGGAACAGCATATGCTGTTGCATATTATTTAAAGGAGATTCTGAAGTTTGACAAAAAAGTTTTTACAATTGGCACAACAGGGATGGTGGAGGAACTTGATTCCATGAATATTCAACATACTGGTTCTGGTGTAGGTTGGATCATATTTACTGCGATAAGTTTTAAAGTTGCCAGTAATTAATAAATTATAGGAAAAAGTCATTGTGCACGCATTGTAGGTATAAATACATCCCAAGTAGGTGAATAATTATTGTCTCTGCAAAATATTCTGGTGTCCCAATAATGATGTGCTCATTTGAACATCTATCTTTCAAATGACATATGGGAGATGAATTTCCACAGACAGAGCTCCATGAATACCTGAATGATAGTATTTTTTCATACATCTACAAATCTTTGTTGATATATTTTTCTGTTGTACTTAATTTGTCTATTTACATGTATTTGTTATTATATTGTGACCTTGACTTTTTCAAAAATTCTTGTTGTGGCTTATATTTTTAAACTGTTCATAGTACATACCATATATTTCTATTACACATCTGCAATGTTTTTCACATGGCTTATTTGAATGGTAATTTAAATTACTTTTAGCCTGATCAGTCAACTGGTGGCTATAATCTACAAGAGTGGGCTTCATTTGAGTTGGACCCTGAGGTATATGTAACAAGAATACTACTTTTACTTTTAGTTTATCTTATTAATGTCCCCAACATGTATCTCACTGGGTTATTCTTTCCCAGATGTAGAATATTCTTGTTATTCTGCTATCTTTGGATCTCATATCTTGACATGATTAAGGGCTGAAGCTCTATGTCTATGTTACCAATGACAATTAAAGATTCACTTGTTTTGTTTAAGGTTGGAGCTGTTATCTGTGGATTTGATGAGCACTTCAGTTTCCACAAGCTCATCAAAGCAGCCAGTTACCTTGCCAAAGATTCCTGTTTGTTCATTGCCACAAATCTAGATGACAGGTTTCCATTCAACCAGAATGGTGTGGTTATTCCAGGTGATCACATTTTCCTTTTTTTTTTGTTAGCTGATGATATCACACATTATTTCTTTACAAGATTAGTGATAGAAATTTAGAATGTAATAGATTTTATCTGGTTTAAAAAACCTACAGATTTCTCAGTCTTCTTTGCTGGTTTTTTTTTTACTTTCTTGCCATCAGAAATGTCCCAAAGACTTTGAATGATAATAATAATTTTGTAATTACCATTTGAATTAATCAACAAAATAATAATTGAATTTCAGGGACAGGTTGCTTGGTGATTTCTGTGGAAGCAGCAGCTAGAAGGAAAGCTAAAGTGATAGGGAAACCTGAGAGAGTCATGTTTGAGTGTATTCAATCACGGTAAATAATATTAATAGTAACATCATTTAATTTGTAAAGTGTATTAAATTAGCTATCAGGTATGTAAACATTTTTCATCATATTATTAATTGCTAATGTTCTTTTTTTAACCAGGCATGCTATTGACCCTTCAAAGACTTGTATGATAGGAGACAGGTAAGTTTATTAGAACACAAGTTGATCCTTTGATTCCCAGCAGTGAGCCATAAGCAATTTATCCTAACATTATCCACACTTTGCCAAGTAGAGGATATTGTTTTTTAATTTACGGGTATTGCCAAATTCTTATGGCCCCAAACATAGAAATGCGTGGCACATAGACCATGGGAATGAGAGGGTTAACCTTCTCTGAAGTCTTTCTTGACAGAGATTATCACCTTCTTATGATTACTTGGAATGGTCCCATTCATGAATTTCTGATCAACACTTTGACAACCTTGATCCCCTCTATAACGACACTTTGTCTAAGGTACATTTGACTGTAGTGAGAAACATACTACACTCCTGGCATTAATTTGGTGTCATTTATTATTTTAGGAGCAGCTTCTGTAGCTGTTTTGTTTTCCCTTCAAAAGCACAATGGCATGAAAAACATTGACAGCCAATTGGAGTATGCCTTTGTTTTGGGGTTGGATAGTCTCTAGGGAATTCCCTATACCTTTCACATATTCAAGTTCTGCATTGTTGCTCACTTGCCGCCGTTTTTTTGTTTTGTTTTCCAATTTTATTTTATATATTGACCAATTCAGATTGAACACAGACATTATGTTTGGAAACAACTGTGGATTGAGGACTGTTCTAGTGCTGACAGGAATCTCATCCCTTAAAGATGTTGAAAATGTACAGACCTCAGTCAGTCCAGACAATATGAATTTAGTACCAGATTTTTATATGCCAAGTTTAGAATCACTGAAATCATCACTCAACATATAATTAGCCATGGAAGGTAAATGGCTTGCCTAATTTACCAGTAACAACTGATATTTGAATAAATCAAGTTTTCTTGATTGTTGTGAGATGAGGGCAAGACCCATGTTTTGTTCAGTTTCTTTGGTGTAATGTGGTATAGAGTGTCCGCTATATTTTCCTTAACTAACATGTTCTGTCAATAAGCCTAACCTGGTCTTTGAATAAAGGAAGTAGGTTTCTAATGAAACTGTGGTGCTGCATCAGTGGGGGAGTACAACAAGATCATTTTGGTTTTATCAACTGAGATGATAATGTAAAATGGCCACTGTAAAGAGTTTTGCTAAATTTAACTGCTCTTTATTTATTAAGAGTAATTTTATGAATTGTGAACCAGACTAAAACTGGAATCTTGGGATTATTAGGTTAGCTTAAAATCTCTTCTATGCAATGATTTTTGTTTTTACAAACTTATTATTTCCTCATTTTTGTCCTGCAAGAAATAGTATTACACTTGATTTTCATTACAATTTACTTTTCTTAAAGTTAAGACAGTGATCATTGAACCTTCAGTGGGGTTATCTTGAGTGGTTTTAGTAGAATTAAAACTTTTATCATCTGAGAAGAAGCTGGACTTTAGGTAAAAAGAAAATAAAAATTAAAACAGTACTGTATTTTATTATAAAATTTTTATTAAAAAATAGCATTTCAAATAAAAAATGACTTGCTCTCTCTACATATATTGTGATGTTCTATTGATTTTTCCGAACATGTGACATCAACATCATCAATATCTTCTAAACTACTATTATTGAGCATTTCTATTGAATTTATGAACTAGGACAAACATTAATGAGATCATGTATTCAATCATTAGTACCTAATCCAACTAAATAAGTACTTACTATAACCCTTCAACATTCCTTTTTTATATATAACTAACAGTTCAGATTGGGAAACTCTAACCCTTAAGGGAAACTTAGAACCTCAAGTCTTTTGAAACTGACTAAGAATTCTCTTTTTGTTTGAAAAACTTTTACTGTTAAAAAAATTTTGGTTGGTGGAAATGAAATATGCTGGCAGTAATAAAATAATTATAATCGGCTGTGTTATGTAACACTAGATAGTAAGTTTGTAAGCACTGAGATTATAATATGTGACACTTGACTCACATCACTACATACAAAAATGCAACCCAAAGTAAGTAATTCTTCACTACATTTGTGGTTGAAATCAGTTAGTGGCAGCTGTTGTACTTCATATTTTTGACCTTAACCCTTTAACTCCTGCAATCTGATAGTCAATTCTCCCCTCTAGCCACCACACATTTCCTTGTAAATAAGTTAGGAGCATTTGGTGTTAGATCAAGATAACTTCTAACTGCTAAGTTTGAATATTCTCATGACCTGTTTGTTAGATAACGTTTAGATATTATAGGGAGAAATAACATGTTAATCACTTTTGGGAGTTAAAGGGTTAAAATATTCTAAAATCACAAAGTGTAAATTTTTACCTATTCATAAATCTTATGTTCATTGCCCTTTTTATGAATAATTCATTTTATTGATTCTAATTTGATAAAACTATCATATATGTACATACATATAGATTGCCATGTATAGCATGACCAAAGTGGCTTGTAATGATCAGCCAATAGCACCTTCAATATTGGAAAACATTGTTTACCAAGCAGCATTTTAGGTTAAGAAATTGTTCTCAAACTAAATATTTCCTGGAAACCAGGGTGGTATGTATTCCAGTAACCACTGATGCAAGTCTTACCAGTCCTTAAACCCATTCATGTATATGGTGGAGTAATTTCATTGATGTACTGTCATCACTGAAACATCATTGCAAAATTATATCAGAAATCATCTCTAAGGTTTGCGGTGTCACTTGCTTCATGTGCAGTCTCACTTTGTGGAAGTCGCTCGTGCTGTTTTTTTCTCTTACAACTAGCTTGAGCCAAGAGAACAAAAATTGGCAGCAGACACAATCCACACACCCCTGCCATAACATAAGCCACTGTGAGAAGTGCAGTATCAGAACTTTCTGTCTCTATGTACTCGCAGTCCACTGCATCTAAAAAAAAAAAAGCAAACAATAGATTTGATCTGTGATTGTCTCTTTTCCAACCAGATCATTAAAAGGCAAATGTTTGCTTCTTTCTTCTCCACTCTACGTTTTTTTTTTTAATAGCCTTGTAATTCTTGATTTATGAATCAAAGAGAGTTGAGTATTGAACAAAACACTTCCTTACTTGAACAACCATTAATAACAAGTATGCTTCTCATAGACTGGGTGAAAATCTTGCTTCAAAATTTATAATGTATAATAATCAAGAGCAATAGGTGATTCCTAATGATTATGATCCTATTTCATTTGTACTTTCAGATGAGAAGCTACAGATAAATATAAATTGCCCGAATTACCTCTACTGAAGGGTCCAGATACTTCAGAACTAGGATTAAGACGACCCTCAGCTGTTTTGGAAAAAAATTATATCTGAATTACTTGACAATCAATCCAGAGAATAATATCTGGAAACTACACGAACATTGGGGAATTAGAGAAAGATGTTTTTTTACAAAGTTCATGACACACGTCCTTTATACTTCTAGGATCAGAAATGTCGATAGCCTCATGTTTGTAAATAGAATAAGAGAGATGGCAAGTTTTGAGCTTGGTAAAGAAATAGAGAAAGATGTTTTTCCTCTTGTCACAAGTGCAAATCCAAAGGTCCAAGGTTCAATTCCTGGTGGGGACTCAAAATTTTTTCAGTGTCCCACACATGTGCGACAAGAAGAAAAACATCTTTCTTTATTTCTTTACTGAGCTCAAAACTTACCTCTTCTTTAATTCTATTTACACAAACAGTTATTGATGCCAGAATGAGATATTCAAGCAGTCACATGTGTTGTTCCACTTTTTCCTTGGGGGTGTAAAATTTTGCAAACCAGTTTTTATTTTTCTTGTGTTTTATTCACTATCAAAATCTGAAACACATGACCCTTACTACTACACGCGCAGGGTCAAACAGGCAATTCACACAAGACTTCACCCTAACAACATCAACAGGGATAGTGGAATAGAAATTCCAGAAGCGTGGATGCCCACAATCAAAAAGCACAACAACAGGAGAGCCGTGCGACAGCGAACCGCCGAGGGAGCAAATCACAGATCAGCAAGGATCGAAATGCACCAATCAGAGCTGTAGAAAAACAACTAACCACAGCATAGCATCATGCTTTATAAGATCACACATGACCAGTTGACCTCATCGCCTGAAGACTAGCAGTATGCAGTCGAAACGTCACAATCTACATCACACATGACTACATTGTGAGACAAATGAAAAACTTAGCTTTTATAACCTAGGAAACATATGAACCATAATTAATTGATACCTCCACAAGTTGTAGCTGCAAAGCCAACCTGGACATTTTCTCTATCAAAGACAACATAAAATCCCTCCATGATTACTGCACCTATCACTGTTCCTGAAATGACATAAGGAAACAAGCAAACAAACAATGAGTAACAACAACTGATTGATGAACATAGTTATAAATAACCAAAATGATAAAGAAAACTACCTAAAACTGTTATTTACCTTTGTCAGCTTTAGTTATAGCAAACTTATAACAGTGTTGTCCAGGAAGAGGACCACGTTCGATTGTCTCTCTTAGATAAAGCTGTAAAAAAACAGTTTCGTAGGTAAGTGTTGTAAAATGTAAGAAAGATCATCATCACTTATGATAACATAAAAAGTCAGAAACTATACCACTGAAAAAAAGGAGACCTGTGGTTTAGGAGCTGGCTCTGATTACCAGGTTTAGTATCAAATGTAACCAAAAACTTTTATTTACCTGGGGAGGTATCTTGAGCCTGAATTCCTTGGAATTACTAATGGTGGAAAGAAGTGAAATGGACATATCTGGAAACTCCTCCCAAGGAGTCTTGTCATAATTCCAACACATCATCTGTCGACCAATCCAAAACTCATCTGGTACACCCAGCTGCAAAATTTCAAATTACATGAAAAGAGTTCAACAATAATTCTCCATTTTAAGAAGAAAAACTTGTTTTGTTGAGCCTTCTAATAAGAACACATCAAATAACCTCACCTTGTCAAATTTTTTGAGTCTATCAAGAATAGCATCAAAGACTTCTTCTGAAACTCTTAAGTTTGTTGTTCCACTGTCCACTATTGTCTTGTCATAATTGTACTGAAAGAAATGTGTTTTGCATTAATAAAGCATATGACAGACAGGAAAAAAAATCAGGGAAATGCTTCCAAATTTGGTTACCCAGCATTGCCAGGTGAACATAAACTGCTGAAGCTGCATCGCTTTTAATTTACTCATAAACAAGATACCCCCAAAAAGACATCCAGGGAGTCCTTGACATCACCAGATGAGTTATTCTCTAAGTAGCTGATCTGCAGTTATTGATAGGTTTAAGACAGTGCAACAAAAGAATCTAACACCTTAAGCAAATATTATTTCATTCCTACCTTTTTACAATCCAGGGCCAAACTTTCCCCACCAACTGCTATGTCAGTTATGACAACTTCATAGTACCATTTCTTTACCACTGGAGTGAAGAGAAGATCACCCTCATACAACTCATTATCAACTTCCCCAAAAACCTGTTACACAAGAAACAAATTGAAAGGACATTCTTGACCAAAAAGAAATCCACAGAGGAGAAAAGTTACATTTAGAACAGAATTGTTTTAAATTCCATTTAAAACTTACCATTGTTCCAGCAACAGTAGGCTCAGAAGAAAGGTCAATTTCACTACTGCCACACAACTGCATCGAGAAAGAATCCTTGACAACTCCAGCATTAACAAACTGATCAAACACTGGCAGTACACTTGAGTCGGGCTGGGAAGAAACACAGAGTTAGCTAATTTATCATGATATCCCATATTTACACCAAAGAAAAATACTTTAGGTCTACTCAGCTCTAATTCACATTTGAATAACTGTAACAAAGGAGTGTAAAGGGAAAGATAAGACTCAACCTAATCACCTCCACTTAATACAAAGATGCCACTGACTATGTGTCCATCAGCAGTATTGAAGATTTCTTATTGATGCTGCACAAACTAACAAAGTATTCTGTAAGAACAACAAAGAATCAAATCTCTAACCTTTGATAATCTTGCATAGCCAAGTCCCAGGATTCCTTCCCACATAGAACCATTGATATAAAAATTCTCTGAAGACTGAATGGCTGCAACATTGACACGAACAGTAGCATTTGGTCCTTCAACAAACCGTAGCAAATCAGATCCTAGCTCTCCTTCCCAGTTTCCCTGTGTATATGGAACTGCTACACGTCTGTTTTGATCTTGATATGAAGTTGACCTGTAAAAATGTTTCAAATATGACATATTTGTTACATTTAACTTGCAAGTTTTCACTTACCTTACACCTTCCTTTCAAATAAATTTTACTGTCAGAACTGCATGGTACCAGCAATTATTAGAATATAACAGCATTTGTTTTAAGGGCATTAGCAAAGAGTCTTAGTTGACTTCTAACTTTTAGCCAAGATTTTGTATATGTCTTCCATAAACCCCTCCTGCACCCTTCCCTCTCCCCCTTCATATACAATGCCCAGGTTAACTTTAACTTTGAAATATTATTTTCACCTCTTTATGGCTAATGGCAACTTTGGTCACTGAACTCCAATCTAAGAACTTAGACACTTAGGAAGTCATATGTTACAGAGATTAAACATAGAATAAACATAGGTATTGAGTATATTCATCCTCCAAAAACATAACATGAAGATGATATAAGCATTACTTACTTGTCAGTATGAAAGTAGAAGGGGAGATATGGATGTGGAGATGCTGCGACTGCAAAATTACTACTTCCGGTATCAACAAGGACATTTATCTGAAAAGATTTTAGGACAATATTGGTTAACATTTGGATGATCATTCTGCCACCTAGTGATTTCCTATCTGATTGCCCACATAGAAATTCTGTAAGATTCTACCAAGGATGGGACATGTGAACTTTGTAAACATTGTACATTAACTGGAATCACCACATGTCCCCCCTTCCCCCCCTTTTGCTACTCCAATTATCAAGTTAACTTTTGAGTACACTTTGGAACATGGTGACACTAAATGAAATCTCATGATTAAGATATGGAGGAAGGAATGAATTGCCAAAGTCGATGGCAGTATCCTACAAACCTTCTGTATGCCCAAACTGCTCTAAATATTGTAATATTATTTTTCTGTGTTGGAACAGAAATGTATAATTTTATAAATTAAAATGAATTTTCAGACTGACTTCTTGTTTTGGCCTGAGGTAACACTGCAAAGTCAATGGCGGTGTGATTTATCTAAAACCATTAACCACTATTTCTGTTCTGTTTGATTGGGATTAGTTTTTAATCCATTCAATCCTTCGTTTTGGCTTTTGTACTTTTGTTTTACTTCATCTGAGCTCTGTTAACTACAGAGAGATCCCCTCATGTTTTCATAAGAAAATAAAACTACATAATTATGCTAACCTAATATTTTTCCTGGAAGAAAAATATATCATGACTTGATCTCAAAAAATTCTAACGCTACATCTGTTTATATTTTCGTGTGGAATCCCTTTATTTCATGTTGTAACGAAATACCCCAGCTGATACGACACTCTTATACTCAAAATCATACCGAAACTGGAAGCGCAATACTGGTCATAAATGTCACTCACGTATTTCATGATACTTTACAATTCTTCATCCTTACGAAACAATATTCCAACTCATTTTGCACGAGAATAGAAAGTGCAATATTGAGTAACTGGCCTTTGCACGTCTATTCGTGTAAATACGGGGGAACCTATTCAAGTCTGCTATCACCCGTAAATGTTCCAAACAACCTTAATCGCAAATTTGCTTTTACAATTGCAACAAAAAGGAAACTTGATAACAAACGATTTTGAAAAATGCACCAAGGTTATCTTCCCAGAAATAAATCAGTCTTCAAATTTGATCACGAGAGAGAAATATGAATTTCTCCGTCATAATGTTGCTTAGTTCTGAACTTTTTCCAATCAAATGGTAAACTGAAAATGATAAAGACGCAAGCTGCTTCATCACTCTTTTCTATTTACTGAAATTTTCCAATGACAGTTTTTGCTAAAAATAAGAAAAATTAAGCTGAAATCGGAAAGGCTATCGATAAAGCTTCATTAATTAAAGTTGATGACTTTCACATGCAAATAAGAGCCTGAAGCTCGTTCGGTGGCAAAGCTAAGGCCAAGATTTCAAATGTTACGAACGTGAAAGGCGTGCAGAACAAGTGAAAGCAGATTTCTTGTCAAAAATAGAGTAAAAAACGGGAATTTCACACTTCTCAAGAAAGAGGCTGTTGTTCCGGACTCATGACACTCAATATAATCATAAATCTCCTTTACTCACTCTCAGAGGGGGGCTCCCAAGATCCGTCGATATGTAATATCCTTGCCCAGGCCGTCCTTTCAAATTTTCAGTTGGATTCCCTCGGCTATCTCGTAGATCTCGTTTCGTTCGCCTCAAAGGAACACTATAACTTCCTTTGTTTTTAACTTTCTCTTGCCAGGTGGGGCCCATCGAACCCACGATGAGCAACAAAAGGAGGGAACATGACGCTGAGTGAATTTTGCGCATTACGAATCTCGCCAGGTCACCCCAATAGGCTGTCCGTGTCCTTTACCTCACCAAAATCTAAAACAGCAATTAACTCTTGAAAACCCCTCATGGAAAGTGTTTCTTTTTTGCAACTGATACACTGCTTTTTCCGCAATCCACATCTTCACGCCATATTGAAGTTTTTGCAGCGAGGCGCGGTTTCCATGGCTTGAGTGCTATCACATTTCCACTTCCGGTTCTAAAGATCACACCCAAATATAGAGTATGAACTTCACCGTTAAGTGAACATCATTCCTCTACAAAGAATGCAACAAGGGCTACACTTCCTTGTGAATTAGCTTCATGATGCTGTGACACTTCGTCCAGTTTGTATTAAGCAGTTGCTTTCCATGATTCCGAAATGAAAAGCGGGAATGATTACCCTTCATTATTTGTTTCGTTGCCACGCGCAAATTGAAAAAAAATAGACTCATTAGAATAGAAAATTTGCAAGCATAAGATAAATCTCCATCGTTTCCACTAAAAACTCGCTTTCACGGACAGCGTATTATTTTACTCTTAGTGTGAGTATCATTTCCCGAAAAACATTGGCGAAGGAACTGCTCTTTCGTAATTGTTAGCAGGGACTTCAAATTTTAAATTTGTTGCACCTACAATGGATCTATGTTTCAGCGAAAATAATCATACATTCAAGAGTAAACAATGTAGAAAAGGCCAATATTTCAATGGAGTATAAAGTCACGCTAAATTCACCAGTGACGCGTGTCAAAATATTGAACGAGTTAGGAGGCAGAGTGGGCTCCTGACAAGTAATGTAATTTCTCTCGGTATACCATAAAGCCTTGAAATAAATATAAAAACAAACAAAGCAAAACAAAACAAAATAATCTAGTGTACGAATAGACATAAAACAATATAAAAATCCCAACTACCACCCTACGTCAACACATCGAGGAATGCGATTTAGAAAGTGTAAACGAGCAAAGGAGAAATAGAATAATGAGAAAAGTAGGTTCCAGTCTTTCACTGATGTCAAGCGATCCATCATGGCGGTCGAAGTAGTCTTAAGGCTCTATTCCTGTGAATATACGGAAATCAAGGATCATGCCGATCTCTTCAAAGCTACATTGACGCTTTAAAGTATTCGTTTGCCTAGAAGATCTTATAATCTTACGGTCTGTGAAGGGTTTCGAATGGTTGTTGAACAAGTGTTACGTCATAATTTTGTTCTTGAGTCTCCACAAACTTTGTACCCTGTAGAGGAGAGATATTTTGCCTACAGATGTTTAGATGTTTGTTGATGTCGAATGGCAAAGCTGCAAAGCGTCTAAGTTCCCTGTCAAACTCATTCAAAGTTTCTCTCAGACCGCTATGTTCAGGTATGACTCGGCTACTCAACATATAATGTTTTATATTAGGACTCAATTTGTACCACATACAGTCGTGTTAGTGAATCTTAAATTACCACTGCCATGTATGATAAAGAAGTTAGATGAAGGCAGTTAGACCCAACAGTCATTTTTTTGCGTTTATGGGCTAAACTACGGAATACCCTACCACTCATTTATATGTCGTTGAATAAGAATAGCGTCTATTGTGTTACGCCTTGTTCTTGAAAGCCTCCCGACACATGTAAATGAGGTGAACCAAAGTGGCAGGGTATTCTGTTTAAGCCTTGATCAGTTTACAATTTTATTCCTATGTTCACCTCAAATTGTTTTACCGGTAGTTACAAATCCCATGTGGACTTGGTGTGACCCCCACTCCCACCCCCTGAGTTGCCATGTTAAACTAAGTAACTGACATATTAGTGCATGTAATATCCTAAATCAGGGCCCTGTAATTGAGGAGGCAGAAGTTAAAATTTGAGGATTTGCCTTTAAGCACATTTCAGGTAGCCAAAATGCACATTGTTAAATTCAGCGTGCCAATAGCTTACCAGTTTATGTGGTCCTTCAATGTGAGGCAATTTTGGCACTTGCTTGCTTGCTGTAGAGTCATTGCATAAAATTTTACAGATCTACCCCTTGTTAAGAAGAGATGTCAAAAAAATTGCAAAACCTTTTTTCATATACAGACGGAGTTGTAAGCATTGGAGATGTGAGTGTGAAATTGAGGAAACCATCCTCCCCTGAGTTAGTTCCAGTCAAGTATGGTGAGTAATTGTACCAATAAATCTCGAAAAAAAAATGTTTGTATATCAAACAAAAACTATTGCCTTTATTTTGATACAGACCTCCTGATATAATCAAATGTAATTTTGTGGTAAGATTGAGTTTTTTTCCCTGTAATCTTCTTTCCTTAGTTAATGGAGAACTTCCCCAATCAGTCCTAAAGAATCTGCGATGGATCATGCAAAAGGTGACTTGGAGAAGTTTGTTTCATGATTTGTTTTCTTAGGAGTAAATTAGTGTCTCTTATTTGTAAAGTGGAATAATTTTGGAGGTCAATGATTTGCCAGTTGGTAAAATTAGGACCCTCTATGTCCATTGTATAGTACTTTTTATCAATCTTTGCTGAAATTTTCATGATTAAATTTTAAGTTGTTTATTATTATTAATAATGAACACTCAAAAAGACTCCATTCTAGTGAGACTGTTCATTTAATTAGGTAAAGAAATAGACAAAGATGTTTTTTCATCTTCCCACAAGCATGGGACAATGAAAAATGTTTGTAAATAGAATAAGAGACATGGTGAGTTTTTGAGCTTGGTAAAGAAATAGAAAATGATGTTTTTTCATCTTATCACTAGCAAGGGACAAGACATAAAATTGTTCTATTTAAAAACATTATGTTATCAACATTGCTGATCCTAGCAGTATGCAGGACGTGTGTCATATGAACTTCATATTAGATCTCACTCACTGTGGAGTCAGTCGTAGAGCATTGGAGCACAAAATCCGAAGGTCTAAGGTTTGGCTCCTCATGGGGACTCAGAATTTTTTCATTGTTTCACACTAGTGACAAGATGAAAAACATCTTTTTATAATGGATATGTTATTTTGTAACAGGACAAACTAGGCCAGGATGTGTTTCTTATTGGACCTCCAGGACCTTCTAGAAGACTGCTTGCTATGCAATACTTGGTTTGTCACATACCACTTTGTTTACTGCGTAGTTCCCACATACTGTAATATTTTTTAAAAAATCAATAGTTATTATTTTTGCAAGGTGTATAAGGTTGTTTTTGAAACATTTTCTGTCTTAAGATATAGGTATTCCGCTTAGTTACAAATTTGTGCACTTTACTGAGTTTTCATATGTGGCTCTAATTCTTGTCTGCTACAAAGAAACAAAAATTGAATATTTTGAAATCCTAGACTGAAATATTATGATTATTGATGATGATTATTTGTCAATACTCTGTGCTATTTTTTTCACAGGAGCTGACCAAACGTGAAGTTGAGTACATTGCATTATCTCGTGACACGACTGAGTCAGATCTAAAACAGCGTAGAGAAATTTCTGCAGGATCAGCTTATTATGTTGATCAATGTGCTGTGCGTGCTGCAACTCAGGGACGAGTGCTGATACTGGAGGGGATAGAAAAAGCTGAGCGTAATGTACTTCCTGTGTTAAACAACCTCTTGGAAAACAGGTGATTATGTATTGAATGTAATATTTATTGTTGTGGGGTGGAATCATAATGTGGTAGTACTTCTCTCTCTCTTGATTAATGAATCTGAATGAAGATGAATTGTAGGTGTTTCTTATGTAGGATCAGGATCCTTTATTACGACAAGTATGCAAGGGCAGGGTACTTTGAAGGAGAACTGAGGAAAGATGCAAATAATGCCAAATTACAAGACTTAGAAGAGTCTGATAACTCAGAATGCAGCCTGAAAAAGTCTTCATAATCTAGTGTTAAAATAACTAATAAATATAAAAAGTAATAGCAATAAAGAGAGCTGTGGACACTGCTCTATTTCTTTGTAATTGCACAATTGACTGGATCCTTATATACTTTAAAGGGAGATGCAGTTAGAGGATGGAAGATTTCTTATGGCTGCTGAGAGATATGACTCTCTTTTAAAAGTATGTCTTTGAACTTTTTCACAGTGTGAATCTTTTTATTTTGACCTTACTATCTGTCTTAGTATAAGTCAAAATAGGGAACATTGTGTTTTATTCGCTTGTCTGGTTTGAAGAAGACATGAAAAATTCCATTTCAATCTTTCTAGGAACATAGTAGACAAGAGTTAGATGCCTGGAAGCTTGTGAGAGTCAGTGAAGACTTTAGAGTTATAGCTCTTGGGTTGCCTGTGCCTCGTTACCATGGCAATCCACTGGATCCTCCTCTTAGGTCAAGATTCCAAGCAAGAGACATTCATCTGTTACCATTTAAGGTTTGTTCCTGAGTTGAAAGATTAACATTGAGATTGAAAGGTGGACCAACAGCTAAAAAGTTGAATGGTTATACAGTGAAAACAAGCAGCCAACAAACATTGATATCACTGGAATGTAGAGAGAAATCTGTTTTGGCAAACTGTCAAGGGAAACATGAAAAAATGTCTGGGAGAGAATCTGCCCCATCCCGGGGAGAGTAAAAAATTCCTCTCTCAATTCTTCATGCTATAAAATCTGGAAAAGCTCTAGTCAGACGAGTCATTTTGTTTAATCACTGACTTTATTTTATGTTTCCTTTTTGTACTCCAGGAATGTCACCAGTTATTCCCCAGTTTTAGCTTGGGCATTTTTAATTATCTTGGGTCCCTGTTGCTGTCATGACTTGTTACTTTGTTTTCCTGTGAATGACAATTGGGTTACTTTATTTTTAGGATCAGCTTGCTGTCCTTCAATCATCATGCCCCAATCTACCCCAAGAAAGGTTTGTTAGCAATAAAGTGACTGCATTGTGAGGCCACTATTATTATTAACATTATTATAATGATTAAACTTTATGGTTATGTTTTCCAGGTGGTGATAAGTAGAACCAGAGAAAATATATTTTCTTTTGTTTGTCGTATTAAATTATTATATTTATTGATAAATTTTTCTTTCATTTTTCACAGATTAGCCCAACTGTCCTCCTTTGCACACACATTACAATCTACAGAGCTGGCATCTGTTGGACTTCCGGATTTTCCCATTCATAATCTTGTAGATATTGTTAGAATTATGGTAATTACTGACGAGACTTTGTACATGCACTATGTGTGTGTAATTTATTTTCTTTTTGATGATTGACATCTTTGGTTAAGAGTCACAAGAAAATTGAGGAATTTAATTCCAGAAGGATTTAATTTAGTTGCTAACAATCCTTCACCAACCCATGTTCAGTGTTAAAAGTGCTCAAGGAATGAAAAAGAGCGTAAAGTTTAGATTGGTTCTCTTAATCATAACTGGAAGGGATTTTATTTCAGTGTTGAATAAAATTGAATTTTGATATCTATTGTCTGCCTTCTTCTTTGCAGGATATAAATCCACAGCACTCATTAGAGGAACTTATTCATAGACTGTATCCCTTTGATCTCATTCTTGGTGATGAAGGTCAGAAGGTGGTCGGAGAAGCACTAAAGGTGAAAGCAAACAGTCAGACAATTGATCCTTTTTTCATAGGTGTTTTAACAGGAAAGCCTGCTGCAGCAGTCTTTTCAAAAGGGAAAGACTTTACAACAGTCTAATAAATATCTTAAGCACCAATTCAAATGTTTACAATAATCTACATGTCATCACTACAGAATGCTGTCAGTGAAAAAATCTTAAATAATTTTAAATAATTGAGATTTTATAAAAAACGAGAAAGAGAGTGGACTGCTTAGATGCTGACATGACAAACTACTGTGTTTTCAGTGAATTACCTTGTACACAGTATTGGCATATCTAGTAAAGGCTTATATGGTATTAAAAGAAGTAGTCATTCTTATGTCCCATATTTATTTGTTTTTGCACTTCAATCAATTTCCTTTCTTTCTTTTTCCAGACCTTTAATCTTGATGACAGAAATAAAACAAAATCCTTATCATCCTCGATTGGTAGAATAAATAAGATCACAAGCACTCCACCTTCCATCTCCAAGGTGTCTGTTGAACTTGTTAAAGGTAAAAGAAGCACAGTGTTCGAGACTCATGCTGGAAATAAAGTTAAAGTCACAAACAGTCACAAAGCAGATGAATCAAAGGTATTGATTTTGGTCTTACCTTTCAAATCAGTTTTGAAATGTTGCATCATAAGTTCCAAACTAATAATTGCATTTTTTACTTTTTCTCTGTTTTCAGTTAGTCATGACCGAGTCACATTCCAAAGTATTATCAGACATGTTTGAGTCTCATGCAGTTCATGATTTCTGTCTTGTGGGACCCAAGGTGAATCATACTTCAGGCATCAGTTTGTATCTTCATTTGTTCAGGACAGTTAAACATGTTTTTGTCATTGTTGTGTACTCTATAAGTATGTATCTGAACACAGTTTTCTAGCAGGGTATCTGTTGTTCATCTTTACTGAGCATGTTTATGTTTGGAAGCTCATCCTTGGCAAAGAACAAGTATTACTGTCTTGAGGGTATTTTGGATCATCATCATGACTATAGAGAATATCAGTAGCTATGGTTAGGTGCATTTTACCTTAAAATAGCTTGTGATAGAATTGATGACATACTAGTGCCCTGAAGTTTAGTCATAGTACATTAGCTCATATAGCATGGGGGCTAAGCTAAAAAAAGCTCTAAATTTTCATTATAAACTAAGTAATTTCTGTGAATTCTTCTTAAAGGGCTGTGGAAAGAGTGTGCTGGTGCAGCAGTTTGCCAATTTTCTGGGTTACAATATTGAGCCAGTTGTTATATATCAGGTAAAAACCATGTCTATCTATAATATTATTAGCTATATCAAGAAAAATATTTGGATGCTGCTATTTGGTATGGCAAAGATCACTCCTCTCAATTAATCTGCTTAGTCTTATATTTATTTATGTATCATTTGCCTTTATTACATATTAAAAGGGGAACAAAGCTAATTTACACAGATAATACATGGGAAATATGAAACAGAAAATTAAAAGGTGAGGAAGTCTCAAGAAGCCATGAAGGCTTGTAGGTGAGGCTCCCTCTTTAAATTAGAGTTGATGTTAAATTAGAATATAGAATGTAATTTGACAAATGTAAAGTACTAAGAAAACTTGATTACTTAATGTTAACAATCTTGCTAAAAAATTCATCTAATATTTTACAAACTAATTAAATGGGATTTAAGTAACTGTTTGAAAGATCTTATATTGTTAAGTTCAATTATTGAATAAGGCAGAGAGTTCCACAATTTTGGTCCTTGGTATAAAATTGTGAATTGTTTTATGTTAGTTCTTTGGACTTGGGGATAGTGTAATTCAGCATATCTAGTCAAATAATTATGAATTTGGCTTCCAGTTTGAAACAAGTTTAGAAAAGAGTGAGGCACCTTCATGGTGATACATGTACATGAAGGCTCCAACATAAAAAGAATACAAACTGTAATTGTCAAAAATACCAAGTTTTTGAAAAAGAGGTTTAACACTGAATGCTTAGAAAACAAACTGACGATTCAGTAAAATCTCAGCCTGTCATTAACTTGTATCAAGACTCAGCATTAATTATGACTGATGTGTTTTCCTCATGATTCAGGACATGACAGGGAGGGATCTTTTGCAGCAGCGTATTACTCTAGCCAATGGTGATACAAGTTGGAGGTATTCACCTCTTGTGATGGCTGCGTTGGAGGGAAGTATCGCAGAGTTGGATGGAATACACAGAGTGAATCCTGGCACTTTAGCCATACTACAAAGGTACCCATCATCAGTTTGTTAAATTTTTCCAGAGTTTCACCCAAATGGGTGTAAGTGTAGGTTGGAAGGTTGAAGGTCATTTGCATGTTTTGAGGGACAAAAACCAAGTCTTAACCTCACATTATTGAATGGCCTCTTTCACCATCATTGCCATATGTGTCTTAATTGATATCTGGAAATAACTTTGGTGCTTATTTTCTTGGTTGTATGTGCCTGTGTGACAGTATTTTGATGTTACTTGTCAAAAGAATTTAAGTGTCCTTAAATCTTGTCCACCCAGATACTTTGTTAGAGAGATTTTTGAAAAAGGATAATGCTCAGAAACTTTTTTTTGTCAATTTTTGTCAGGTTTATAAATGAGAGGGAACTGTCACTGTATGATGGAACAAGGCTGTTACACCATGAAAGATATCAAGTAATTAAAGAATACAATGGCTGGTCTGATGAGGAAATGGCCACAAGGTAATCTTAACTTTCCAACCACTTAAGTCATTTGATGTTGACTGATGTTCTTGACTTCTGTGTCATTTGCACTTTTTTTAAATACCAGAAAGGTCTATTATAAAGTCTTAACAGACAATAAGGAAGTAGCAAAGCAGATTTCATGGCTCTTTTTTCTAAGTTGTGTGTAAGCAAATGTTATTATTATAACCTGAGTTCAGGGAGTTTTTGTATTTGATTGGGAAAAGAAGAGTTTCCTAATCTGGCATTGATGTGATTAATTGTTGGGCAAGAGAAAATCATTCCAATTACCAATAAGCTTTAAGGTTTGTATAATTATGAAGTGAAAACCTCTGGTGCTAATTTATAGGCTACTTTCCTTTTTGTTTTTTTTTTCTCAGGGGAATCTTTTGCATTCATCCATCATTCCGTGTCATTGGATTGGCTGAGCCTCCTTTAATTGGCAGCTCTCAGCAGCAGTGGCTGAACTCTGAACTACTGTCCATGTTTTTGTTCCATCATGTCAGTCCACTTTCCAAACAGGAGGAAGCTCAAGTTGTTTATGAAATGGTGAGAAAAAGTTTTTAATTAAAGCGGCTGACCATAAAGGTTCTGTTTAAAGTTAATATTTGCAATTTGAAACATGTTTTTATCTCAAACAAGATATTGTGTACACAAGGGATGAAGCAAACATTTACACAAGGAAAATTTCTTACCTCTAACGGATATTTGAATTTGCTTTAAGTTATTAGAGGTGATTTGATATCTTAAGTAAACTATAGGATTCAAAGAAGCTCAAATGCTATAGAGTATATATTTTTTTGTTAGAAAGAAGCATTCTCCTTGTGGCTTCACACTGTAATACAGTGCTAATGTTGACAACATTTTCCCCTAGGTACCAGGTTCCTCATGTGATGCTATGGACAAACTTCTGGAGCTCACTGAAAAATTAAGGTCCTCTAAAGATCCAACTGTGAGTGTATGACTATAAACGAAAAATATTTTTATAGCTATTTTAAAGTCCTAATATGGGAAAGTGGTAAGCTGTGTTTCTTAAGATTGTTAACCCAATAACTTTTTTTTTTATGTACCATGTGACACAGGTCTCATCCATTGCATCATCACTGTCCACTAGACAGTTACTTCGCATTGCTCGCCGCCTAGCAAACTATCCAGCTGAAGATTTGGAACACTCAATTCACAAAGCCTGTCTAGCAAGGTAAATAAATTATCATCAGTTTTTTTACAAGAAGTAGGATATTTAAAGAATCAAAATAACACCAAAATTTCCTCTGCAGGTTTTTACCAAGACTAGCTGCTTCATCCCTAGAAAAAATTTTGAATGATTCTGGTATACACAACCAAACAGATTCCATTGAACAAGTGACAGCAGTTGATGCCAGTGATTTTGTCTGTGAGTTGTTAACAGTCTTATAAATTACCTCAGAGTTATTGTTCACAGGTGACTAGAAACTAAGGATTGGTTTAGATAGATAAATTGTGAGGTTGATGAATTTGCATTAGATGATAAGATTTGACCATTTTCAGGTGAAATAAAGGATGACGAACTTCACATTGGCCAAACAAAGGCTCCAGTTTACAACCCAGAAAATAAAACTAAAGTTCCTAACGTCTTATTTTATGAAAATCAACAGGTAAGGCTAAAAACTAGTTCAGTCCTTTCAAAGAAGAATGCCTTGAATGCAACATTATAGTCGTAAAGTGACTAAGGGTTTCATTCCATTCAACAGAGACCCACTGCTGATGTGAATCACTTTTGTTTCCTTATTTCAGCATCTGAATGTTATGGAAGACATGTTAAAAGACTTCATGCTGGGAGAGCATTTGTTGCTTGTTGGGAATCAGGTGAGGCATGCAACAGACAAAGCCTCTCATCCTAAGGAAAAAAATTCCATCAACTTGGCAGTCAAGTAGTGTATATAGAGTTTTCTTATTTTCAGCTTTTCATTACTACACGTATCATAGAGAAGGAAAGTACATCTGAGGATTCATATGAAATCACCTGCTGTCACCCATACAGTTTTATTTCAATTTTCCAGGGAGTTGGTAAAAACAAGATAGCTGACAGATTCCTACACCTCTTAAATCGCCCAAGAGAATACATTCAGCTGCACAGGTTTGTCATCTAAGACTGGTTTCATACTGTTAGCCTTCTTTCTCTCCCTATGTACTGTTACTTATCCCTGTATGTTCCTGTTGTTCTTTGTCCTCTCAGAACCTTCTTTTCTGTTTTGGGGGCACAGTATTTATATCATTCATAATATATATTTTTTTCTGTTTATTCTCTTTGACAAACACAGGGACACCACTGTTCAGTCTCTTACTCTACAGCCAAATGTTCAAGATGGAGTGATAATTTACGAGGATTCTCCTCTTGTAAGTTGAACTGTCATCTTATGAACTGTACTGGTGATATTTCATTAAAAAAATAAATAAAAGGAAGGAAGATTACCCTTATAGAGGCACTACGTCAGAAAGAAATTTACTGCTCACATTTTTCGCAGCACTCAAGTCAGCTTACTTAATGCGAGGTTGCATTTATTCCACCTAGGTTCGCGCGGTCAAGTTTGGTCACGTGTTAGTCGTCGATGAGGCCGACAAAGCACCTACTCACGTGACTTGCATTCTCAAGTCCTTAGTCGAGAGTGGAATGATGGTCCTTGGGGATGGTAGACGGATTGTGACGGGTAAGTGAAAGACATAACGCTGTGTGCCGATATCATACTTGGTGACAACAAGTTTAACAGGGTTAATTCTTGTTTGACAGATGCTGAATCAACTCCTGTGTCCACGAATGTTATCAAGGCCCACCCTGACTTCAGGATGATTGTTCTCGCAAATCGACCTGGATTTCCGTTTTTGGGAAATGATTTTTTTGGATCTCTCGGTAAAAAAGCTGTAACATTTTTTTTAATCAATAAGACAATCTGATATCAAACTTTATTTCTCTTTATTTGTAGTCTTGCTCTTGATTCTGTTTTTTAGACGCTGATTTCGTTGAAACAATGATAAACTCTAATTTTGAGGACTCTTTATGTTACTGTTATCCTAGGTGACATTTTCAGTTGTCACGCAGTGGATAATCCAGACTTCGATTCAGAAATGGTAAGCTTTGATACGACTAATCCATACTTTGGATCGGAGGAGAAATTGGTCAATCTGAGATATTTCCGCATCTTTGTGAAAAGAATCTTAACCTTCCTTGTTCATCTAAGAGAAAGAGAAAAGACAACGTATATCAGAGGATTTCTCTATAGCTAAGCGTTCAGTTTTGTTTAATAACACTTATTAAACAGCTCTTGTATCCTGTGTCTTGTTCTTTAGGCGATGTTACGCAAATACGGAGCTAACGTGCCAGAGGAATTGCTTCATAAGCTGGTCAGTGCTTTTGGTGAGTTACGATCTCGGGCTGATCAGGGTCTCATCTCTTATCCTTACTCCACAAGAGAACTCGTCAGTGTCGTCAAACATCTTCAGGTGAGATGAAGTTCACGTCAAGTAATGTTATTGGTGTCACGTTATACAGAGTAAGTAAATTTGTCACGCAGTCTTCGAACACAGCACCATATCCACTAGAACACCACTTCCTATTTTGCACTATTTTCCCCTGGAGTTAGTGAAATAACAGTACTTTTACTTATTTTGTAGGCTTTTCCCGAAGAAGGTTTGACCAATGTTGTCCGTAATGTGTTTGATTTTGACTCGTATCACCCGGAAGTGAAGGAGGTGGTGATTGAAGTGCTTCACAAGCATGGTATCCCTGTGGGAGCCTCTAGCAGAAACATATGCTTGTCAAAAGAGTAAGAAAGAAAAAAGACATAAATCAGTTCTTGGCGAAAATGTTTAAGTTTGCTCGGTGTAGCCCATTTAAGTAGTCAAAAATAAGTGTAATGCAATTTTAAGAAGAGTAACTATTATTAATGCGAGTATCAGAGATCGTTTGATGCTATGTCAATGTCATAATCTCTCAACATTTTCTACCATTCAACCACTGCCGCGCTGTTTCGTTGACCTCAAATTGAGTTGCCAAATAGATGTAATTTTTCTGCCGTTTTTTTTTTTTTTTTTTTTTTAAGTCGTTGTTAGTTAAGACGCCAGTGGAAATAAAATAAAGGACCAGAAAATAGAAGTGTTTGCCTACTTTGTTTCTTTGGTATCGTTTTGGTTTGTACCTTCTATTATGATCTCGTACCCTGTGGACAAACTGAACTCGAGGCTGACATCATTACCCTTCGATTTGACTTTATCTTCAAAAACTAATCTTCATTTGTCTCTGATTTCTGTTCTTCGTCATGTTCAGGTTTCCTTTACCACCCCCAGCCCTGGTTTCCACCTGGAAAATTCTTGGGGACGAGAATGGCTTCAGTGCTGGAATCAACTGTCCAGTGGAAGAAAGAAAACTTAAAGTGCGGGTTAGTTTAACTGGAAATTCATTGTCTTCCACGCAAGTGTGTCAAAAAGGACCAGCGAACTCTTGTCCTTTGTCTCCTTGAAATCCATAGCCAACGGGCTATTTATTTAGCCTCTCGTCATTGGTAGAAATGATCTTATCTGATTAAAAGAGTTGTCCTGTTGCAAAGAAGAAATCTCTCGCCATAATGCAATGACGTGAAGAGCATAGTTTGAAACTGTGAGATGCCAGTTTATGGACATTTTATCGTTTCTAGGGCCCGGCGATGGTTTCAGTCACGTCCAGCGAGTGCGAGCGCCGTAACGATCGTTCACTCGGCTTCTCGGAGCAAGTGGGCCATTGGGATCTCCCTATGCATGAGGGAGAAGTAGTGACGAGTGCTGCTGTGGGACCTGGTAAGGAGTGAAACCCCATTTCTTTGTGAAAGTAAGATACACTAAGATGGTTATGCTGTGGGCTCAGCTAATACACGAACCTTTATCGTTCCAGGCGAAAGTTTGAAAAACTGGGTTTCAATATTCCACAGGTTTCTTGATGGCCCGAAAAGCTTAATCGCCAGGATAATCGCGCTCGTCTTGTTCTCGAATGACCATGCGCTGTTTTCATTTTTTCTCAGGAGGAAACAAGGGGGACTGGATCCACGTCTTAGCAATAAGCCCAGTCTCGCTCTACTCACAACAGACTAATCAGGATTCAGTATTGTGCATGGACATGTATGACGTGTTTCCCCGCTCTCAGTACGCAGTCCCTCAGTTGAAAATGGCCGCTTTAGGAGGCGACCTACAAGGACAGGTGCTTATTCATGAACAGGACTCAAATTCACTATATCTGTTGAACCCTACGGAAAAGGAACTTCGAACTCTTAACTTCAAATCCATAGTTGACAACACCAGAGAGAAACTAACACGACATTTCGCAATTGAAAAGGGTAAATTTCTGATGAACTCAGAATTTTCGCATGAAAATATGGTGATTGTTTATCAGGAGGATAGTAACAAGATGGACGTGGTAGACGTAGCTGACGGAATAACGCAACACATTACTCTGCCATTTATTGTTGGACAGTTTCACCCTTTTTCACGTGATTTGTGGCTTGTGTGTGAGACTGGGACCGACCGCAAGTACCTTCTGACGAAGCCGTACCCAGAAGCCCCTGTACCTTGTGTCCTTCATCCAATTGAAAGCATTAACGTCAGTGGAGGAGACGACCAACAATGGATATCGATATCAACTCGGAGCTTACCATCAGTAGCTATTACTTCGTTTGTAGGAGCGGAGAAGGGCTCTAGAAGTAATCGATTGCTGGTCGGATCCGAGGATTACGCCACTGTCGCCATGGCTCGGCCCGATCAGTTACTTGAAAAGTCTCCAGTTAGTTTTTATTCATTTCAGAGAGAAACGAAAACGGGAAATGCATCTAACCAGTCAGGTGCGTCATCATACTTTAAAGTCTCCCTAATTTTACCTCAAGATGACCAGAGAAAGTCGTAATACGTTTGATTTTTAGAGATGAAACTCACTTTGCGTTGCCGTACAACGTTTATTTTTGTGGTTGTTGAAGTGAGGCTGGACATGAAATGTGATATTGCCCAAAGTTGATAAATACGTCCCTTTTTAGGTACAGTGACTCGCTAACTATAATTAGCTAAGATTCAACATCCATTTTCCTCCTTGGCTTTTTTTAGCGGATGTCTGGGCCAGAAATGTACTGTAACTATATACTTTTTCTTTATTTGAATTTCTTAGAGCGAGTAAAACCCTTGGATAAACTTATTACAGAGGACACAGTCCCTCCTCTTTGTCTTCCCACCACGGCTCAAGTTGTTCGTTTGGTCCCAGGGTCGACTGTTCCTCGCAATGACGGCCAAACAATGGAAGAGGATGAGGATACTGGTCAGTTCAGGGCGCGAAGTTTATTGGGATACTTAGAAGTCACCGATGTAGCGAGAAGGTGGGTTTCAACCTTGAGTAACTCTTATTTCATTCAGATCGCCACCCAGCGACGATTATTCTGTCGTCGCTTTTTCAATGATGTATTTTTCTTTTGCAACACATTTTGACCTTGTTTTCCAGATCTGTTCGCTACATTCCATTCCCAGACCGTCGCGATCTGGCTCTATACGCGAGATTAGCGGGAAAACCTATAGTTATGGCGCCAACGACATACGATGGCATTGTGACAGTAGACGTTTCCGGCCGTGTCAGATTGTGGGAGACTGGTGTCGTGAACCTTGTCCGCTCATTAGAGAAATGGAAGGGACCTATAGGGGAGGACTATCAAGGTCCCTTACAGGTACGGTCCTTTCTTTGGGAGAGAGAATTGGTGAAGTCAGTTTGAATCTTAGGATGGATGACTTTTTTTGTTGTTTCCACCGTAGGTTAATTACTCGAGAGAAAGTGGAGAAGATGTCACAAGTCCAAAACATGGAAAAGTAGGGGTGTTTTCTTTTATTATTGCTCTTGTATCAAAATACCCAAGTTTTCTGATTGCAATAGTTTCGCTTGGAAACCACTGAGTTTCGGTCCGTAAGTCAACTTACTCTCAGTGACGCAGACGAGACTCTGAGTAGACTGAGAGTTGAGTGCGGAAAGTTCTGCGTCAATTATCCTGAACATTACTGATTCTCTCTGTCTCAGGTCGACCCTAACAACGACCCTCATGTAGGTGGGAACACTTGGGCTGGGGGAACTGGGGGCCGCGATACAGCAGGGCTCGGAGGCAAAGGGGGACCATATCGATTGGACGCCGGACATGATGTACATCAGTTGTCCGATGAAGAGAAGGACGCAGTTCCTGATGACGTCAAACGTGCAGCGAGGGAAATGGGCCGGAGAGCATTTAAACAGAAGTGAGGAATCATGTAGTGAACTTTCAACTGCTTTCCATCAGAAAAGATTACTGACCTGAGTGTAATAGTTACTCGTAAATTAGCGCTCGACTCATCCTTAGTACTTTGTCTGCCTAAGCGCTGGTGTATTTATTCATTCATGTAATATTTATACTGGAACAGCCAGCTTTGCTTATTAAAATGAAGGTGACACGATGCAATCAGGAAGAGCCATGTTCCTCCGGTTTGTTGTGACTGATAAGTGTATTTTGTTCTTTCAGGTTGCGTGAAATCCAAATGAGCGAGTACGATGCCAAAATGTATGAATCTTTTTCGTCACGTGTTCGCCGCCAGGTCCAGTCCTTGCGAGTTATTCTTGACAGTTTGCAGGCTTCAGGGCAGGAAAGAGTTTGGCTTCGGAACCAGACCTCCGGCGAACTGGACGATGGAAAGTTAATCGAAGGATTGACTGGAGAAAGGGCTATCTACAAGAAACGAGGAGATGAAAACCCAGAGGTATGTAGGCCTTTTCTGGATACTAGTTATACAGGCCTATTTCAAAAATGTCATTCACCCGGTATATAATGAGAGATGTTTGTCAGGTAAGGTCAGTAGCCTTGTAAGGCAGCTTCGCCCGCCGCATGGACGAGTGCTCGGTGTCTGAATCGGCTCCCCCTTAAGCTTAATGTTGATGAAAAGGGTGGCATGACAACCAACAGGACAAAAAACAAGACAAAACCTGACCAATTACAAATCATTTTTCTCTGGGTTTTGTCCTTTGTGTTCATGCTTGTTTGGTTTTTTGTGAAACTTTTAAATGTTCTTTATTATTTCAGCAAGGAGCTCCTCAACGCCTTCCCAAGCGCCTTCGCTTTGTAGTTGATGTCAGCGGCAGTATGTATCGGTTTAACAGCTTGGATGGAAGACTGGGGCGAGTGATGGAAGCTGCATGTTTGGTGATGGAAGCATTTCATCAGTACGATAACAAAATTAAGGTTCATGTCTTTCTACCTTATGCAAATGTGAGTTAGCCATTTAACCTGATACAATCCTTTCACACGTTCTGTATGGTGTGTTTTCTTTCAGTATGATATTGTTGGACATTCGGGCGATTCTCCCGAGATTCCTTTCGTGTCTCATGATTCGCCGCCCAAGAACAATAAGGAACGCCTCAACATCATAAAAAAGATGCACGCACATGCACAGTACTGTTGGAGTGGTGACCACACCTTAGAGGGCACAGATTTAGCAGTCAAACACATAACAGCAGAGGAAGCCGACGATTACTTTGTTGTCGTCCTCAGCGACGCAAATCTCGAGCGGTATGGTATACCCGCTGAGGCTTTTGGGAAAGTGCTCATGTCAGATGCACGAGTTCATGCATTCGCCATCTTCATCGGTTCGCTTGGTAATCAGGCTGACAGGTAGATGTGTCTCATAATTTTGATGTTAGTGAAAGCTGACTTTCCCATTCTTGTAAAACTCTTTCCTTTTTTTCATTTCAGACTGGTCAGAAAGCTCCCAGCAGGACGGGCGTTTGTTTGTATGGACACCAAACAGCTTCCACAAGTTCTACAGCAAATTTTTACTTCCGCCATGCTTTCTTCAAGATGACGTGCGACTCAATTCAATTCCACCGACCATCAAAGAGTGACCACAGAAAGGTCACTCAAATAATGAGTAGCATTGGAATCAATTCTAGATATTGATTTTTCTCAATCTTTTCTTGGTAGGGAAAGGCATAAAATGAATATAACATTTATAAACTGAATGGGATAAGTTAAAAAAAAGAATAAGACGGCGAAAGAAATTTATATGCTTGTCTAAACGTTGTTGTTGCCTGGTTTGTACTAATGATTGAAAGAGCTTACCCTTCACTCCTCCATCCTGAAATACTTCCAGTCTTCAGGTTAAAAAACATTGGAAACACGAGTTTTGTTATCAGATACTTTTGTGCTTTCTTTTGTTTTTTAAAACTGTCAGGCAGGTACTTTCAAGTAATTCGTTGACTATTTAAGCGAAATCCACAGACACTTCAGATGCACGTGCTACAGGCTGATGAAATACTATTGTCATTGTCAGCAATAACCTTTATTTCTTTTCAACCTCAGTATTAACCTCTATGTGGGTATTCCAATAACTGATGTGCTTTCGAACTGAAAATGCAAACAGTACATTACCAGGTGCAACAATTAATGTTACAGGAAGCTCACAAGAAAATTTTATGTAAGAAACTTTCTTCACGTATATCTTAACTCGATAAGTCTGACTAGGACACAAGTTGGCTACTTCATACGTGTTCGATGTGTTTTTAGCAAAAGGCCATGTAATCAACCATAAACAATTTGTATTATTAAGTTTTCTAACAACTGGGCGTTGTCCAAAATGCACCCAGTGTTCTGACGAAAACGTCACTATTGACTTTTTATGTGTTCCTTTTCGTGAGCACACACACAATTTAAGGTCAACACCATTATCGGCGCACTCTGCGTATGTTAAAAATAAAGTCAGACGGTCAAAAGAGACTAAGGTCATTTGTAAAGAATTTTCTCCTAACATTTCCCTTGTCATTACTACCACGTGAAACACGTCTTCCCTCTGAGGAACAACATCTCCTGCTTTAACTCGAATATCCATCGAAGTGATCAGAGATCCGTCTTTTTTCGAGTTTCTTTCTCGGATATTTTCAAACCATAACGGTTGCAATCTTTGACAGGATCGTTCATAAATGTTCTGTATTTGATTTTCCAAGCGATTGTTCAACTGACCCATCGCGAACTCAGCGATAGGAATACGTGAAGTGTCATTATCTGCTGGTGCATCCCAACCCTTACACACGCACAAGTTTGGCAGCGTTAGTTCCAGATCATCACACGTACGGTTCATAGCGATGGGTGTAAACAACCCCTTTGGCTTAACATTTCCGGATAGGGGGTTGACCAACACCATTAGAGAATGGTGTAACTCTATCATGGTGACAAGCCTCCGTTGGTTCTCTCCTAGAGCGGACATTGCTTTCGTCCCTAAGAGCGCCGCTACTCTGTCAGGAACAATGATGAATAGGGACGGATGGTATATCTCAAAGCGCCCCTCCAAAAATTCTGAACTATATCCCGTATATGTGTTTCCATGATCCGCCAGAATGACTGTTAAAGTGTTCTGCTCGTTCGCCATGGCCCTCACGTAATTCTCCAAACTGATATCCAGGGTTTGCGTGCGGATACCTTTGTGATCGTGGGCGACGTTGAGTGAAGTGTGAGAGAAAAGTGGGCGAGCGTCACGTGACTTGCCGATAGCGTGAAGTGTGTCAGTTGTGTAACGGAGAAAGTAAGAGTGTTGAAACTTTCCATTATAGCAGATTTGGTCCCCATAAGGCCCAAAGAAGGGAGTTGTTACTCCCAATGATGAAAGGATTTTACAACTGGAATGCGTCAGGCCTTAAACAAAACCATCGCAAAACACATGTCAGAAAAAAACAAAGTATCTCACTGAGCGAGTCGGTTCCTTTAATCACTCCCACCAAAAAAGGTTTGAAACTCGCGAAGAGAACCAATGAATACTACATGACTGACATTTATTTGTGTAAATTGTATTAATCTTTATCCAAACTTACCTGTGTGATCTATGAAGGTATTTTTCATCTTGTCTTGAAGGTCACTCCATTGCCTTACTCCATGATCAGCCATTAGTCCCCAGATCCCTTCCCAACACAAATCTTCTTGATACATTGTATGGTACCCAGCTCTCTTATAATGCCCAAACATCGCAGACGTATTAACTGGCGGCGTTGTACCTTTTAATTCAATCGGGAAGACATTTCCAGTGAAGAGTGCTTGCGTGTTTTCAGCAGTGTGACCGTCTAGAGCCTGGAAAAGTTCAAAGTCAAAGACATTTGCGGGAACCGAATCTGAGTTTTCTCGCCAGTTTTGAAATGTTGCGATTGTTCTAGGTAAAGATCGGTAAAAGTGAGCTCTAGAAACAGAATCTAGGAGGAGGACGACCACGTTGATGTGATTTTTATTTCTAACAGTTTCTGTTTTCTCGATGGTGAAATCGGGGTCGACGGCAAGGAATTGTGACACTCTTTTACCTTGGTGGTTTGTACATTCGATAAAAACAAAGTTCAATTTATTTTGCGTATTTCTTCTTACAATGTTCGGTAGTTCTCTTTCAAGTGTCTTCACTGAGTGAAATTCATTTACAATGGTCGCCAATCCGGTTCCGGGATCCACACTTAGAACTTTGAAAGAATCTCTTTTTCCTTCCCGACATACCGTTTGACTGCAGGTAAAGGAAATCTTGCTTTCCTTCTTAGTTTTGGTGATTTTCATTTCGCAAACATCCCCAGCACTTTTCTCTTTGCATTCCAATAGTTCAGGTTTTATGGCGTAAAGTTCTTGAGTAAACATACAGGAAGCTTTCCTCGGTTTGCGAGGTTGACATAAACGATCTGTGGCCTTGACATTGGATTGTAGAGACAACGTTGAGCAAATTGAAGGTGACTCTGTTGTATTTGTAAAATTCTCCGAATAAATGTTGTAATTCCACTGTATCTCACTCCCCGAAAGGTACCAGTTTAGTATTAGTAAAGAAAGAGTCACCAATGCAACCATAGACAGAATATTCCTGCGTGACTTTTTGCAAGCAATCTTGTTAAACTTCAGCATGGTTCGTCATCTACCTTTCTCCTACCAGAAATCAAATTATGAAAATAGAGTTATCAGTAGCGATATTTCTGTCACAAAGAAGGTTTTTTTATCACCTTCTTGGTAACAAAGAAATTACAAACTGGATTTGAAAGGTAAGAAAATTGTAGCATCATTCTGATTGGTTCTGATTGATTAAAATAACGAAAAATATAATCACAGCACATTTCTTGCCTGAACTTCGTCTTTACTAAAGCCACGAGGGCAAAATAAATGACGAATCGTACGACTTCTAGATTTTTCTTATTTTAATTGACTTATTGCTAAATGCTTGATTACAGTTATAATTTACTTTGAGTTGGTTATGAGTATCAAGTCACTATACCTAACAAAAGGATTTAGTTTTGAAAATTTAGCCGATATCTTTCATGTCCAGCCTCACTTCAAAGCCCCCAAAAATAGAAGTTGTACGGCAACGCAAAGTGAGTTTCTTTTCTAGCTGTTTTATAGTAATGTCGCTCGATATCCATTGTGCTGGAGTGTTTCTTATTTTTTACTTCTTTCCAGGGAGCATGATCGTCACAAATGTCATGAAAAAGGTTCTGCCAAGCTCAAAGAATGTCGACTGCATCATCGAAAACTAAAGCCACATGAAATGGTGCTGTTTCTATGTTTTGTTAATCTCTTGTAATCTCTTGTTCTGATGTACTTAAGTGGTGTTCTTTTGTTCTTCAGTCTTCTGATTGCATATATTCGATTGTGCTCCGAAATTCCTAAGGCGAAAACGCTGCCCATGCTGATGAGGTCTTTCTTTGTTGTAACGATGAGATCTATCAAGTGCGTGATGTAACGGGGTAATTTAGTGTTATCAACTGAGTTGAAAACGTTAATTGGCCCTTCGTCAGAACGATTGAAATAAATCAATCGCTCTGACGAAGGGCTAACGCTCGAAACGTCAGCCTTCAAACTCTCTAAGATGGCCAATTAACGTTTTCATCTCAGTTCATAACACTAAATTACCCTTGAATTGCTTTGGTGTCACTTTTCCACCCTTGAAATGATATATAAACCCACAAGAGCAGCAGTTTAGTAATCGGTGGTTGCGAGCAATGGTTCGGTAAAATTTCCGCACAGCCCCATACTACTGAAAAACAAATCTGTTTTCCCAATGGCAATGTATTGTTTTTGTCATTGTTTTCTCTGTCCAAGAACTGAATGCATAATGTAGTATGGGGCTGTGTGGATATTTTACCAATGGTTCTTACGCAAGTGTGACAGCTTATTCTCCCACTGCTTGACCCGGGGTTCAAATTCACGTTCAAACTGACATATAGTCGAATTAGATAAAAAGTAGAAACGCCATTTGGGTAGCGGTTCATTCTGGAACGGAAATAGCCCCTTGAAGCAAGCCTTGAACATGCAAATGAATAAAGGGGTAAGTTTCTAAAGAAACTGTGGTGCTGCGTCGGTGGGAGAGTATAGCAGGTTATTTAGTGTTAACAACTGGGTTGAAAACGTAAATTAGCCACCGTAAAGGGTAAAAAAGCTGACGTTTCGAGCGTTAACCCTTCGTCAATCGCTCTGACGAAGGGCTAACGCTCGAAACGTCAGCTTTTTTACCCTTTACCGTGGCTAATTTACGTTTTCAACCCAGTTGTTAACACTAAATTACCTGCTTGAACATGCAAAATGACGCTTATGACTTAGCTCGGGTTGAAGTACAGAATGTCGTAATGCGTCCAAACTGGAACTTTTCGCTTCAATTCTTTCTATTTCATGGCCTCTGTAAGCTATTTCCTCCCACAGTGTTATTTTAATTGTCAAGTTGTCGATGATGCCAAAGAGAAGCAGATAAGTTTGAATGGAGCTCAACATGGCGTGTCGTGGCACTAAATTACGGTTTTTGTTTCCAGCTGAGATGAAACTGATACTCGAATGCTACAAAATGTTAAGGGGCGAAGGTGAATTATTACACACAATGTTACGCCATACTGCATGAAATGGTTTACCATTGAAATCAGTCGAAAGCTTACTCATCATTTTCTCAGAAACATAAGATATTCAAATTCAGTGCCAAACATTTTGCCAGGAACAGTCAAATTGCAAAAAGTGCTCAATTTACTTTTTTTTACTTAAGTTGCCAATATCAGATTTAAGGTACTAACCAAGATTAATGGTAACTTACCTTATTAATTGATGAAAATTGTAAGAATTCTTGACTCCAATCATAAGCGATCGTTCTCTGCACAGGTTTGGCTGCTGCTTGCGATGTTGGAAAGAAAGCAAATGCAAATTACTTTTAGTCACCTCTGAAGAATTGAACGGTTCAATTGTTCAGCAGTGACTAAAAGTAATTTGCATTTGCTTTCTTTCTAATAAAAAGTGGTAGACTTGGAGAGATTGCTTAATTTGCACTAAGTGTAAATTCAAGAGGACTTTTCGACCCTAATAGATGCAAATGATAAGAAAGATACTTACTGAGTCGTAATTCTGACACTGGAGGACGTAAAAAAAAACAATTTGTCTCTCATGCAGTCTACAACGGTGACTTTTTCTTTTATCTCCCAAATTGCAAAGGATTTTTCACCCTACGAGGTTTCCTTCACGCCATTAGCAGCAGCTAAAAAGCTGTGCAAAGTTTCTGCCAGCACTTGGCAATTTCTTGCTGTCGGGTTCAAGTTGTCGATTAAATTCTAAACGACTAAAGTGTCTTGATATTAGCAGGCAAGTCAAGAATTTAAAGAAAGCAACAAAACTTTTAAGTCTGTGAAACATGTTTCGACAGAAACTTCGGTCATTTTCAGTTAATTACTGTACAAAGCGTTGGAAGTTGAATTATATAGTAAGTAGAACAATGCTAATTATGATAAATAGTGATAACAAGAAAAGAGATAAAGCATGAAAATGTGAGAATTAAAAGTATAGTTTTAGATTTACATGGTGTTATTGTTGATTCAAGGATGGTTGTTCTTTTTGAATATGAGTAGCCTCTTTTATCTTGAGTTGAAAACCGGTAGAGGCGTGATCTAAAACATGGAAGTTATCTGCTGAAAACAAAGCGCGACAATGTGCAGAATCTTGCAGATGCTTGAAAATGTGAGAGGCCCTGTCACTGACTAAGTGCTCTCCAACACGTGTGGAAAAATGCCGGCAAGTTTCACCGACGTAACAGGCATTACAGCCAGCACTTACAAACTTATAAACTACACGTGTGCGGAGCCCGTCAGGGAAAGAGTCTTTTACACCAAACAAGTTGCTGATCTTGAAGGAATAGAAAACCAGCTTATAATATCCAAGTCATTGCAATAGCGCTTAATAAAATGGCGAATCTTTTTTTGAGTGATAGCAGAAAAATAGTCTATGTAGCTTAAAGTAAAACGTAAGTGAAGTGGTGGGAAGGGAACCCCGGGGATAATGATTGTTTTGGGTCCCAAACATGTATTACAGACTTAAAAGTTTTTTCCCTTCCTTTAAATTCTTGACTAAAGAGTCGTACATACAATTCCCTGTGAAATCTTGATATTATTCTCAGAAAATCAATCGGTCGATATTCTTGTATATTTTTATAGTAATGGTGGTAAACTAATGATAGTAAAACTCTCGTCTTATTTATTGGCATTATCAGAGCTATGTCCCGAGAAATACAACACTTCCATGAGACTTTGATAACTTTATTGTAAACGATGTTTGATAAAACCAGAAAAAGGTCATTGTTTATCGTAGTTCCCTTCCCCTGTCTTTATCCGTAAGACTCACAGCGCAGAGAAAACTGCTAAGCCAAATCAATGACAGTGGAATTTCAAGATGGTAAACATTACGAAGCTCTTTAATTATCTTGACAAAACGAACCCAAGTGGAGGAAA